TCTAATTTTTGGTTCTTTGAAAATTGTAGATTAAGTCTTTAGTATTTATTTCTCTCCCTGCAAATGCTCGAAACACTTGAAATTAAATATTGCGCATTCGCCGCATTGTACGGGTCTGTTTGTGTGTGTGAGTGTGTGCAATTCACGCATATTTGCACATCATTTGCGTTACTCAAGTGACTGCGGGATGGCAGTTGGTAAGCCTCTTTTCTATGCCATAACTTTTTCGGGCTCGTTCAATTTCCAGCCTCGTGCTGGGCTAATGCCAAAATGTTTCAGCTCATTTGCAACCCTTTGGCCCGCACTCACACACAAGCACACATGAGCCTAGGTAAATGTTATTTATGCAAAAATAATTTTAAAATGTTTCGCATATTTGCCAGCGTTTGCGCCGCATATTCATAGCCGCCTCCTTCTCCTTGCTGGGGGCCCAGCCACAAACGCGCGAGCTACCTGGAAAGCACCTGATTTCCCTTTTCCCAGTTTCCCTTTTGCCGCTTTCCCTTTTCCTTTACCACTCGCCGCCGCCGCCTTTCACGAATCAAGAATCTAATAAAACTTTTCCCAGTTACCTGGCAGCGGCAGCAACAACAACGGCAATACATCTGCTTATTTGCTTATCATATGCAAATTTTCATGTTTCAAGTTGAAGTTTTCTTTTTGGAAAAAGTATACACACACACAGGCATGTTTCCATATACCTATATAGGCAAGCAAAGAATGTTTAACAAGCTACCTGAGGGCGCTCATGAGCAAAAGTTCAAATAACAAAATTTCAGCTTTTACTTTTTGCCCGACCAAAAGCAGGAAAAAAAATATATACGCAAAAAACTCAGACAGGTATTTTGGCAGATTACGGCTGTGTGAGTGTGTGTGCGTTCCTTTGATTATAAAACCACCTTCATCTCCGACGACCCTTTTTCCTATTCGATTTTTTGCCCTTTGGCTATGTACTTGGACTTTTGCCGAGCACAACTTGCCTAGAACTAATGCCAACAGCCACTCCCTGCTGTATTGAATCAAGAAATTAAGGAAAATTTCCACAAATTATGCATGCTTCAAGATTTTCCACATAATTCTCGGCACTATTTGCATAATTCCCAAAAAATGCACTCAGCCAGATAGTTGGACAGCTAATAACAGGCCAATCAATGGACAGGGACAGACCATCTGCAATTATATAAAATAAATTTGAATAAATTAGAGAGTGCTTTGCACTCGAATGGGTTGAGTTTGCCTTGAACCCAGCAGCTCCCAGCAGCTGTCTGAAGAGTGTATTCGCATGAAGAACCGGAGGATTAAGAACGTGGATGGGTATTTGCATTTCTTTTTCGGCAACGGGAGGGGGAACGAAGTGAAATTCAATTACAGCGGTGCCACAGAGACAAAAACAATTACAACAACAATGCCGAAAATGGCAGCTGCCATTGCGGCCATGTTAATATATCAGACTGGAAAAGTATGCAGCGCAAAAAGGCGGCGGGAAAATAACAAAGAAATGGCCAAAGGGGCGGACGGAGTATGGAAAATGGAGTGGCAGAGTGGCAGAGTGGCGGAGTGGCAGAGTGGCGGAGTGGCGCATGCAAAACAAATAACACGGAAATGAAAAACGAACTCAACTGGAAAATTGCAAGGGCCCCGCACACCCACATACATGTACTACCGCACACGCACACATTTACAGCGAGCGGAAGTTGACTCGCCAGCCATGTTGCCGTCGACGCCGTTTCCGGCAGAGTTTCACTTTGTTACTGTTGCTGCTCCTGCTGCTGCTGATGCGGTTGCTCTGCTCAGCTCTGCCTACTAAAAAATTTACTGGCGCTTAAAAATGCCAAACGAAAAGGCAACAAAAGAAAGCAACCCAAAAAAAATACGAGTAAGAAAAGTATGGCCTCGACCATAAACATACCCGGCACTCAGTTTATGAAAAATATTGTCTACCTTAAGGGAGATTATATGGAGGAGAAACTTAGCTTAGCAGTTTTGTTTTAACTTTGAATTCCCTTTAAAGATTATGAAGCTCTCTTAAAGTAGAATTAACTCCCAACATATATGCCTGACTAAAGAAATGATACATAAATTCCCTGATGTTTATATTCCCTTTACCGTTTTTCCTCAAAAATACAATATTCCCTTTACGCTCCACAAGTACCGGGTATTTAAAAACGAACAGAAAGGAAGGCAGGCTGTAACTACAAGTAAGCGCACAAAAGACGAGCACAGAAATGACATAAAATATTTACCACGCTGAAAGACATTTTCATTTGTGCCACAACAGCAACAAAAATAGCAAAGAAAGAAAAAAAAGCCAACAAAGGCACAACAACAAAGAGGCAGGACTCGGACTCAGCCGCAGCTCATTACGAACAAATTGACGGCTAGCTAACAAATAGTTTCTCTTTCAATATTTGCTGCAATTTCGTTGGCTGCACTCAAAAAGGGAAGGCAGGATGAAAAAAAAAAGGAAGAAGGAAAAAAAAACACACAAAATACACTGAAATCCACACCCCTCAGCTCAACGTTTACGAGTGTTTTTAATGCCACATTTTGGCTGCTGCAGTTGCCGGGGAAGTGATTGAAATTATAGCCACCGTTGGACACGTCGAGTGCATTCAATGCCCGTCTCATTCTCTTTACGGCCATAGAGCTGGTCAGTTATTTTTGATACTTATTATTTTTATGCCACCGCCACCGCCATCTCACTCCGCCTCCCATCCTTGGCTGTGCAGACCAACAAGTGCTAATAAAATGGAAGAAAGCAGCGAGCAACGAAACCGTAGGACAGGACAGCAGTGCAGTGTTGGCTTTGTGTATGTGGCACTGTACAGTGGAGTGTACATCTTTATGTACATCGGGCAATTACATAACAATTTGTTCTGCTGTTGGCGGGGGACTTCTTCTCGCATATTGCAACTAATCGCGCTCGTAGTCGCCTTCAATCCCCAACAAATGAGGATGGAGCATCGAGCGATTATTTCACAGATTCCCCTCAGATCAAGTTCATTCTGCAATAAACTGAATCTCCCTCTCTTGGAGGACTCTTCTGCCCTTTTCCTGATTGCAATTAAAGTGGCTGTTGGCCGCAGTCAATGTCAGTTTTTTAGCTTCATTATCCTGCTATGGACTCTGGAAATGGACCCAAACAAATAACCAAAATGGAAATGGAACATTTGTGTAATTAAAACGGCGACTGGCATTTTCAGTTTTTCTAAAAACTTTAGCCACAAAAAAGTAGCAGCAGAAGAGAGAGCAAAGTTTTGCAGTTTACATTTTTTATTAATGGAAATGAGAGGAGCTGTTTTCGGGGGCAGGACACGTCATCGTCATCGTCTGGTTTTTATGGTAAGGGAGACCGCGACGTTCAAACAAAAACTTTATACACACACCCGTAGACGTTTTATTAAATAGTCAGCAAATAATATTGCGCATACGCAGCGTTGACAGCCGCAGCAAGCCAAATTGTGGGCAGACGGGTGTGCGAGTATGCGTGAGGGAAAGTATAAATAATAAATAAATATAAATGGTCATATGGAAATGAAAATGAAATAATCTGCCAACTAAGAGGCGCATAAATAGCCCTCGAAATGACATTCATTTTCGTTGCCGTTGTTTATGTCGGCCATTTTCCTTGTTCTCCTACAGTGTTTGTGTGTGTGGGTGTGTGTTGTTGTCGCCCTGTCGCCATTTTCTGTATGTGTCATGTTGCCCTCTCCGTTATTATTATTGTTTCTCTCCCAGTTCGTTTTTGTTCCGTTTTTATTTTGCGGTCACTGACACGTGTTTTGTGCGCCACGACTGCTGAATTATGCAGACGTCGGAATTTGATTTGATTTATTTCGAGGCGGAAAAGAGACGAATTTTTATCAAATCAATGCACAAATTACAAGCAATTTACACATGAAATTAGCATAATTAATTTAGACGTCTGGCCAAACCATCAAACTGATGAGTGTAATTGCCCGTGGCCGTGGCCACATATGCACACCTCGAATTATGGCAAACTTTTCCGCTTCTGACACGTAAAATCTTTTCCCTGAAACTTTCCAACAGCTAAGGGAAGAAGAAAAAAGTAACAAAGTAAGCAAAGTTTTTAGTTTCCAGCTTACAGTTTGGCAGTTAAAAGTTTTGGGTTCCAGTTTGCCGCTTTCCTTGGCTAAATCTCGAGTCGGCGTAAACCACTTGGCCGAGAGGCTATTTGAGTTAGCCACAAGAGCAGAATTTCATCGAGCTGGTCATGGATTACATGTAAACAACAATTTATTTCGTATGCAGTGCCAGGATATTTGCTTATTGCATCTATCTCGTGTCCCTTTTCCAATGGTTTCCTGCATAAGCAAACAGTTCTCCGATTGTCTCAATGGCCGGCCAATTACGAGAGTCAACAGACCAATTCTTATTTATTTGTTATTATTTGCAGTATAGTTTGTATTATTTCTGTCATTTTTCATTGAGCAATTCCCTTAATTGGCCAGAATGCCGAGTAAGGAATTGATTATAATTGCTTGCTTGTGCTTAATGTGGCTGGACTGGACAGCTTTTCAGCCAGGATTTTTATGCATAAATGCAGAAACGCATATTGAGAGAGCGCGCCTGGGGGGGGGATGCAATTGAGCAATAACAAAAATGTCGAGCACATGCGGTTGGCAGCCAGAAGACGCAGGAAGCGGAAGGATGCTCCGGCGCACTCACACGGACGTACATGTTTGGTGTGTGGTGTCTTGAGTGTTTGAGCCAAAGATTAAATGGTGTTTATGGCTGCACTGCACTGCTGCCCAAAAAAGGGAACAAAGCTCCAGGACTTTTGACACTTTTGCAAAATTTACGACCAGATCCCGCCACTCCCTTCCTTCGCCCCCTTCCGGTCTGTTTCACTTGAACAATTGCAGGGTAAAGTTTTTATACTTTATGCTGAAATAATGCTAATGCAGGCAGAACCGAAGCTGCCCTGCCAGAAGACATTATCCGCAACTTATTTCCATATTTGTTTTGTTCACTTGCAGGGTTGGACCTGGCCTAAGATGGGTAGCGTGCTCTTTGCAGCTGTGTTCATAGCATTACACTTTGCCACCGGCGGCCTGGCCAACCCAGATGCGAAGCGCCTCTACGACGACCTGCTGAGCAACTACAACCGGCTCATCCGACCCGTGGGCAACAACTCGGATCGCCTCACCGTCAAGATGGGTCTGCGGCTCTCCCAGCTGATCGATGTGGTAAGTACTATAAAATTAAAAAATGCTTCAGTAATAATTAATTAAATTAGGAAAATGTTTTAGAAGATTGACTTTGATTTTCAGATATTTGTTAAGTCAGTTTTTATATATTTTTGATTGATTAGCAAAGATTTTGGTGGGGTAAACCATATCTTAAGTCTATTTCTGGGGGATCCCCAAGTATTTTGACACAAATTAATGGTTGAGAAATGATCCGACCCCATTATACCCACCTTGATCCCCGAAATGTCTACGCAAATCGCAAACAAATTTGCTTAAATTTCTTGTTAACGATGCCGTCAAAAAGAGAGCCACCCATTTGTTTGACAAGTATGTCCCCCGGCCAGAGCCCGGGCTTATCAAATGACAATCATAACAGATTAATTCGCGAAAGCCCCGCGACGCCGGTAAGTAAGCAATGGCATTTGTGTAAGCCACAGCAAACAATCGGCGCGCAATTAATAACTGTTTACCCTGCGATTAAAAAGCCAGGCAACTAAGCTCCATTGTCTCGCTGGCTGTTTGTATAATAAATCAATGGGCTGCCTCGGTTGATTGTTTTCTTGATTAACTATGCAATTGCCGGGGGCGCCGGGAATTAAGTAACAACTGCCGCCCCCGCCATAGACTATATATCAAGGAATTCGGAGCAATATAGAGGCGGGGGTAGCTTAGCTAAGCGCTGCAGCCTGGCCAGATCGGTTTTGCGTTGGCCAGGCAAATGGTGCACAATCTTCTGCTCGGTTTGGCTGCACATGACAGCCGGAAATGGGAAACCGGCTAACAGTTACGTGCTGTTGGCCACACAGTAGTCGGACTTTGCGCCGGCTCCTTCGCTTGTCCTCTGAGCTGGTGCCTTCTGCTCTCTGGTTTCGTTCTTTTTTTTTAGACTTGCTTTCTTTCGCTGCTGTTATAAATCACGCGCTAAGCACCAAGACCACTAAAGGGCATGCCTGGCAGAGGCAGTGGCAGTGGCAGTGGCAGGAGCAGTGGCAGTAGCAGGAGTAGTGGCAGTAGCAGCAGAGGCAGTCATACCAATGCACATTGGGTCAGCATTGCAGTGGACAGATTTAATTCAGAACGGAATCGGGGCAATGAAGAGCATCGAATTAAGGCATCAGAGTTTATTAACACAATGGGTGGACATTGAACTTGTAGATGTTTTAAATTTCTTAGATTTTATTATATCATCCAATAAGTTTTTCAATAAAGGTTTTATGGCTTAACTCCAATAAAATCAATTTCCGGTTAAAATTCAAACCAATTGTATAAGCAAATTATGCATTTAATCTTGTATAGTTTCTATTTTAAAGTAAAATCAAACAACCAATTTATAGAGCAACAAGAAAAAGCCAGATAATATTTACGTATTATCCTTTAATAATAACAATTTTCGTTATTTCTTTTAAGTTTCTGTTAATGTTAGTACTCAGTTATTTAAAGTTGCCCCTTTAGCGTTATTTCACCTAACTTTGATCCACTGTGGAGCGGCATCTGGGCATCTGGCATAAGGTGCTTATATCGAAATTGCTTTTCTGTGTATGTGAGCTCGTGCACACAGGAATATCGCTCAGCCGCCCTGTGTGCGCTTGACTGCTGACTCGCTTGAAATATTCGCAGAATTTCTTTTATTGCAATAGTCCACTGGTAGTCCACGTTTTTTCACCCACTTTCCCGCCCTTTCCGCCTCTTCTTTTCCTGGCTTTTCCTTGTTGGCCTCCCTTGTGGCTGTTGTTGTGGACACACGTGTTGCCTACTTTTCCTTATTGGCATACAATTGCTTGTAAATTCTCCACACTGAAATCAGTGCTTGTACTTTTTTTTTTTCTTTCTTGTTGTCCTGGAAATTGCAATCAACTGTCAGGGGGGTGAGGTGGGGAAGGTATGGGAAAGGGTATGTTGCAGCCATAACAACAAAGCAGAAATGCGTTTTGACCGTAGAATTTGTAATTTGCAATTTTCCATCTGCCTGAACCTTGGGTCTCCATTTCCTTCAGCTGCCCTGCCTGCATCTCGGCCTTCTGATCCATGGCTCAGTCCCTTCGGCTTATTAGTTGCATAACTGGAGCCCGTCCAACCAGGTGACGTACATTTTGGCTGCATTGTTTGCCATATAAGGCTGGTTTTCATTTGTCCACCAAAAGGCATTCAAATGGCAAATGTTGCACATTTTCAAGCCAGTTAATTGCATGGTTTCCCATAAATTACGTATATTATTGGGAAATTGAAACTGAAACCGAAATTGGGTCTGTTCAAGCGAACGCCCTTTGTGCGTTCCTGTTTTGTTGGGGAATTTGCAATCAGGAGAAAATTAACTTTTCACTTTTAAGAAGGACACAGGTCCTACTGCTCTCCACAAGTAACTAGAATTGTTTATAAAAGGAAGGAATGTGAACAAGTATAATAGGCTTTTAAATGGAAAAATTAATATAAAAACAAAGAAAATAATATGCAATGCATATTAGGTTACCTAATTTATTTTGATTTTAAATATTTTTAATATTTAATAAGAGATATTTCAATTATAATAATGGAATGATTTTGAATTAAAATGATCAAAAGCTATATTTTGCACTCCTCAAACGTTTTCTCCATTTATTTTCCCATTGATAATTGTCGGAATCAGGTGCGCTTTCTCTGGAAATGCTTTTTGGTATTTTCGGAAATTAATTTACTGCTTATTCAGCTTACACCGCCTTTCAAATGCGGCTCCTGCCTCCTTCTCCTGGTCCTGATGTGGTCACAGGACACTTTTTTGTATGCCAAGCGGAATGCCTTTTGCAAAGTTTATTTACGGCACACAGGAAATTCGATTTAAATTGTAAACAAGCCCAGTCAGGCAAGTCATGGGCACGGCACAGAGCAGTTCCTGCAGCTCCTTGGACCGATCCCCCGAGTGGATGCAGTGAATGCAAATCCTGCTGCAGGAGGACTGCTTAAAGCACTCGGCTTTAAGTGGTGTATATCCTGCATCCTGTCTTGGGCAATGTCCCCTGCCAAGAGCCTTCTCTAAATGCGAATAAGCGAGACATGCAACAAGGATAAAAGCAACACCAATTACAAAGCTAGGTGTGAACTGCCAGAGGAGGCGACTGCAGGGGAAGTAGACATCCTGATTGCAAATTTCTGTATTTCTTGTGAGTTAGGCTGCGGCCGAGCTACTTTTGCAAAATCTTCACTCAGAGGAAAAGTGTTAGACACAGCTATTACATATATTTTTTATTACTTTAGTTAATGTTGAATTAAGTCCTAATTTAGTTAATTAAAATTCGCAAATATTATAATTTTACCTTTAATTAAAAGACCGTTAGCAGTCCCTATTTTTTTTTTTAAGTGCCCTGATTTAGCCACTAGTTGCAACGGATGCCATAAAGGATACGCGCTTAGATTCTCTCCGCCGTCGCTGTCGCCGGATCCTTGGGATACTCCCTTCTTGCGCCTCCTTGATGCCTCGCACATTTTATCTCTTCCTTTTGCCGTGCTCATCGCCTTTGCTGCCATTGTGCCTGGCTCTTGGCTTTGTCGTTTTATTGCCGGTTTTCCGCGTCGCCCTCGTCGCCTAATGACCTTTCCATGGTCTGCGCCTGGCCCACAGAAGGGCTAAGAGCCGAGGGGCAGGAGCTAAGAGCCCTCTGAGCGGGTGATTACTGTGAGGAAGCCGGCAGAATCTATTAACACTGCATGCCTCGACATATTTGTCGGGGTCTCTGAGGTTTCGACCGGCTTGGGAGCCGGGTTTCTCCGGCGGAGAGAAATGCGAAAAACGCGTTACGGCGCATCATTATCATTCTGTCGTTAATTACATTTTTCAGCGCTTAAGTGATTTATTCCGCAATTTTATCGTTTTCTAATTTTTTTCTATTGAGCTCCCCGCATTTAATGAGTTTGGCCCAACGCGTAAATAAATGCGAAAGGGAGGAAGCCGCTCCAATAAGTAATGGGAGCTTCCCCAGAGATGCTTGATATGGGGCAGATATATTGAGGGGTCGTGCGTGAATCTGTTAAGACGATAATTAAGCACTTGCTTTGTCTGCCGATGATGTGCTTGAATTATTAATAGCACGGCGCAGGATATTTTCTGCGAAAAAATCTGTCATGCCATGCAAAATTAATTAAAGGAAACAACAGGATGTAACATTTCCGTGTAGACAAACCTAGTTCCCGGTATTATTTCACTTTGTGGAGATACGAATATATTTCAGGGAATAAAGTCATTCGATTGTCAGCTTATTTCAATGCTTAGTTAAGCTTCTAATTGGTTTGAGATGTCTTTAAATTGTATAATTTCTACTGCAGCACATCAGCAATTGATTAAAACTCATTGATGATGAGAATCTGCAGCGCACTTCAAGACTAGAAACCGATTCGGATTCCCACTTTATTTTACCCGTCGATTTTCCCCGCTTGAAGCACTTTAAAATAGATTTGTTAAGCGACACGAGCAGCATCTCATTTGTGGATATATTTGAAGAGATAGAGTGTTATACACTCAGATAAAGAAGTACATAAAAACTTTAACTACTTAATAATTTTTGTTATAAAATTGTAATAAAATTTCCAATATATAAAAGTTTAAGAATAAAATGCTTAGGTACACAGAAAAAATGGTAGAACGAAAAAATCAAGAATATTTTTCTTGATTTTTTCGACGTTGTGGATTAAATTTTTTAAGTACGATTCGGGGTTAGACAGTCGAGTTAATCCCGTTTCGGGATTAAATGACAAATTAAGCCTAAAAATTCTTGAATCAATCGCGTTTCGGGATTAAAATGACAAAATGAGCGTAAGAATTCTTGAATTAATCTCATTTTGGGATTATAGAGGCATAATAAGCCCAAACATTCTTGAATTAAGCCTAAATATTCTTAAAAATTTGGTGAGAGCAGCAAATCTATTTTTAGCTCAGAGAGAGAGATAACATTTTTGCTCTTTCCTTGAAACTGTATGTATTCGCGATCCCGACATTAGCTTTTGATTTGACTCAGTGGCCCAGTTGGTAAGCGGACGGTCTGTGATTTCTGAGACATGGGTTCGAATCCCGACCGGGAACTAGGAAAAGTAAGTTTAAGTGGCTTTTAATAAGATTTATACATTAATATAATTAATTTAATAACCATTTGTAGCTTTATAATTACAGATTTAAATAAAAACTTCTTTCACTTCTCACTAAGAACTTTAGAGGGATTAAATCAAGGATTTTTGGGATTAAAATAATTAAGAATTTCGGGGACTAAATCGAGAAAAAAAACTTTTTTTTTTTTTAATTAAATTTAAATTTAAATTTTTAAATTAAAATTTAAGAATGTTTGAGATTAAATTAAGAAAAATTGGGATTGAAATTTTTAAGGTTAGCGGGATTGAATCAAGAATTTTCGAGATTGAAAAAATTAGGTATGTTCGTTCTTATATTAAGAAAATCCGACCTTAGCTCGAAATCATGCCCACTTGGGATTGATTTTGGCGACTTTATCCCGGATTTTTTTTTCTGTGTACATATCTAAGATAAGATATTAAGCACCAAAATATTTCTTGTATAAATGTGAAAACGAACCTTTATTAAGCCCAACATAATAAATAAAGGAAGCGAGCTAAGTTTACCACAGCATTATCATTTATTTGTTTACATAAGAATAAAGATTAAGTTTTTAATAACTCAACAAACTCCCTTCTAAAGACTTTGCAAACTTTTCTTAGCAAGTTTTCGTTCAGTGCACAAGTTCAGTTTACTAAAAAAATATTTCCCCGACACAACGATTTCAATTTGCTGGTCTCTGTCACTCAAGCAAGCCACGCCCCTCCTTGATACTCGGGGTGCATGCTGCAGGATTGGAAACTGTCAAAGTTAAATTAATAAAACTCCTGTTAACATTCGGCTCTAACAAATCTACCCTCTCAATCTTCTTTATTTGCAGAATCTGAAGAATCAAATCATGACAACCAATGTCTGGGTGGAGCAGGTAAGCTTCACTTTAAATATAAAGCATGATATATAGTATGGTGCATATATATAAGTATATATTTGTGCGGTTTGCTCAACTGTGATCTGGCTTCCGAGCAACATGAATTCGCCATTTGCATGCCTCGCTGGCGACGAATGCAAAATAATTTTCGCCAGCCAATTTCGACGCGCATTCGCATTATGCCAAACTTCTGACTTGGCCAAGTGGCCAGGATCCAGAGTCGGTTCCTGTCTGGTCGCCACTCTACATGTCCATTGGCTTTGGACTAATGCGGCCAGCAGCAGCAGCAGCAGCAGTTGGCCAAAACGCCACAAGAGGAATATCAATTGGTCCGAGATCCGACTTTTATCCCAGCTGCTTTTAACGGGAACGGGAGGGACGGACTTTAAAGTTTTCCGGTTTTGCATAAAACATGCACAGCAAATGCCTCGCACACAAATTGCAGTCAATAGTGCGCGGAGCTTATCCAAAGTATTTGGTTTGACAATTCACTAAAACCGAAAACACTAGCAAAAGCAGAATTCCAAATTATACATTAATTATGCATTCACCAAACAATTTGGCATTGTGCACCGCTGCTGAATGGGTATTTGTTTTGGCCAAATGCGGACGAATGACCGTTTAGGCCTTGTTATGAGCGGATGCATAGCGTTTTGTGCTTCTGATAATAATTTCGTTTTGGAAAAACAAAGGCTAGAAAAATGTATACATTTATTTGAGTAGCAAATATTATTTTTTAATCAATTGTTAAGCTACGCTATTTTGTTTTAATTTATCTTCTTTTTGTATGCATTTAAGCTTTGCTATAAAAAATAAATATCTGAAATTGCAAAAGTATTTGTTTATAAATTGCTGAATTTTAAACATTAGCTAAGCTAAAGTTGGATAAGGCTTGAAATAGTAGACTTTCATTTTATTTCAGACAAACTGCATTTGGTTTCTTTATCGGCAAACAATTGTGAATTAAAATGGCAATTATCGCAGTTTTATAGAAACCTGAACCCCACCGATTATATATATATGTTTGCCTACTCATTCGGTTGGGTGGCAAGCCACGCCCATACATAAATGGGCGGCAGTCTGTCAATAGAGCCCCAAACGTGCTCGAGCGTATTTGACCAACATGCAGATGCATTTAAGCAGATGGCCTGGGCAACCGCAATTAAATGAGCAATATAAACCATAGACGGGCAGTGCTGATTTTAGACCCAAACAATTTGGCATCTCATAAACATCGATTTCTGATTTGCTTCACTTAATTCAATTAATTTTACTCGCCTGCATGCCCGTGTTTGTAACCTGTTAAGCAGCAAATTAATACGAGATAAATAAGAAAAGTAGATTTTTTTAGGCAATGCCATTTGATTTTTGTCATAAAGAAAGCACTTTATGCTGATAATTGCTGGAACGCATGTAATCACAATTGAAACGCGATTTCGTGCGTAAGTCGGATCAATATTAAACCGGTTGGGGATCCCGCTACTCAATTATATTTGCAATTATCGAGAAATTTCATGCTTGGTCAGCACGCGAGCGTGTCTGCCATCGGGCAGCCTCCTCCTGAACCGAGTGCCTTAATCCCCCAGTGTGATGGCTCCCACTTGGCTTGGCCGCATAAATACATACTGGGAAAGTGGCAATCAACATAATTACAGTTATATGTAGAGACGATAAAAAAAAAACACGAGTAGAAGTGCGACAATAACGAGTCACGACTAAGGGATACCTGATTGATCATTAAAAGTATTTAAAATTGAATAAAATAAAAATATTTTATATTACTGTTTCTCAGCTAAACTGTCCTAAAAACCACTATTTTGATATTACAAAATATATTTTATATACATTACAACAACTATTACTATTTATTAGTCAAAAGAAATAATGTTTTCAGCAAGTTCTATAAAAAAAAATATATATAAATATTAACTTGGTAGTGATTTTCAATCATTAACTAAATAAACAAAACAATTTACAATTTAACAACATTATTTTACCATTAAAAACTTAGAGATTAAAGCCTCTAAACCATATGTATAAGTAAATAACTCATATACCCTTCGAAAGGAAACCAAACACTTGAACAACGATGGCAAACATTGAAACACAATTGTATTATGAAAATGTAATTTAATGCCAACAGCTTAGCGACCAATGAATTAATGCATAATTAATGAAATTGAAATTGCAGCAATGCGAGAGTTAAACGCCCTGAACCACAAAATGAAATATTTATACATATATCAGGCCCTGAATTGGCACTGTTTACGCCCGCATTTTCTAATTTTTTACATTTAGTTTTATTCTTTCTCTATTTTTCATGGCAAGCAGGCATAAATAATTGCCATCTGCCATTTGCATATTTGTAGTTTCTGTTGTGCTTTTACTGACCAATCCATTTTACATTGTGCATTTGTGCTATTTCAGGAATGGAACGACTATAAATTGAAGTGGAATCCCGATGATTACGGCGGCGTGGACACTTTGCACGTGCCCTCCGAGCATATATGGCTGCCGGATATCGTGCTCTATAACAAGTAAGTGCCAAACTAATTTTCGCCCAGCTCATCGACCCGGGCCTCGCCTCCAGGCTCTAGGCTCTAAATCTGAATCTGAATCCGATTCGGAGCCCAAGTACCGCGCTGGAGTCGCTTTGCCATTTGCATAATTGCCCAGAATGGGCGGCGGTATAAATCAAAGCCAAACTGTTTCTCCGCTTGGCCATTTATCAGGCGATGATTAACGTATTTTTATTTCAATGTAACTTGAGCGTTGCGGTTGCCTTTCGGGAGCCACATCCCCTAGGCCAGGCTAAGTGTGTCTGTTGGGGAGGCTCCGGCTCGGAGTCTCCATTCCACTGTTCTCAAATTGAACGTTTTCTTTTTTGGCCACTGTTGGTATAATTATTATAATTTGCCTTGTGTCCTATTTGCTGGAGTAGTGCCAATTAGGAGACAGGACTAAGGCAGCGGCCATAGAAACAGTTTAATGTATCGTATACTTTAGAGACACTGAAAAAAGATTTAATATATAAACCAAAAATATATATATATTTATCGGGATTAAATTATGTATAAATATATCTCTTAAAATTAAGTTAAAGGGGAGAATATACTATAAATCTGTTCAAGTTACCAAGTAATTGTATCTCTAAAATCAAGTGAAAATAATTCGAAAAGTGTAAAATATCCGACGAGCAAATTAAATAACCCCCAACCATTTAGCTTAGATTCTCGCTTTTATTTCCCAATTTATTTCGCATTTCTCTCCAACATTTCCTGCCCACGGTCCGCCCTCAGCTCGGTTTCCCAGACACTTGACTTTGTCGATTTGGCAGCCAGCTGCCAGTCTGTCCGGCAAGCACGGTCTCCCCTCCTTCCAGGACCAGGACATCGGTCAGAGGATATCTCGGCCATAGCGCTGTTGTTGGCGCTGCTATGGCAGATCGGCTTACGCGCTTTATGGACCCTTTATATGTTACCAGGGACGGTGGCAACGGGGCAGATACGTACTTTTTTTTATTCAGCTGCCTTGGCTAAGGCAACTACTATACGCATAGCGGAGCATACTTTCTGGGTGTTTCGCTGGAAGTGTCATAAAAAGTCGTAATTTATTGCTTGGAAAAAGCTTAAATTTCATTTGCCAGCAACGACAAAAGCATTGTCGTTTGTAGCTGTGAGTGTGAGTAACTATGGCGACATATACTTTAAGAAATAATTCTTGATTTGGGAATGATTATAAATGTTTTATAGAACTGTAAAATAAATGCATTTAAATATAAAATAATCTTTCTAAAATAATTCAAGTCATATTAAAGTATAATAAATAAATAATTATATTTTCTACTCATTTTATTTCAAATATAAAAGGACCCCTTCTTTCTGTGTACCCGGACAGAGTGTTACTTGAACGCCATGGGTGTTATATGGCCAGCTTTGGTCGTCGAGACATTTTTTAAACTGCAAATAATTTGTACGCACCATAATGAAGCCATGGCTCGCTTTGTTGCCGCATAAAATTGAACTTGAAGTGTCCTTTGTGTCCACGGCGGATACCTAATTGTGTTTCGTGTTTTGCTTTCCTGCCTGCCAATCCAAACGGCAAAATGGCCCGGCCGAAAGTCCATTTAATTTAGTGGCAAGTTGAGGTGATGGCTTACGGGCCTTTTTATGGCATTGCCAGCGTTTCCGACCGTAGAATCTCGGCGGAAATCTGCGTCAAATTCATAAAAATTAAATGAACGCTAGTCGAATATTTATCTTGTCGGCTTTTAATGTTGCCACAAGGATAATAAACGTAAGTCCAACGTCAATATCAATATCCTGGCTTCTGCCACTGCCGGCTGGGCTCTTAGTTTGATTTGTTTGCGCTCGTCGAGGAAAGCCTTCGATCCTTGGCGCAAACAAGCGGCCAGGAAAATGTATGCAGAAATTAAGCGCCGAGAATTGCAGGGCGAAAAAAGCGAGCGGCTCCCGGGGAAAAGGGCTCCCCCCTCCGCCTCGTTTGTTGTAATTTTAAATGCAAATACATGTGCAGTCGGAGGAAAAGCGCGTTTATTGTCGCACTCGCATACACACACGTCGCATTCGCAACAAGGACGATGGCAATCTATTTTGCGATGCAACTTTTGTGCTGCGAAAAGTGGGGAATCCCCGACGCAGCCGCGCCCATTTGTATGCAATGAAAAATGTTTAATTGTCTGCTAAACGCGCAATGGCAGCAAAATAAATAGTTGGCCAAGCTCTGGCTGTGGTTCTGCCTCTGTTTACGGCTCTGGGCTCTTTGTAAATGGCCCAAATATCTGCCAGCATACACCACCACGCATACCTGCGTGCGTGAGGCACTTAAACCGCACAACCACACACACACACACATACTCACACGCGCATTCAGGGCCAAAATGCCGGGCCACAAAAGAATTTGAAACAAGCGTCAAAAGTTGTTATTTATTGCACGCGCCTCGGCATGTTTTTGTGTTTTGTTCTATAGCCATGCAACAGCCAACAGCCAGGAGCCAGCAGCAAATTGCAACATTTTTGGCAAAATTTTTGTTAATTTTTAATTGCAATTACCTTGTGCATTTGTTGTGCACTCAACCCGAAAGCGGCGAAAGTGGTCTCCCGGGCTCTGACATAATTATCTTCTGGCATATGAGCTCATCAAAAGGGCATACGTGACGTGACACCCGAAACATAGTCAATGGAAGCCTCTATAATTTAGTGGGCTTTTGTCCTCCCACCAATACAGGCACAAGCCCATTGTTTGTATTTGTGAAAGCCGCTTAATTCCAGCAATTAATTTTCATGTTGATCCAAGAAATTAAAATCGCACTCGAGTGACTCAAGACCCCGGCTGGCATACAACTGGCTTCGGTCTACCAGCTTTCGGTTTTGGGCCCATAACCGCCGAGCTTATTCTGGCCGCACTTAGTGGTTTATGCGATTGGTTATTATTCTGGTTAGCTGGCACACAAACACACACATATGTATGTATATATATGTATATATTCCGCATATGAGTTCATTTTGGCTTTAAGCCGAATAATTACTGTTTGTCTCCATGGAGATGAAAATATTGTCATCTTAATTACTTCCAATTACTTTGTAAATATTAATATATCTTATGTGTGCTATTGGATCTCAAATCGAAGAAATAAATAGAAGAATCAAAGAATGATAAATGGAAGCTTATGGAATTATTATGATTTTGTTAAACATAGCTTGTCCTGAAATGTACAAAATTTTGATTTATTCAACTAAAAATCTTAGGATGTAATGGAGATCGAGGGGAAATTGCATTAAAAATATTACAAATATTTCGATAATTATTTCAAATAGACTCCTTATAGCGGATATAAAGTGGAAAAATCCCTTTTGCAACCTTCTGACTAAAATTATAATACGCTGGCAAGGGTATAAAAAGAAGATCATTATGTAGGTTATATAAAAAAGGAATATTTTTTACTGTCCTTATTATTTGTCTGCATTTTAGCCAAGCTAGACAGACCTGAAATGTCTGGCCATCATAGTCCAAACAGATTCAAGGACGCAAACATATGGCCTATTTGGCGGGAAGCATAATCCACGCTAAACCAGTACACACACACAGAGAAACAGTCCCACCACACTCCCTCTAAGGGTTGGGAAAACGCATTACCATTTTGAGATGCCATATTAGCCGAATGCCATAAATCTCTGCCTAGGCATTAGACCCTCAAACCCTACGTTTGGCACTCCCTCTCCATGCACTTGCCACTCGGCATACTATTCCCAAAGTGGTCTGCGTTGCTTTGTTTTCTTTAATTAAATGAATGTTGTTGACAACTTTATTATCAGCTGAACTTTTGCGAGGCCCGGGCCTCGACCAAGGACCGCACCCTCACCCACAGCTGGAGGAGCAGCAGGAGCGGGAGCTGGAGCAGTGGAATGAGAATCAGGAACAGGAGCCACAGCCACTTTAATTCTATTATTGTATGTTGCTAGATGGCCTCGCCCCTCTCATTGCCACAGCCTTCCGCTCGTATCTATGATTCTTTTTCAACTGCTGTTGGCTTTTAGTTTTTAGCATGAAAGCTGACGACAACTGCGTTGAAATCAAAAGAAACGAAATAAAATTTCATTATCTTTCATTAGATTTATAAAAATAAAAATGGCGTGGAGAAATACGAGCAGGGCGAGGGGACAAAAGGCAGAAAGGACTCGTACTAGTACTGTGACTGAGACTGAAACTGGGGAGTGGCATTGGGAATCGAGAGAGCAGCGGCAACAAAGTCAGCAAAAAGTTTTTCTTGGCCGGCAGCGGGTTGCCAGCCAACTCCCTCGCCTCGGTTACGGTACAGTGGAGCAAAGTTCCATCAATAATTTACCATAAACGGAAATCCTTGTAGCTTGAAATCATTTTTTGGGTAAATAAACTATTTGGTATAATAAACTATATGATACATTAGACATTGAAGAGGTGAAAAACAATGTATATATACAAGGTGCGTTCCAAAGTAAACAGGACTTTTTTAATCTAGCACCCTCTAGTGGCGCCATCTATATGTCAACTGGTGCGTTAGAATCTGCTATTCTTTATCGACTTCCAGTACAAATTTCATGACATTTCATCTATTGGAAGTGAGGTTATTGCGTTTTAAGTGTCAGTATGTTTTTGTCATCGGTGCGAAAATGAGCTTCGAACAAAGAGCCTTAATGTTTTAAAATTGGTAAAACTTTTACCGAAACGTTTCAATTGATAAAACAAATTTATGGCGACGATTGCCTATCCCGTGGCAGAGTGCACGAGGGGTTTCAACGTTTTCAAAGTGGTAATGAGGACATAAATGACGATGAACATGTGGACCAACCAAAATCCGTGATCACCGAAAATTCCATCGAAATTGTGCGAGAATTCATAAAAAATCAGCCGAAATCATCATTGAAATATATGGAAATAGAATTGAACATCTCCAAAACATCGATTTATCGCATTTTGACCGAACATTTGGCCTTACAATAGGTGTGTGCACGGTTTGTTCCGCATAAATTGACTAACGTCCAAAAATTGCTCCGCTTGTGTCCGACTATTTGACGAAAAATCACATTTTAACCATCAACCACTCCCCGTATTCACCTGATATGGCACCGTGCGACTTCTACCTTTTCGGAAAAATGCATTTGCCGGTGAAAGGAAAGCGTTATGCAGACGTACAGGCCATTCAAAGGGCTTGCACCGGCATACTGGCGGCCATACCGGGCAACGAGCTAAAACACTCGTTCGACATGCTTTTGGACCGTGCAAAACTCTGTATTAAAGCAGAAGGAGACTATTTTGAATAAAATAAATTTATTTTGCCGAAAAAACTATTTGTTCTGTCTAATTTTTAAAAGTCCTGTTTACTTTGGAACGCACCTTGTATTATTAAACTTAATACAATTTGATCAACCTCTCTCAGAAGTTTATTTATGTATTTCAATTCTTGTTTACTTGAAGGTTGAAGTCAGTAAATTAATTTTCATGGCTAAAAATACTTCAATTATATTATTAATAATAATTTAAGTACTGAATAAATGAAATATTTAATTAAAAAAAAAAAATGTTTAACTGATTTTTCAACTAAATATTAAGGTAATGATTAATAGATTTATAGCCTAACTTTTATGTTCGTTATTAAATACAAGAATTATTTTTTTTAATTTTATATAATATCTTCTATATTTTAAACATAATACTCGACTTTGGGCCCACTGTGAAGTGCTTCGATTTCTGGCCTGAAAACTTTGACTGGGCCCAGAGATACAAAGATGGCGCTGTGCTCGCTCTGCGGCGCTGAGATTAACGCGCTGATAGACGCGGCAGGCGCCGTCGGCTTGGCCAGGATAACTGCCAGGACGAGCAGCGATGACACTCATACGCCGCCTTGTCCGGCCCTCCCTCTCACTACCCCTCTTCCAAGCTACTACTCTGTGTGTGTGTGTGTTTGTGTGTCGTTCTGTGTGTGAATCACCGTTAAGATAATGGCTGCAATTGCGGTGACCCCCAGGCGTGGTTTTGCCTTTTTTTTCGGCTTCGCCTATAAACTTTTGTTCTCTTTGTTGATTTTCTTTCTCTGTTGCCCCAGACTCCTCTGCTCTTTATCTCCATCTCGCTCCCTCCCCGTCTCTCTTCCTCCCATCCAGCCTCTGGTTCTGTGTGTGAATGTGCCTGTGCATTGCCGACAGCCATTTTAAATGGTTTTTAGCCATTAATGGCTGCCGCCCGTGGTTGTTGCTGCCACTGCTGCTGCTGCTGCTGTTGTTGTAATAACATTTTAAAATGCTTTGCTTTTGGATTTAGATTTAGTGTATGTCTCTGGGCCAGTGGCGTTGGCCAGAGCAGCCGAAAAAGGACCTTGCTGCTAATGGACCACCGTCCGCAAAGCCCACAGACGCCGATGCTATATGCGAGATATGGAGGCGTGTCCCTTCCCCGGGGAACAGGACCTGAATCCAAAACCGAATCAGCGCATAAGCGTTCAGCAGAAAAAAATACAAAAACAAAAAACATTAGCAGCAATTTTTGTAGTCTAAAATGAATTTGTAATTAGAACCTAAAATGTATTTTTAATTAGCTCAGCAATTTTAGTAGATCCTGACCGGAGACAACATTTGGTGGGGAGGAGAGGGAGAGCTCCAAGAGAACTTAGTAAATGCGAAATATAAAAAGTCAGTTAAAGCCAGTTGAAAGCTCAATAAAAGTAAATGTCCGGAGCTCATACAATTAGCCAGAGGCTGGACGATTTAAATTAAAGATAATGATGAAAAAAATAGAGGGAACACTATACTTTATATCAAAAATAATATATTTTATTTTACCAAATAAAGAATTGTACTCTAAACTCTATTTATTTTTTCAAATTATTTATGATAATATATAAACATTTTAATAGACCCATAATTTATGATTTTCAATCCCTTTTCCTTGCAGCGCCGATGGCAACTATGAAGTGACAATAATGACAAAAGCCATTCTTCATCACACGGGCAAAGTGGTGTGGAAACCGCCCGCCATTTACAAATCCTTTTGCGAAATTGATGTCGAATACTTTCCGTTCGATGAGCAGACATGTTTCATGAAGTTCGGCTCCTGGACCTACGACGGTTACATGGTAAGTGTTTCCATCTTCCCATACTCCCGATTCCTATGGCAATCCCTATTCCAATCCCAAATCCAGGCTCTATTAGAAGGCCCGCCGCAACAGCTGGCAACTCAGGCCACGGACAGATTATGTCCCGGGCCATCAATCAAAATCGAAGCCGAGCAAAATCCAGAAGGAAAATATCGCTGAGCTGAGGCCTCCCCGGTTTTGATTCTGTCTGACTGAGTGCTAATCAAACGTTGCTCTGACTCGATTATAAAAACATTAATTTTGAGAAATATGTGGGGTCGCCGTTAAACGACTATTTAAACATGTTAAAAAAAAGAACGACTTTTTTTATGATTTACTTGAATGGATTTTCATGGTTAAATATATGTGCGTTTTTTCCATTCGAGTTCTGCAGTTAATGTTTACTTTGTTTTTTGTACACTTGACACGTTTCACTTGCTGTCATGTGATAAATCAACTGGAGTCTCCCCCCATTTTCCATTTTCCATGCACATCGTGTGTGCGTGTGTGTGTGGGTGTGTGAGATAACAGCTGGCAGCTGCGTTTAATGAACCAGCCACGCCCATGCCTTTTCAAAAACTTTTGTGTAGGGACTGTTAACGACGAAAAACAAAGAAAATTGGAATTTACAAAATTTACAGAGGAGCTCGGAGTAAGGAATACCTCTTAAATTAAGGAAAAAGAAATGTTAATATTATTGCATAATTTGTATTTATTATTTTTAATTAGTTTATTTTTAATAAATAATTTAATTTAAATTTTCATTACACTTTTATATTTTTTTAAGACCAAGAAAACTTAAGGGGGTCTTCTCATTCAAAAGCCGTTTTTTGGACCCTTTTTAAAAAAATTCTTATTTGAAAACGCAAATTGAAAACTTTTTTTATTTATTGTATTCAAAAATGTTCAAAGTAACTAAAAAAGTTGTTCTTGCCTCGATACGAGGGTTGTTCAAAGAGTAATGAGACTTCAAACTTGGTGGTCGAAAAAAAGGTGTCGTCCTGGCGGCCACGATTCAGGGTCTCCAGAACGTCCGAAATGAAAAATAAAAACGGGGTTATAATCAGAATAGATGTCATTTTCGGCTGACGGAACAGATTTTTTTAAAAAATTTTTAAAACAAAATGGCGGCCATTCAAAAAAAAAAATTCGATTTCGGGCGTTTTTTTTGTAGTTTAGTGTAAAAAAAAAATAAAAAAAAATTTAAAAAAAATCTGTTCCGTCAGCCGAAAATGACATCAATTCTGCGTCGATTCCATTTTGTTTCATGAAAATCGGTTCAGTTGAACTGGAGATATCATGGCCGCCAGTTCGAAAAACGTGGTTTCGAGATAAACGCGTTTGAAGTTTGAAAAAAGGCTCATTTTGCATAGATCTTGCTTCACAAAAAAGGCTGTATCTTCTAAAGTATTTCGAATTTCTAAAAATCCTTTTGGGGACATATACACACCATCCCAAGCTATAAATAAATGCAAAAAAAAAAAATCTCAAAAAAAAAAGTTGCCCAATGAGAAGACCCCCTTAAGTACCATCTGAAATAAGAATTTAAACTAGAAAATAAGCTATAATTCTATCATATTTTGTTTTATTAATAATAAAAATAACTTTAGGAATATTAAATACTTAGAATTCCATTTAAACTAAACAATTAAATACCCAACAATCTAATATCAAGGGTGTTGGCCAAATATTTCTTGGGGGGCGGCACAACTGTTGCTCCGCTGGAAGGCCGCCCGGCTCTTCCTTCCCGTTGTTATTGTGTTCATTATGAGCAGCAACAAAATATAAGAGAACGGAAGCCAAAGAAGGCGAAATCGAAAAATGACAGCACATTATTCTACATATAAATTTTCGTTTGCTTCCCTTTTACGCATCACAAATTTCGAGCATGCTTCATTGACTTTCGACTTCCTCGCAACCCGAATATGGGATATGGAATTGTGAATCGGCTTCTGGGCATTTTACAGTGTCAGCGCAAATGCAGGACGAGGTATTAATGACAGCTGTCCCGACCTACTGAGAGGTTTATATGTTCCACAGTATTTTTTTATTTTTTGTATTTATTTTTATACAGTTTTCCAAGTACATGACAAAGGAAATAATGCTGAATCCAAAGGTCGAGCCTGGGAATGAATAGGCAAGCGAATGAATGGTTGGTTAGTTGGCAAATCCTTGAACTATTTCCAAAGTTTCCCTCACAAACTTTTCAGGAGTTACAAATAAGAAGTCGAGAATAGTTTGCCTAAATATGATTGCTTGACAACAGCAAAAGTTTTGTTGCTTAGACTGATGTAAGTACTTTAATTATTAAAGTTTTTGCAGTGGAAAATAACTAATTTTCGCGAATAAAATGCTACCAATCCAAACCAAAAAAACATAATTTATTATTAATAATTGAAATATTGAAATCGGCTTAAAAAACACTCCACTACAGAACCAACAACTGATAAATGAGCAACAGACAACAAATGGCAAATCAAGACAAATGGAAATGAAATAAAGGTTACAGGCGCCACTGTCATTTGCGTCTCGGCCGGCACGTGAGCCAAACTTATCTCGATTCCTGCCATCAGACGCTGAGTTAGGATCCGGAACAGGAATAGGAACCATTCACTGAGATTCCCTCTCAACTTGTCTTCCTCCCTATTTTGCTCTCTCTGTGGGCAATTCACTGTGCAATTGACGATTGTCAAAAATTTATCAGAAAGTACGTTTTCCCATCACCTTTGATTTGCCCAGCTGGCATCTGGCAATGGGGCACGGCAAACCGTGAGCGACACTTGGGGCAAATGGTGCCAAGGGAGCCTGGGGAAATGAGCCAACAAATCAACATAAATAGATGTATGATTGGCCCGGTTTTGTGTTGGGAGTGAACAGGTGCAGCAGTTGCCAAAGTTGCTGAGCATAAATCAGCAAGTTTAAAGCAAAAGGCAGCAGGTGCCAGCCTCTTATATTGATTATCCCCCACTCTTTGATCTGTGGATATTCCCTAGATAACAAATTTTACAAAAGAAATATATAGTTAAAGGCCACCCATATGAGTAAGAACATAAATTTATGTAAGACTCGATTCTCATTTATCTCTTTTTTTTAAGCAAAGAACTTGAAAAATATATTTTTTTTTCAAAATTACTAATAGACCTTTTAAAATTATATAAAACATAGCTTAATATATAATAAAATAATCTTTAAATCATTTAAAAATATAAGATTAATAACTTTTAATTTTTTTCCAGGTTGACTTGAGGCACTTGAAGCAAACTGCCGACTCGGACAACATAGAGGTGGGCATAGACCTGCAGGACTACTACATCTCCGTCGAGTGGGACATCATGAGAGTGCCGGCTGTGCGCAACGAGAAATTCTACAGCTGCTGCGAGGAACCCTACCTGGACATCGTCTTCAACCTGACGCTGCGCCGGAAGACACTCTTCTACACGGTCAATCTGATTATACCCTGTGTGGGCATCTCGTTCCTCTCGGTGCTGGTCTTTTACCTGCCCAGCGATTCCGGCGAGAAGATCTCGCTCTGTATCAGCATCCTGCTCTCGCTCACCGTGTTCTTCCTGCTGCTGGCGGAGATCATTCCGCCGACCTCACTGACAGTCCCGCTGTTGGGAAAGTATCTGCTCTTCACCATGATGCTGGTCACACTCTCCGTCGTGGTCACCATCGCCGTGCTCAATGTCAACTTCAGGTGGGTGAAGTCACCAAACAGTAATTTCGGATAGATTTTCTAATTTTTTCCGACCCTTCCACAGATCACCTGTCACGCATCGCATGGCGCCGTGGGTGCAACGCCTCTTCATCCAGATCCTGCCCAAGCTGCTCTGCATCGAGCGGCCCAAGAAGGAGGAGCCCGAGGAGGATCAGCCGCCCGAGGTGCTCACCGATGTCTATCACCTGCCGCCGGATGTGGACAAGTTTGTCAACTACGATTCGAAGCGGTTTAGCGGCGACTATGGCATTCCAGGTACGTGAATACCGCATCCTAGGCTCCACTAGCCAGCCCCAACAAAGGTATTCCTCAACACGAATGCTGTTTGAGAAAATCCCATGGAAAACAGGCAAAAGTTTTCCATTATTTTCCCGCTCTGCTTGAGGCAAACTTTCTGTGTAGAACTTTGCTTCTCGGACTGCTTGTGCGGCTGCAGTTGGAAAATTTATGAATGTTTTCAACTGGCTTTAGTGGGCACATTACCAACGGTGCATGCAGCTAGCAACGTGAAAGTTGCAACTTGCCAGTTTATATTCGCTTTTAAATATGCACAACATTGAAATTATATGCATTCAGACACACCACTTTATAATGACGCTGAGAGAGGAGGCGGGCGAAATAATTTATGACAATTAACAAGTGCAGCTGCAAGGACGCCGAAATGGAAAGTTTTGGTCGCGTCTTACGAGGAAAATGGTATTCGCATAGTTTTCTCATTGACTGGCAGCATATAAATGAGGCATTAAAGTTAACTTTAAAGTTACCCTAACATTTGTTTCCTGATAAACTTCATGCTGGCTTAAATTTTGACTAATCTACGAGCTTCCTGGCGTATACGTAATATTACGTATACGACCCGATGACCCATATAACTGGAATTGCAATCAGAAAATCCAGCTCCGATCAAAGAGTGTAATTAAAAGTATTAACACAGTCACAGCCATTAAGAAATTGACTTCGAATTACAGCCACAGGACCAAGTTCAAGGGAAACACAAACTTCATCTAAATCTTGCGGTTAAAGAATTTAATAATTTTCCCATTCGAAAGACTTTCCCAGCGCGCGAAAACAAAAAGGAAAACGACAAAAGAAAGAAGCTAAAACTTTGAAATGGCCATGCGAAATAAATGGAAAACAGAATGCAGAAAACTATTTATTGAGTTTCCTTCTGCTTCTGTTGGGCCGGCCTCGAGGTTGAGGGTCTTTTGTCCACTCACTTCCTTCGGGGACATTGTGCCTAGGAGAATTGCGCCAAAGACAAAGCAAAAAAGTTACAAATTGCATTTACAACTTTATTTGCCTAATGCTGTTAATGCCGATGCACGGTAGAAAAAATATATGACCTTCGCAAGGAGTTATTTTCACAAAATATTAGCTGTAATTTTAAAATTTTATAATTTAGAATTTTAACATTTAAATCTGCATAATAAAAGTTTAAATATATATAAAATAGTACTTCCCCTTTTTTACAAAATACTAACTTCTCCAATATTTTTCCTATTTCCAGCACTTCCTGCATCGCACCGCTTCGACTTGGCCGCGGCGGGTGGCATCAGTGCCCACTGCTTTGGCGAACCGCCGCTGCCCTCGTCACTGCCACTTCCGGGCGCCGACGACGACCTGTTCAGCCCCTCGGGCCTCAACGGGGACATTAGTCCCGGCTGCTGTCCAGCTGCTGCAGCTGCCGCTGCGGCCGCCGCCGCCGATCTCAGTCCCACGTTCGAGAAACCCTATGCCCGCGAGATGGAGAAGACCATCGAGGGATCCCGCTTTATAGCGCAGCACGTAAAGAATAAGGATAAGTTTGAGAGTGTGAGTATGCTTTAATATATATGGTAGATTACAAGGTATTGAACATTTTTTAAAGCGACTATTTTTATTTGGGCATTATTTTTATACCCTTGCTGGGTTTTTGAGCTACTGAGAACTTTTCCCTTGAAACTAAAGAGTTACTTAGGAAGTAACAGAAATTATTTCCTTTTATTTCGTTGTAGAAGCTAAACAATCCCTTCCTCCTTTTTGAGTTTAAACCGCGAATTGAAATTGGAATTGTAGCCTTGCCACGCTGTAATTAATTTCCCAAAACAGAAAGCGAAATGTAATAATCCGTGGCCACACCGCCACGTTTTCCACCGTTTTCCTCCAAAAGCAGGGAATCCTATTGGCAATCTGCAATCGTTGGCAAATGGAACAGGCAGGCCAGACCAGTCCGGACTGGAGCAGACCCAAGCTAACCAAACCAGAGCAAACCAAACCAATCCAGACCAGGCCAGCATGTCTGGACCTGTGTTTATGTCTGCTCCTGATAACCCGCATTAGCTGCAGTCTGACCAAATCCAACATTCGCCGAAGAGAACAAAAAAAAAATATCTCAACCATAGTCGGTTGAATCACGGTGTCGGAGCCGCAGGAGGTTTCTGTTTCGATGGGAGGCGAGATTTTGGGATCCTGGTGGTGATGCTGGAACTGGTGGGACTGATGGGTCTGGGTCTGGCAGTGCAAAGTGAAGGGCAATCGGGCTGTCGCCACCGTTGGAGCTGAGTGATTGAGTTGTTTGTGCGCAAATAGGAGGAGTTTGCAACATGCGGTTGCAGCAGTGCACCAGTTTGCCATTTGACGGCGAATTTGCTATGTGTACGATTCTGTGTACATTGGGCTCAGTGTGTGAGTGTGTGGATGAGTGTAGGAACCGAAATCGCTGTTTGCTTTGAAACATTTCAATCGAAGTGAACCGCAAATCTGAATTAGATCTGCCAAAGCCATTTTATTAGTTTTCGATTGGCAAAATGATTAATGAAGATAGTTGAAGGGGGAAATAAAAGGGCAGGACTCATATGGGATATCAATCATAACCATTGTTAGTTCAAAGTGGTTATTAAATCCTTAAAATCCTATAAATCATACTAGCCTTGAACCCTTACTTACGACTTTATTACATTTTCTTCCTTGAATCTTTGCAGGTGGAAGAGGACTGGAAGTACGTTGCCATGGTATTGGATCGTATGTTTCTGTGGATCTTCGCGATCGCTTGCGTGGTCGGCACAGCGCTGATTATCCTGCAGGCGCCCAGCCTGTACGACCAGTCGCAGCCGATCGATATACTCTACTCAAAGATTGCCAAGAAGAAGTTCGAGCTGCTCAAGATGGGCAGCGAGAACACCTTATAGCGACCACTTGGGTTCGCGGCTGGCTGGTGGAATCTAATCATCAGCTCGCTGCGGACCCTGTTCGCCGCTCGCGACGATGATCGTGGATAATATACGATGAGCCACACCATGAGCATTTCCTCGGCGTTGTACAATACTAACACCAGCAGCAGCAACAGCAGCAGTGACAGTGGCAGTGTCCTTGGAAGTGTTGTGAAACTCCTGGTAAATAGTGTTGAAAGGGCCAACGAAACGGAAACGTCATGGAGTCCATCGTAAGAACCGCGAGGCGAGTGAAGCGAACATTGCGAAATGAATTGAAATTAAGATACAATCGAAATCGGAAGGAAGGAGGGCAAGTTTTTGGAGCAGTTGATCAAAATATGTATGTAATGTAATTCGAGGGTGTTGTAGTGTTGATTAACCGTGACAGTGCTGGAAAGCGACGTAAGCCAGAAGATCGGCTTAGTTTGTAAGTTTTTTGATGTACTTGATGTATGATTGTATGGATTGAAGTTCGAATGGTTCCGGGGCGCATATTCCAAAAGATATACCCCGGAAGCCAGTGTTGTAAAAAGCGTACGGAGTTTTGTAAGTTATATTGTATTTTTGAGCGCCAAAAAGTTCCTTGTTACATCTTTTAGTTTTAAAGTTCCACACAACACACACACGAGAAAAAAAAAACAAAAAAAAAAAAACCGAAACAAAAACAAATGAAAATGTTTTAAAATTGCATTTTAAATTTAAATCTGACTGCATGTGTTCAGTGCGTATGTATGGCTGCTGATTTGGATGCGAGTGTGAGTGCTAAAATATACATATGGAAATGAGAATCAATTTTAATTGTTTATTTATTTGTGCATATTTTTCACAATATTTTTAGCAGGGCAAAATAAAAAAAAAAGTAAGAACACAGAACAACTGCGCCCACGCTGAATGGGCAAGAGTTAAATTGCATACAATTCGAAACTATTTTTAGCATAAATAAGTAAAGTAAATACGGTAAAGGTACATTAAATTAGCCAGTAAGTCGTAACTAATCGTAGATAAGCAAATCTAGTATTGAATTAAATTTAATATTAACAAAGCGAGGACCGATAGCTTGCTGCAAGGCAACTCGGCTCGTAGGAAGCGCGAAATTCTGAAATAAATTTAGTTGAATGTTGATAGAGAGTCGTCGTCACATTTTTAAGGCCACATATTTTTACTAACAACAACACACAGACACACACACACACACAACTATATTATATCGAGCAAGCATACATATAATATATAGAGTACGTATTTATAGGACTGCAGCTAGCCAAATCACATAAGAACAACAACAAAAACCGACACACAAAACAATTTCAATTAAAAACACACGCAAACAAACAGATAAACAGGAAACAATAACTAAAGCCAATTGGAATTTTGCGAGCACACTTTGTTTGTACAATTCGGAGCGATTTTAATCAATTAAATTATTGCGTATAATACGAATTTCATTTTCACCCAGCTCGGTTCGCCTTCATGGGATTTTGATTGTTTTCCTCAGTCACTGCCCCCCGTGTTTATTTAGCAGTGGCTTCGCTCCCCCCTTTTTCCCCCCTTTCTCTGCCATAGCATAGTTTTGTGCACTCATTATGCATTCATCGGAGCATGCGGAGCGTTCAGAAACCTTTGGCAAGTTCAATTTAAAATAAAACTTTTTAATTACTTTCAACGGGCCACGCGAGTGCCGTTCTGAGTTCTAGTTTCTCCGTTCTGCGTTCTGTATTCCCGATTCTGGCTGCTGAATTTCTGGCCAGCTTCCTCGGTCGAGTGCCGCCCGGCAAACACCTTCAATTTAAATGCCAAAGCTAACGAAACTTGCCACAAGGTTGGCTGCCACACCCACAATACCCCAGCTAACCGCCCGCCACCCACTCATTTTTGCTTTTTGCATTTTTAATTGATTTTGCAAAAGTTTTCGCCACTAGAGCAACAAGGAACAGTGAACATTAAGCAAACGCGAAAGCCACCGACGGATTTTTTGCCCCGAAGAGTGTTCAAAATGGGGTGGCAAAAAGGGGCGTGGCAACGCCGCAAGGCATGCAACAAATTAAGTGTGGAATGCAATTTGCCATTCTACGGGTGTGCGAGTGTGTGCGTGCGTGTGTATATGCATGTGCACCGGGGTATGTGTGAATAGCAGGGATCGTAACAGTTATAATTTTTATAATAAAAATTATGAAATAAGAGTTATTTTACAATTATATAGAAAAAATAGGAAATTAATTCTTATTATTCAAGTTTTATAAAAAAGTTGTAGAATAATTATTATTTTTCAATTTCTATATAAAAATTGAGTTATAACAATTATTTGCAATTTTTAAAATAATAATTGAAAATTAAAATTATTCTCCAATTTTTTATTTTAAAAATTTAAAATAACAGTTACGTGTCAATTTTTATTTTAAAAATTGAAAATAAAAATTGAATCGCAATAACTTTCCAACGGAGCGGTATATCTTAAAGATTGGCATATATAATGATTCTACGCTTCAATACCTTTCGTTTGATGTATATATTGTGGTTGTTGCATGTACACAAATATGTACATGAACATAAGTGCATATAATAAAAAATTCACCGTTTCACAAACAAACATGAATACTGAGATAATTACCCAGCTACAGGTAATAATATTTAAATATAAAGGTGACAATTTATTATATATATTTTTGTTATCCGCATTTTGGGCTTTCCATTTGTAAAAGGTATTTTAGTATCCTTGTTTGTTTGGGGAATGTAATAAGCAGTACGTATACGCATATTTTTATGCATAAGCAATAACCACAATATATACATCAAACGAAAGGTATTGAAGCGTAGATTAATTACATATATAAATCTTTAAGATATACCGCTCCGTTGGAAAGTTATTGCGATTCAATTTTTATTTTCAATTTTTAAAATAAAAATTGACACGTAACTGTTATTTTCAATTTTTAAAATAAAAAATTGGAGAATAATTTTAATTTTCAATTATTATTTTAAAAATTGCAAATAATTGTTATAACTCAATTTTTATATAGAAATTGAAAAATAATAATTATTCTACAACTTTTTTATTAAAATTTAAAAATAAGAGTTAAAGCGCAATTAAAAAATAAAAATTGGTTATAAAAGTTTATTTTATTTTTGAACTCTCCTTAAAAAATTATGGGATACCTAAATTTTTTATCTTTCCAGCTCAATTTTTTGGTAGTAACTTTTATTTTACTCATAACTCTTATTTGCAATCCCTGGTGAATAGTTAATAAAAAAGCAAAGAGCAAGCAAGTATGCACACTCTTAGCAATGGCAAAAACACTCTTCGAAATCGAAAAATATATTAAAAATTTGAATATTATTTTCTCTGGTCTTTAAACTATTTTTTAAGGTTGTTTACTGTTGACTGAACTTATTTAAAAATTTTTACAGATGATTAAATAAAATTAAATTAGCTATTCATGTGCTGTGTTAAATGATTTGTTTTATTTTAATAAAATAAAAAATGTAATAAATTTATTATCACAATAATATTTCACTTATTTTCAATCTAAAGAAGAATATTAAGTTTTATTATTGTAAATAATCTATTTTTTAAGCTACTTGTTAAAATACTGAACTTATTTTAAAATGTTTACAGATGATTAAACTTAAATTACCCATTATTATTATAAATATTATACTTATTTTCAACTTTCTTTCAATCTAGAAAAGAGTATTACATTTTTTTCAATTGAACAATTAAAATTGGAAATAATCTATTTCCCTGTTTTTTCCTGTACACCAAACCCACCAAGCTTATGTAGAATCTCCGCAAACTTTTGCCAAAGAATGCCGCGACAACGGCAACCCTGAACACCCTGCCAGGGTTGTCAAGCCGCCTGCGTGTTGCTCATTGTTGCCGGCTGCCTGAGTGTTGCCGATTCAGCTGCTGCTTGTGCATTGTGCGTGCTTGCCGGCACAAGTTTAATTAAAATTCCTAATCGAAAATATTCAACATTTGTGAATGTGAATTAATTAAAATAGTTTTCCAAGCCAACGATTGGGGCCCACTGGGCCCGAGGAGAAAGTGCAGTAGTGTTCAAGGCGAGCGGAGCGGGCCTGCCAGTATATTATATTTTCAATTTGTCCTGGCTGAAGGACTCCCGAGAATTTATTGTCAGCCATAAGCCACAATTGACCGAGTAAGAAACTTTTTGCCTATAAATATATCTCATTTCTCTTTGATTTGAACTATTCTTAAACATACAAAACCAACACCCACACAGACACACACGTTAGCGATAAAAAATGGAGTGGAAAATTTAACAGGAAAATCTAAATAGCGAATGCCATTTTGGGTGTATTAAAATGTAAAGTGCATAAAAATCAACAGTTAACATTTTTTAAATATTTAGCTATTAAACTAAAATTAAAATAATCGTTATAAAATAAACAAAGGAATATCATAAATCAAGTAATTAAATAAAACGCGAGAACTAAATGTAAACGAAACACTTGTCGTGCTAAGTGACGAAGTGAAAAATTAAATTAAAAGAGACACACACCATACCCGTACACACACACACACACACACTCATACCGGCAGATACCAATTATAATTGTGCATCAAATATTGAAATTATTAAACTGAGCTTATAAAATTTTAAAAATTACACACACATAATATTGCCAAACCTAAATGGGGAAAGGAGCGAAAACTATTTGATAAAATTCTCGACTTCCGTTTCGAAAAGCATATAATAAAAAGTCTGAAAACAAAATGCAATATACATACATACATACACATGCAAAGGAAGTATGAATATATATATATGGACACAACACACAGGACACCTTTTAAAATGCAAAAACCGAATAGCAAATAATACGAGGCAGCGTTAAAAAAATAGGTACACACAAAATTGATGCCAGCAAATGAAAAATCCGCAACCAAAACAGTTTAGATCGCACATTCAGCCCGGAAATATGAAATATACTTTGTGAAATAACGATAATGTCGGTTCAAGTTATCAGTTCCGTTACGGTCTGTAGAAATCTTGACCCTCAAATGGAAGAGAGCAGTAGATATACGCCTTTTTTGGTGCCACCTGTACATATTTATATATATTTAAATTTGCATAAGCTTTAAATATTTTTTATTTAATAAAAAATCCTCTCAGATAATTTAAATGTGCGTATGATTAGTGATTGGAAATTACATACATTTTGGTTGAGTGCATACCAATTGTTGAATCAAATTTGTATTATAAGCTCTTCCGTTTACGAATATTGTGTACAGACTTCCAGCCTAACAACAAGTGTTTTGTTATAGTTTTAGACAATCAACTATTAAAGAATATTTAAAAAACAGCAAAGCGAAATGAAAACAAAGAACTAATGACAAGTAAATGGCGTAACTTTTCTGTGAATAAAATCAACTAAACGAGTAAAAAAAAACAAAAAGCGTAAAAACATTAATGCATATTTAAGCTTAATGCCACTATGGAAAATCAAAAAACCAAAAAATAAAACGAGAGGCGACGAAGAACAATTAGAAGAAGAATTCATTTTAACAAAAACCATTTTGTAAATTTTTTCACTTGGGAAATCGACACGCTAAAGCAAAAACTAAATAAATAGAGAAATAAATGGAAGCTCGTTCTACCAAATAATGCGAAAAGAAAATACAAAAACACAAATGAAGACACTCGAGAAAAACAAAATCGAATTAACGTCAAATACATAGAAGTGTATATGCTCTCATTGGTTGTGTTTTTAGGTTATAAACAAATAGGTTTGCCTCTGTGTGGGTGTGAGAGCGTGTGGGTGTGTGGCCACACACAGGCACACGCACCGCACCAGCGCCAGCAAGCAGACAAACAATCGTTCATTCAATCACTCAATCAGTCGGTCTGCCGCCCATCGGTCAGACCCCTAGTTGTACAGTTCATTTTCACATTGATTCATAAATATTAACAAATAAATTTAATTAAATTTAGCGCGCGATTTAGCCACGGAAATCGTGCATTACTGTATATTATGCTAATAATGTCAAACATTTTCAATTTGCCTTTTAAGCCCGTTCCGTTAAGGTTACTCCCCTTTGTTTCTAGCTAAATGTTTAGTATGCTTGATACATAAAAAAGAAAACCAAAAAAAAAAGAAAAACAAATCGAAACATAGTTTAAGTAATCGAGAAGAAACCATGTAATTTAAATACTGCCACAAATAAGACGAAATGAAATGCAAATAGTACATATAAAAATATACACATATATACACATATATGTATCAAGTACGAGTATAAACGATATACGAACTAGTTAAGAGCAAACAATTTTCGGAGGTTAAAATCGGATGGATCCGATCCGATGTGAGATCAGATAAAGCCACTCAAACTAGTCACGTAAGACTCGAACATGAAGACCGGGGCTGGAAGTTAACATTGAAGCTAAGGACTAGATAAGATAAACCCTGTACATAGCTAAAGTAGCCACAACAAAATACACACACACATAGCAATGCATACGCCACGAGCACACATCGGTTCATCCCTGGACATGTATATAAGGATATATTGCGAGGCCACCGCCGATCCATCACCGATCAGTCAGCAAGCGAAAAGAATTTATTTTAAGTACAATTCATTTCACGATTACAGTTACAGCAGACAACGAACTTGTTAGAAACCAAACAAAAAACTTAGATAAAGCACAGGCAAGTCTTTGACAAAATAAAAATGAATACTGAAAACCACATAAGGGATGGCCCTCAGATGACGTTTCAAGATAGATCTGACAGGATTTTTCAGTCCTTTTCGAAGCGAGAGCGTAGCATTCATTCCGGGCCGAAACGAGTTTCATTTTAGCCAAAACGAATACAATTTTAGGGCCTGCCTTCCCCCACGACGCACTACCAAATATCATAATTAGTTAAACGCGAAATAGTTATTAAAAAAAATAACATATATTAAAGCGAGCAAAGCAAAATAACTACGATGTAAACAGGAAATTGAGGTATTTGATAAATATGCGGCTTGACCCTGAGATTCAAAAAACATAAAATCGTATGTCTTCCAATCAAAGGTCGTCTTTTGTAGCAAACACAACAAGAATCAAAGTCTGCGTATTGCTAAAGAAAAACAGTAATAACGAAAACAAATTGGAAGCCACTGTGGGCGTGCAGGATAGATGAGGAACACCACACTCTCCCCCCTCACACACACAGACACACTTACACACACTGCACTGCAAGCTCATTTGGCCAGAGATCGTTGCCTACTTCTAGGGTTGGCAGGAAAAGTAAAGAGAAAACTCCCAGCAACATTCAGGCAGGGGTGCCCCAGAAGCTGCTGGCTTTAATTCAGCCAAAGTAGTCTCCCTTTCAAGTGCTGGCATCACCCCTGCTTAACTCCCCTGAAATCTGACCCACTTTCAGTTCCCAGCAACTAATCAAGTACCTGACAATAGATGAACTACACCTTTCCGGAGTTTCCCAGTCTAAGTCCAACCCATTCATGCTCGGCTTGTACATACAAATGCCAAATGTTCAAACCGATTCGGCAGGAGTTACCACAAAAAAAAACAAAGGAACACAAAACAAAACGCGTAAATTAATTCATTAAAAACGGTTTCAATGACAGCTAAGCAAATTTCGACACTGACACACACACGAGCAGCTAGCCGCCTCTCTTCACCGCAGCAAATCGAATTTGAAAGACCTCACGACTTTTGTAAGATATTTCCCACAACCGATAAATTTAAGGACCTTGCTCATTCCCGGAGTTTTCAAAGCGCTTTCTTAGAATTTGCAAGCAGCACCACCTCACCACACTCGACACACCCACACCTTGCCCCCACACAGAACACACCCGAATAGTTAATGCTTGTGTGTATGCGTTTCGTATGACTGTCATTGCATGTGTGTGTGTGTAAGCAATGAAGCCGAAATCAAATGTGTAAATTTAATAGAAAAAAAAAATAAAAAACTATAAGGAATACTTACCATTTACCCGCGATTAAATGGTTCTTAGGGGTATTAACTATACATATACCGGTATGTATATTTTTTGTATTAACTGTTAGGTGCCGCTAGGTTTAAGAGCTTCCGTTGCAACTTTTCGTGTACATTTTCTTTCAATTCGTTCGATCAAAAAACGTATGCAAACCGAAAGGAAAATCAATTTTAGCATCAAGGTTTTTAACTTAAAACAAATCAAAGAAAATGGCAAATCTTAGAATCTTGCAACTCACTGGGGAAAACAACACCACGAATATTAAAGTTAAAGATAACGGCCCTCGGGCCAAACAAACGACAATTTGCTCAACAAAAAGAAAACAAAAATAACGAGAAGAAAACAAAACAGTATATATTAATATTAAATATATGCGCAGTAAATTAAAGCCAGATATAAATACATGTATGGGAATCGACAATTAGTTAGGCGCCCCGAGCGCTCGCTATAAATTCTACACGGAAATCAATTTTAACTAAATTGAAAATTTAGTTAAAGAATCGCATAACGTAAGTAGGCGTAAGCTACGGTGGTAATCCATAACAGATTTATGTAAAATATTTGCAACTAAAACATGACGAGATCCGTAAGTGTAGGCTAAGCTAACTTTGACACTGCAAAATCAATGCAAGATCATCAAAAGGCAAAGACCCAATGAACCCATGGCGGTGACCCGGACACTTGTGCATCAGTATTTTAAATAAATGTGACACAATACTTACATTTAAACGGAAAAGCGTTGCATTTACATTTCACATAAACAAGGAATACATAACAAATACGTGCGTAAATATATAAATAAATACTATATATATATTAAATATATATTCGAACTCTTTTGAACAACAAAACAGTAAACATATTGCATAACGAACCGAAACTAAAATAAACTACACACGCGCAGCCAGCAAGCAAACAATTGAACACTTCAAATTGATCAAAAACAAACAGGTCACTCCCAAACGAGAAGGCAAAACTTAATAGACAACAAACAAGAATATGTTGACTAACACAACAATATAAAAATGAAATGCATTAAAAAATCTAAACGTAAGACACTAAATAATGAACTTAAGCTAAACGCAAAAACAAATTGAAATAATAGCAACAATTGCGAAAAAAAAGTAACACTAAAATTGAAAACAATTAAAAAAAACGACAACACATTAAAAGAAAACAATTACTATATAAATAAATGTTACGCGTTATTAAATAAAGAAGAATGAAAATAATTTGTTTTAAAAAAATATTCTCGTCTTTTATTTGACAATCAAGGTGGGAAAAACGAAATAATTATATGATTTTTTAGATAATTTTAAAAAAGATCTTGATTTTAAGAGCCTTAAAACAGTTAAGAATATTTTTAAATGGGTTTCCAGATTTACGGTTTATTGATAAATCTTCTAAAGTCTTCAGAAAACGTTTTAGCGAGTTTATTTACTCCAAACTTTTTAACCTACTTCATCTTTAGTCCCATAGAAATGCAATCCAAAACACTCAAAGCATTATTTTTTTATTTTTTAACCCAATTATTGACTAGTTCACATAAAGTTAAATGAACTGAACTTGGTTGTGGTAGCAGCCATATATTTGCCCAAGGCCAGAGCCAACAGGGAGAACTGGCAGCCTGGATAGATCTCGTGGCACTCCCGTGAGTTCCGCTTGGAGCGGCGGTATATTCGGTCGTACTGGTGATGCTCCTGAGGCTCATCAATGGCCACAGGACTTGGGGGCAGGCTGAACACAGTACGGACCAGCTCCTGCAACATGTTGCCACGTTTCTCTGGAGGAAGCATAAACCGAGCACTCTCACACAAGGCACGTGCCATGCAAGCGCGTCCATTGAAACCCATGCTGAAGGATTAAAAAAATAGAATATTTAAAAAATATTTAATAAATTTATTGAACCCCATTGTTACTCACTTGTTAAACAAAGACTGCACCTCATCGTAGAAGGCTCTACGGGAACGACGCTTGATGGTGTCCTTGGCCAGGGTGGCGTTCAGTCCGTGTGCATGCTGGATGACCCACTGGTGGTTGGGCAGGTCATAGGCCACGCCCCAGTTAACGGCCCAACTGAGATAGTCCACATCAGGGTTGCCAATCATACCGATCGTCATGCAAATGGCTCCCTGCGCGATATGTTACCATTATGACCACTTTAGCAATACTTCCAACTGGCCAAAAGGGCCACACACTCACACCGAAACCGAAGAGCCTTCCGGAAATGCCAGATAACGCTTGTGCCGTCGCAGAACTTTCGTCACCTCCTGTGTGTCATTCACCTCCGGCGACGTGGATTCCACCAGCGTGGACCGCACTAGGAGCAGGCACATAACCAGAAAATTCTGGTGACGGAAGGAGAGCAAGAGCCTCATACTGTCAGCAGGGCGTTTCATTGGAAACTGAACCCGAAAACGAACCCATAAACCCAACCACGCTTCATGGGGGCCTATGCTTTAGCGGCTTATTAGCTCAAGTGCTGTGTTGATTGCACTGATTAGCGGCTGCCTGTAAAGTGCCTCACAACGGGGCTCATATTAACGAGTATCCATTGTCAGGAGTATGGTCTTCTACTCTGGAATTTCCACTCAAAAAAAAACTTGTTAAAATATGTTTAAAAGTGGAGAATTGTTTTTATTTAAATTCTACATTTTAATGCATTTATTTTCTTTAAATATCTACTTAGTAATATCATTAAAAACGTTTTTTATTAGCTTTAATATAAGCTTTATCTTTATGTTAACATTTTGTAATTTCTTCATTTGTTTCCGTGCAGAAGCCATGAAGCTGCAGCTTCCCCTTCATTTGGCCATCGGTTGTCGACGCGGCCAACACTGATTGCTGTAGCATGTAAATTTCTGTCAACAGTGGGAAATACTCTTGTTTTGTTTCCACTTCCAGTCCAATTGTCAGCATTGTAACGTGAAAAACAAACAGCACAAATTATGAAATTTGCAGTGTACCTTCCAGAGCAGAAGGGAGTTGCACATGAGTGTAAATCCATCAAGAGTTCTATGCGCTATCCAACTTTAAAAATATAAATAAATAATTATTCTATTTATACAGTTTTTTCATTAGTTTAAGAAAATCATATTTTCAAATAAAATGTAATATTTTGTTTTCTTCATATAACCAATATGTCCAGTACTTTTTACAGAAGGGCATCCATCGCCAAATGGTCGAAAAAATTGTCAATAAAAATGTCGATGTACGCGTATTTACTTAATTTCCATTCAACGTTTCGGTATGACATACAATAAAAATATATTTTTGCCTCATCAATTTATGCATTTTATTTTTTGTACTTATTTATTGTTTGTGCTGTGGCAATATTACAACATTTATAACAGCAAAATATGTGAGAATCCTCACCTCTTTTTTTAACAAAGTCACAAGGTTCTATAAGCCTCTAGAAGCCAGATGAAAAATTGATATAAACGGAAAAAGTATTATGGTTTTAATTCCTTAATATTGTGTTATAAAAGTCTCTAAATGTTTATTAAAGTTTTATTGAAAATACATCACACTCAAGTTGGATAAATTCATCTCTCGTTTTCTCGCCCTATTTCGGTTTTTATTTTAATTTTCATTCAACGCACATATTTCTCCTGGAAGCGTTCGCTGAACAGCAACAGAAAACTCTGCCGGCAATGCGGCCCGTACAGACTAGCGCATTCGTGGAGCGAATGGCCGGCGGTGAAGGCTTCCCGATACTTGGGCTTGTGGGCTATCTCCGGATGCACGTAGCGCAGCATGATGCGGAAGATGTCGTGGAAGAGCGTCAGGCCCTGCGGAGCCAGCAGATGACGCGCCTCGCACAGGGTCCGCATGATGCAATAGTTCGGCTGATAATTAAACCTGCAAAGGAGAAAGCGGACATATTACTGAGTCAAATTTAGGGAATAATTCTGAGGGAACATTAACATATATATTCTTTTTTTTTCAAATAAAAACTTGTCTTTAATTGTTCACAATTCCCTTATAAAATATCTAAATAAATACTTTTAATTACACTTACATCGTAGACATCATGGTCACCAGATCAAAAAGCATGCCCTGTGGATTCTGCGCCTCATTGATCACCGTGGCTCCCTGGCCCTCCAGCTCCCTTTTCAGTCTCCGGGACATGGGCGACGGTCTGCAGTAGTAGGTGCCGTACATATCCTTGACCAGATGCGAGGCCGGACATCCTGCCTGCCGCTGTTGCGAATAGGACTTGCGACGACTTAGGGTGGGAATGCCCTCCGGGTATGCGAAGTAGAATGACTGTATGGGATCCGCGGGACTGAGGGGCACTATTACAGGCTGTGGTCTTAACACAACAGAGGAATCTGGTGGCGGCGGTGGAGGAGGAGGTGGTGGTGGTGGCGGTGGAGGCGGCGGTGGCGGCGGAGGCTTTACCTTTGGCTTGCCCACTCGCCTCGGTATCCAATCTTCAATGGCCGCTGGCAGCTCATACAGACTCGTGATCTCGGCCAGGAACACCAAGCCTCTAGGTATGGTATCCAAAACGGCCTTGGCACAGTTGGCAGTGATCTGTAAAAAAGCAGAAAAATATATTTAAGGAACATTTCTTGCTATAACTCTAATGAGAACTCAATCTATATATATATATATATTTTTTCAATTTTGATTAAAGAAAACCCGACTCACCGTAAAAGCAGAACCCAGCTCAAATGTTAGCCACCGCTTTTGTCTATGAAGCAACTGGCTCTTCTCCTGCATGTAGGTGACTCCTCGACTGCTGGAGTTTTTACTTCTAGAGTCTAAGGTATCCGAAAGATCGCCTGCTGAGGCCAAGACCAAGAAAACAGTCACTAGGACTACTCTAAAACCAATAAGATTTTTCATAGCGAAGCCAGCAAAGCTCAACGAAGAACTAAAGAACCGGGACAACTTGATGGCCAGATGGAGTCGGTGGAGTCCAATTCTGTACGCGTGCCTCTCTAATTTGTCCACAAGCGTGCTTTGACCGCATTGCAGTCAGATATTTGGCCAAGACATTAGTCCGAAAGGGGTCAGTTGGCCGGGCTCTAATTTAATTAGCAAGTTGGCATTTTTGATAGAACGTTAAGACAAAAAGATTAACGGAAAGTGGGGAACAAATCAAAATCCAAAACTTTGAATCAGTTGGAAAGATGTCTACCACTTGGCCGAAGCTGAAGTTGAAGCTGCTGCTGGTCGTGGCTTTCCTCTTGGGCCAATGCCAGGCACACGCTGGAGCGAGTCACGAAGCCGGCAAAGTCAACAATGTCACGCTGACTCCACCAGGACTCATCGTCGCACAACAGCAGCAGCAACAGCAGGACGAGGAGCAGGACCAGGACCAACTGACACCACATGCGGCCCCATCGTCGCAGCGGAAACTCTCGAGAGGCAAGCGTTTTGTGGCCTTTCCCCAGGGTTCATCAGCTTCGGTGAGTCAACGAACCATCGAACGATGGCACAATTTGCCTTATCTCTGCACAGCGAGGAATTCTTTAAAAACTAAACAAATATTGTTGGTTTTTAATATTCTATGGCCTATTTGAAATCTCTTTCTTTACAAAGCAAATTAATCAATACGTATTCCTTTTGTTCGCTCAACCATTTAATGGACACGTGTAGGGCGCCGTCTGTCTCACCACCGGTGTCATCGGCAACCCCAACCTGCTGTACCTCAGTTTGGGCATCAATTGGGGCGTTGCCTACGACCTGCCCAATGTCACCTGGGTCCTGCAGAATGCCCACGGCTGGACCACCAAGAAATCGGCCAAGGCGCAAATCAAGCGCAGACATCGACGGGAGCTCTACGGCCGCCTGGAGACAATGATAGACAGGTGAGTGGAGAAGGGGAATCATGGGTCGGTCAACGGCACTTGGGTATCCAAAGTGGAATTCTGTGTGTATGTGTGTGAAAATTCACACAAAGTTGTTAGCTGAGATTGGGAATCTTGTGAAAACTATTCTAAAGGCAGCTCAAAGATAATGAAGCATGGTATACAAATCTTGACGAGGATTAGCTTAAGCTTTTTGTTGTTTTAAAAGAGATATTATTTTGGGAATATATCTATAATAATAAAATATATGGTAAAGGAAAACCTGAATATATTTGTTTTACAATAACTTAAGTTCAGGTCCCATATATATTTCACATTCTCAATCAGCACTTTAACAGCCTTACAAATACGAGTCGCACTGTGAAAGCATAGAAAATTCTTGACGAGGATAAGCTGGGCCTTATGTTCAACATTTGTATAATATATATATATTTTTTTTAATATAATAGTTATAAAATATTTCGGAAAATATTAATAACTTTTCATTGCAATAATTTCTTATAAAGGAAAAACCGCTTTGTACTAAAAAAAAATTTGTTTTACAATACTTTAAATTCAGGTCTCATAGACTATTCACAATCTTAATCACCATTTCCAGTGACTTATATTTCCGAGTCGCACTGTTAAAGCATACGGATATATGTTCCCACTCATATGTAGATACTTTACACGGTTCAAGTGGCAGGTTTCCCATTCTCGGCGGGGTGTGTCTGTGCCAAAATCAGCCAAGCCACTTGGCTTATCACGCACAGTGCGACCGAGAAAACTTCGCACCCGAAGTGGTCGTTGTACCTACCCAGCCACCCCACGCCCAAACCTCCTCCGTAGGAGGAGGAATGAGTTGGAAGCTGGGGAAAGGCGGGGATGCGTGCTCTTGGCATAATAATAAAATGTTGGTATTTTATATTAGCATTTAAATTGGCTTTTTGTATGCTTCGGAAATAGTTTAATATCCGTAGAGGACGAGTCTGTGTCTGAGTCTGCGGTTCGGCAACTTTAACTTTGAGCCAAAAGCAAAAAATGCATAACAAATTAGGCCGTAATTGGGCAGAGTTATGTGGCGAGTCCCCGTTAAACTATCTGCAATCTGTAAAATATCTTATCAACGAGCGACACACACGCAGATACACTGGGAAATTAAAAGGGATGTATTCCAAAAAATATATATTTTACATAGAAATATTTAAAATATAATATTTACAGTCATTGTTTCCTTTGTATATGTTCTGGTAATTCGTAAAATTATTTAAGGGAAATATTTCTTCTTAAAGCTTAAATATTTTCTGTCAGAATTTCTTTCTCTGCCTTAAGATACATCGAAGGGAGTCGTCGGATACAGTGACAGGCATTGTCATGGTAATCAAAGGACTTGGTCCCCTTTTCGCATTTCTGCCTCAATTCCAGAGCCCGGCTAAGCTTCAAGTGGCCGTCAAAAAGTTACCATATTTGTCCTTCGACCGTCTCTTACTTTGGCTTTTGCCTCGGATTTTTGCCTTGGTTTTGACCTTAGCTTCACGTGTCGAGAATTCGGTGTCTTGTTTGCTCTCGCTCGTCTTGTGTTTCATTATTGTTTTCCCTCGATTGGTTTCGCTTTTCGATTGTCTGTTTTGCTTAGCCTCCCACAATTGATGCCCGGCAATTTTGCCACTGACTTTTGGCACTGCTCCTTCTGGTTTACGAGCGTCTTTCCCTCTAATGGGTCAGCTAAGCGCCTCCCTGGCCTCAATTGGCTCCATCCGATATATATATATATATACATGGGAAAATTCTTGCACATGTTTGCTCGAGTGTGTGTGCCGGATCGGGATCTGCCGGTCGTTGTGTATGCGATGTATGCCCTGTGGGGTTAATGAAGTTGTTTGTTTGTTTGTTCAAGTTGACAGCCGCCACAGTGGCAGGTTCAGGGAGATTGCAGGGATCTAAGTTGGCTTGATATCCTTCCATAAATGAAATATTCCCTGGAAATAAAGTTCATTCTATGCACCACAATCATTCAGCGGGAATCCCCGATAGAATTCAAATCAGACAGCGATTTTTGGATAAGTTTTAAAGTATAACACAGTATTTCGCTTTCCACATTAATTTATAGAGTCTCTAAAATAACGAAGGTTGTGGGTTGAATTGTTTCCTGGGAATTCGATAATTAAAAGGCTCTAAAAAGTTTTTGGTTCCCCCACCATTTTATACTCAATTTAATTAACTTGAGGTCCTCCAACTAATACTACCATTTGCTTTCGCTAGAACAGTTCGCCAACATGAACTCCCAGCCATCCCATCGATCTCTGTCATCGCATCTTTGACTTTGCACAGGCAGTTCGACCTTATGCCATCGACAGGTGCAAATGCAGGGGCAGCACCAGGAGCTGGAGGCGCTACCTGCGGAGGTGCCTGGGCAGGCAATTCAATTAAGTTGCAGCACCTGTCTGGGGGGGGGAGCACCCCTCTTGGGCCGGTGCCATGTTTATTGTAAACGTGACTGCTGCAAGTGGCTGAAGAGCATTCTAAACGTTAACTGACAATTGACACATTTGCACTTTGGCCATTTTCCTTTGGCTCGCACAGCCATTGTCTTGGCATACGGCACTTTTCCAATGCAGTTTTCCACTGCAGTTCGCCGTCAGCAGTCGAAACCAGGAGCTGCATCGAGAGTGGCACGTGCCACGTTGCTGTTTGCAATGATTTACGCGCACTTCGTATTGTTTAATTATCGTTTAATTGTTGCAAAGTTTTTGATTTACGGTTTAATTGCAACGACAAATGCAACGCCCTCTTTCACTGTTGCCGACGCCACGTCTCCCCCGCACTTCCCGAGTAATGTCAGTCATGATTTATGGCCACCGCCAACATTGATGACTATGATGGAACGTGCAGACGACTCTACTCCAACCACAACCACGACCACATCCGCATCTCTGGACACATCCGCTCTCTCGATGCCGTTCCATCGTCGTTGGCTGCGGCGGCTCAGTCGTACGAAGCGTTATCTCAGCTTTCCCGAGGGCTCCTCTTTTTCCGTATGTGTCAGCCGGAGTCATCCTCCAGCCCACGTTCTGTGTCTCGAGTGCACTTTGTCATTTCGTTCTTGATCAGGTTGCCGTCTGCTTCACGGTGGGCATCATTGGCAACCCCTACTATGGCTACAACAGCTTCGGCCTCAACTGGGGAGTGGCATATGACCTGCCCAATACCACCTGGGTGCTGCAGCATCTGCACGGCTTCGCCACGCATCCCGTGGCTCCGGCTGTCCTTCGTCGGCGTTCGCGGAGTACCATTTACAAACATATAGAGACCATAGTCAATAAGTAAGGAATAAAGAAGGAGATAATACAGAAAACAAATTTTTAAAAATTTATACTTATTTATTTATCCTTAAACCCCTTTTAGCATGGGCTACAATGGACATGACTGCGTCTTAAGGGCGCTCTGCGAGAGTCGACAGTGGTTTCAGAGCAACAAGATGAACATGATTGGCGAGATACTACGCACTATATTCAGGTTAGTTTCCTGTATGTCTTCAAATATTCTCACACACAATTATTTAATACTTTTTCTTCTCAAACAGCCTGCCAAAGCAAACACTCTTCACACGGGAACTGCGCGAGAATCCGGATATAGTGCACTACGATAAGGCATATCGCCAGGGACATATCACCGACTGCACCCAGTACAACTGTCACTTCTCGCTGCTGGAACTGGCCTATGGGAAATACTCTACGCCGCCTAAGAATTATTATGCCTAATAAATATCCGATACTTAAAAGTGTTTCACGTCAAATTTCTTTTAAATGTCAACTCTGTCCACCTCTCCGTTTTTCTGAAGGGAAATCGGGGGCAAAGGGCACTTGTTGAGCTAGCTAAACAAATGGCACGCCATATATCTTTGCCCCAGCTGCTCCTCCATTGTGAAGGAGCAATCGGTTGGTGTCTGTGGGCCGACTCCGGCTTGACTGATGTATCCTGGCACCACCTCTCGGGCTTCCTCACAGGAGTGCAATTTAAAGAAAATAAAAATACGTTTGACAAACTTTCCTCAGCTTGTGACAAGTGTTGTTGTTCCAAAAACTAAATTCAATCAGAATACTTTGCAGACTGCACAGAAGTCTTGAGTTCTGAGTAACAATTAAGTGGAACCATTTGGAGATATGAGCAGGCATAAATCTACCAACTGACCATAGGCATTTCTTCATATCAGATGAAACGATAAACTCTCGAAGGCTAAGAGGCTTTTACTTGATGAAGAAGCTAATAATAATTAGTTTATCTTAATGGAAATGTAAAGAGGTGTTTAGAAATATAATTCCTGCAATTTTGGGGCTGAGAAATAAAATTCGTAGTTAAAAATCACTGTAAATAGCATTTATAATAAATTAAAACTGTAATATGTACTTTTGAAATACAAATATGTACAAGATTGCGAATTTTATTCATTCAAAACAAAAAAGCTCTTTAGAATATGGTATGTAGAAGTTATGTAGGGCCTTGCCAGAACCCCATAAGTATTAAATGTTGGCCAAAATACTGTCCTAAGCCTAAAATCCATCCATTTATATTCCATTCCGTTTAATAAAAACACTTTCTGAAGCCCAAAAACTATAAATTTCCTAACAATTTCTCACCTCATTGCCACAAGCTAAAACTCGCTGATTTAGCGCTGTGCTGGCCCCATTTATAATGATAAACGGGGAAATTGTGGATGTCAACAAGAGTTGAGAGCAGCAGCAGCAGGAACGATGGAGAGAAAAGTGTTAACAAGTAAATGTCATGTCCAGAACTGAAACTAGAATACCGGAGCAGCAGGCACAGAGGGAAAATGGTGAAGTGGTGGCGTGTTGGTGGCAATGGCCAAGACACGAGATGTCACCGAACCACACAGAACAATAAATAAATAAGCAACGCCATCAAGAACGGATTCTTTGTTTGTTTGTTTGCTTTCCCGCTTCTCTTTCTGGCTCTCGTATTTATGTCAGGCGGATTAAATGGACCCGAGCTGGTATCAGTAACAGAGGGGAACTAGAACCGGACACAAGCCGGGCCAAACGAACGGCAATTAAGGCAGAAAAACAGTAAATTACGACAGTGAATCGAACGTTTAAAGTATTAATTAGTGGAAAATCTGCAACATGACTCACCTGTCAGCGGCAGCATTGCTGATTGTGCAGCTGGCTGTGGCGGTGCCCCTGTCCGTCCTGTCGGCGCACCAACCGCCCCCTGACACTTTGGAGGACCTCGCCACCACCATTCCCTCGCTGACCGAGCCCCACATGCCTGACATGCACTTTGACAGCCCCAACCATAACCCCGGCTCGGAACATGACTCTAACTCCAACAATGCGACGAGGATATTGCGACGCGGCAAGCGTTATCTCCAATTCAGCAAGGGGTCGCGTATGTCGGTGCGTATGCTGTTAACCCGTCTTAATTGGCGCCCAATCACAAGGATATCTTATTCATTTACCATCCTCCCCTGGCCACACAGTGGCGTACCAACGGCAAGAACAATCTGTGGACCATCAACACGCTGTACGCCTACGGCTATGGGTTCCGCACCAATTATCCCTTTCCGTCCATTGAAGAGCAGAAAAAGGACAACGCTGTATTCTTTCGTCTCTTTAAGAGAGATCTCTTTTCAAAGCTAGAAACTGCTTTAGATGGGTGAGTAAATTAATATATACTTTCACTTAAATAATATTCATTTAAATTTCAAATTAAGACATGGCTTCGATGGCCGAGCCTGCATGCTGAAATCCTTTTGCACGGCCATCAGAGACGTGGATAAACCTTCACAGAAAAGCGGCATGCTCTTCAAGCTGCTCAAATTGATATTCAGGTGAGTAAATCACGCACTCTATAAACCGGGTTGAGTGAAGCAGAGTTGGTCATTAATTATCATTGTTCTGATAAGTCTTAGAAGAGCACAAAACCAGTTTCGTTTTGGACCTAAGGAACTTTGTGACAGCCCGCAGTTTGTGACAGTTTTATGAGTATCTGTTGATCTCTTAGTTGAGTTCTTACATCGGTTACAATGGTTTCGGTTCGCTGGTGTCTATTTCTTACTTTCGTCACCCTGGTGGCAGGTCAAGATCAAAACTCCACCATATTTCACAGTCGAGCAAAACGATATCTAGATATAATAGAGACCACTCGAATTTTTGTGGGTAAAACTTCAAGCACTAACTGCCAAAAAAAACTTCAGGAAATTAAATTATATCAACTAATAACTTTGTGAATTTATATAACAAAATATGTTATAGTTTAAATATAAAGTTACAAGATTTTATTAGTGATAAATGTGATTTTAGTGTATAAGAAATAATATTGTGCATTGAAAGTCTTTATAAAGCCATATTGCGCTTTGAAATCTAACAAGAATAATTTTAAATACATTTTAGATATTAACTTAAACATTTTCACTATTGTATTGATCTATTTTTAACTGAAATATATATTTAAAATTATTTTCTGAAGCTATTTCCGGCAGTTCTTGCTTTTTTGTCACTCCAAACCTTAGTTACTGATGGTGACAGTTCCCATTTTTCCCTAAAGTTTCGCATTAATGCCAAGAACAATGTGATCAAATCACCGATTGTGTGGGCTCATGGCTATGGCTTTCGAGCCAACACTCCGGTGCTGGTCAAGAGGGAAAACCGACCCTTCAGAAGGGACACCTACGAACTGCTCCACGAACTGATCGATCGGAGTGGCCTAGACGGGCGGGCCTGTGTCCTGAAGGCCTACTGCACCGCTCTGGCCGGCGATCATGGGCAGGGCTTTCTGTTTAAGCTATTAAAATATGTATTTACGTAAGTGCACTTGAATGCCACATATGCGTAAATTATCCAACACACATATACAATTTTTAATTGCAGTTTGGACGAGCACGACCAGAAACACATGCCGCATTTGCGGGAGGAGAATTGCGAGCAAATCATGCACAGCCACTGTCCCCTGAGTTTCGACAGCATATCACCATATACGGACGATGTATAATAATATTTATATGTCAGTGTGTTATTCTAAGTTATGCAAAGTAATCAAAAACCGAGATTGAAATGGACATGAAAACAAGCAACATCGCTGACCTAAAACAATAATAAGGATAACATAGTAACAATATTTTGAAGTGACTGAAGGCAAAGAACTTTTAAGGGTTTAATATTAAAGCTTTAGAAGCTATATATAAAATAAATATTAAATTGTTATACAAACATGAATAACATGGGGTAAAGAAAAGTCGCAATATCTTTTGTTCAAAGTTTTTCCAGCTTACAGGAAGTGTTTGTGGCTGCTGATGATATTTATTCGCTGTTGTTGCCATTTGTAATTTATAATTAACTTGTGTGCCATTTGCAGGTTTTTTCGGGGAGAGTGTTCGGGCATTTTTCCGCAGCTTTTGCTGATTGTGCGTGCTGCAATCAGCAGCGTGCATTTAATTGGAATTTTATTAAAGCAGCTGAAAGTGAGCTGCTGTAGAGACAAAAAAAAAACTTAAAATGAGGGAAAAAGGAACCTAGGCAGTACAAAATTATAGCTGTTGACCTCGATGCCTGACAAAGGTTGCAATCTAGTGTTGCAGCTGCTTAATGTCACCGCCATGAAAATGCCGAGTGGTGTTAAAATGTTTTGCGGCAGCCTTTGATGCACTTGTCACGGCCTCCACCTCCCAGAGGTAACCTGTCGCCCACCGCAGCCGCATTAAAAATTAACTTTAATTAAGTTGAAAAACATAAATTACGTGCACGCTTACAAGGGCATTAAAGTGCACAAAAATACACAGACAGGTATTTTCAAGCTGTTTTTAAGATATCTCAGGAACTTCAGAATTCCCTCAAGCTGGCAAAAAAGGTTTAAAATATTTTTAAAATTGGTTCAATATAAATAGGGAATTAATATCACATAAACAAAATGGAATTGTATCTTAAAATTAATTATTTTAATTTGCAGTTATATACTTTGCATATGTTTTTTGGTTTAAGCCTTATAAATATTTAAAAGAGACTCTAAAATCCTTTTTCTTTTTTAGGGTCTTATTTTCCAAGTGTAGTTTTTAGCAATTAGGATGGAGAAAGCAACTGATGAGATCCAAGAATAATAGGGAATTAGAGCCAGAGAGAGGGGTTCCCAGTTGGACATTGACCGCAAAACTTTAAGCGTTTGTTGGCCAACAACTTTGTGTGTGTCACTCATTTACCTCCGTAACATACATACTGGACTTCATACACTTTCTCCCGCATAGTTAAAAACACCCACACCCATGGAGGTGGGTTCGTGTCTCGGCCTTAATCAAGTATTAATTATGTTGCCGTGCGTTGAATTGCTGCAATAAGAGGTCAACTCCATTCCCAACCCAGATCGAGTGACCTTACTTCACCTGCCTGCACCCACGGCCAACTCGTTGTACGCTACCTTTGCTCTACTAGGGTGTATCTTTACCTTAAAATAAATAAATAAATCAAAAAAATACATTTTTTAAGTATAACAAATAAATTAGTTCTCAAGAAATAGGCAGTTCAATTGGTAAATTATACAAGAAATAAATATATTTTAGAATCAAGCTGATGTTTCAATATAATACTTTTTTCTTGGAATTAAAATGCATACTTTGGAATATAAAAAAAATTATAATTATATATTCGTTTTAAATTTTTAGTGGGTATTCCTACTTCCAAAAACTGAACTCCACACAACACTTTTCACTTGTTAAATTTGCTGACAGCCCAAACTTTAATTTTATCCTTGCTGATGTTCTCGGTGGTTGCAGTTTAATTTTCTCATTTGGTGATATTTGTTTTTTTCCTTTTTTGGACTGTCTTATTTTTGCGAGAACAGATGAGAGTTCTTTCGCCATTATAATTAATTTTTAAATACCCTGGAAAAATGCGAAACTGTCATTGTAAGTGACACAAAAAAAAATAGGAAGAGTGGAAAATGAAAATAAATGCATTTAACTCTCCATAAAGCTTAGACAGTTCATATTAAGATAATTAAAATGCCAAATTAGTGTTAATTTATGCAAAACAAACAAGCCTAAATAGATTCATTTAATAAGTTTTGAGCATAAATTGTTTTAAATAAAAATTTTTAAAAGTATACAAATTGTGACGCGTTGTTTTTAATAATAAACAAATAAATATCTCTGAAAACTACATTTTTTAGCATCAACATTTTTGTGGACAATTCCATTTGGCGATTATTTATTGACAAGTTATTTTTGCATATACTTTTCTATTAGTTGCTGGATATAAATATGTCAAAAAAAAGATAAAAGCATTTTCCTGTTCTGGAAATCTATAATGTAATAAAAACGTTTACCCTATTTGACTATGTATTGAATTTATTCTGAAATAAAATATACTTTAGCTGCCAGCTCAGTGTCAGAATGTAAGCTAATTTAATTACTTGGGAATATTGGCCATTTACAATTCAACGTGTTCGCCAGGCAATGCATTAATTTGACTGCTAATATTAAAATGACCGGACAGGTGTGGTAAGTTATTTGGCCTCCGTCCGATTCTATTGGCCGGGGCAAACAATATAGATGAGATTAGCGCACCTCGGATAATTTATTGGCAGTCAAGGACCGACAAAATGCGCACCTGGCTCATTATGCATGCGAAAAGGACCCCTGGACCCCTGGCCAAAACCCATCCCGACTGCACTTCCGTTCATCTGTATTCCACATTCATTCATTCATTAATCGATGTCTGCCCTGGCCTGGGCAACGGGGTGGAGTGACTGGCATGCAAATTGATTTGATGTGTTGTCAATTAAAATGTGCAATTAATTTCATTTGGTTTGCCTCGCATTATCGAATATGTGATTGGAGTGGGCCATGGGCCGCAGATGTAGATAGGGATATAGGACCCTGACAGCAGCGGCTGCTAATGAGCTCAGTTAGCCAATTCAGTTTGCGGCCATGATCGGGTCTGTGTGTGTGTGTGTGTGGGCTTGCGTTGAGCCTGTGTGTCTAAATTAAACCGTCTATGATATGGCAGCGAGCAGCAAGAGAGAGCATAGCGTATACGCAATTAGTTAGTCTAACGCTGATTGCCGCACTTCAGACAGCCCAGCGAAAGTGAATAGGGTCAGGATTTACAGTCTACTAATTTCCGAATGAGTGTTAGGAAAGGATCAGAGAAAAAAATTAGCCAAGTTATACTAATTAAGTGAAGAAACAGGAAGTACATTTTTACATTTTAAAATCAAAATGCATACAAAATAATTTTAAAAATCCATTTTCTTAAGAGTATATCTTGTCTTAAACTTACAGAAATCTATAACTTTTGAACAATTGAAGTATCTTAATCAATTTTTAATTAAGTCTGATTAAAAATTTAATTAATTTTAAGATTATAAATTGTCTTAATAGCTAATCGCTTGACTCTGATTATAGAAGCCAATACGCCTAGACTTAATTTTAAAATCCTAAGACTCTCGGCATCAGCGCTTCTCCCCTAAATTAGTTCAAGGATTAGTGCAATAAAACTAACGTGCCATGGATTTGCGCAGCCCTTTTGTTGACTTAGGGGAACTGGGACGACGGGCGGAGGTCCTGCGAGGCAGGAGTAGGGAAAGCGGGCATGTCACAATTTCCCAATTAGCTACTCATTGAGATAAATTTCTTATGCAAATGATGACAAGGCCAAGCAAGGCATTCTGGGGGTGTGGACAGGCGCCGTGGAGTGGCATTGGCAGCCGAATACCCAAGCACACACTACGGTCGGTCCTGCCCTGCCCTGCCACGCCCTGGTTGGGGAGTTTGGGACTCTGAGTGGGGCAGCACCAGCAGCAGCAGAGTGACATTGACTGACTCGCGACGACGCTGGCGATGGCGATGACGAAGACGCAGCGGCACATCCTTTCGCTCACTCTCCCTAATTGGCTGCTGACATTTGCCAGCTAGCAATAACAACAGAAACAGTAGCAACAAGAGAAATGGCGACGGAAATAACTAAAACGAGAGTGAAGGAGAGTCCTGCTAAGCCGAAGCTAAGATTTCTCTACCATTATTACACTAGTCGGCTTAAGGATTTTTAAACCCAGAAATGGTATTAAAATGATACCAAAGTAAATAAAGCTATTTACCTACTCCGCTTTCAATTTAAAGTACTATATTTGTTCCATGATTTAAGTTAGTAAATATTAAAACCTTTTAGCAGGGTATAAACACCAGCACTAGCTACGAAAAGCTGTGTAAATTTGACATAATTAAAATACGAAAAGCATTTCCCACCATTTCTGGTGTATGAAATGCGAGCCAGTCAAGAAAGTTCTACTGGCTTCTAGCCGGGCAAAGGAAAATATGGTGCTGTGCACATTTTGCTAATTTCTTGTCAGTGATTAACTCAAGGTGCTAATTACTCCTACCAACTGTCCCATATTGGGCTTGTAGAAATTGTAGCAATCTCATGATGTATCGGTTCCCGTTACGTTTTCGATCTAGAAGTAGTTCAATGAACATCACACCTTAGTGCTAAATATCGCTAAAGTCAATGACCGGAAACGAAAGCTGCTGAGATACAGATATTTGTTTACCTTTGAGTATTCTTAGAGATCTTTGCTCTTAAAAGAAACCTTACGTCAACAGCAAAATAAAATAAAAATAACCAATACTTATGACAAAGCTGTTTAAAGTTTTAATATATATTAAAATTAATAATATAAATATACACTAAAATGCATACTTACAAATTTTATAAAGATTATATTTCAAAGTATACATTTTAATATATATATTTTTATTAAGACATATTTCCATTCCTTTTCCGGCTCTTTATAATTTTTTTCTGGCATTCATCCAGTCACTTTTTCAGATGTCATCTGTCCTTTTGCATTTTCCAAAATTTAATTATAACTTGAATTTGCTTAAGGCTCCACCTCGCATACAAATGCAGACCTGTTTTGTTTGGTATCTGGGTGCGATAAAATTCACTTGAGAGCATCGCCTAGAACTTTGTTTGGGCCCCCAAAGGGAGCCGAGAGGACGTGGCGCAAACAAATGCAAATTGCTCATACGCCGTGTGGACTGCCAGACCCACCAAACGGCTACGACACGAAGAGCAGAAATTGCGCTTATTAAAGTTTGACTCGTACTTTTGCATCTCTTTTTTTGTTATCACTTTTTCGGCGGGTGGCAGTGTGGGAGGTGTGAATGCAGCGAGGCAAAGTAAAAGTTTCGGATAACAAAAATTAAGCATTGCCTTTTGCGTTCCATGATAATTGCGAACAATAGACGCCAGCAGAAGGTGCCGGTTGAAGGCAGGGGGTGTGACCATGTTAATGCTTCCGCATTTGCGTTCAGCTGCAACATTGCACCAATGCTCAGGCCTGCCAGTGTATGTGTGGGGGGGGGATAAGTGCACTGGGAGAAATTTTCATTTAATTAGAGAATTTCAATAAACTTTGGAGCTTAGTAAATATAATTTGTTCGATATTTTGTTTACTTTTTGAGGTAAAAAATACCTCCAAAATATTATATTTTGAGCTTAAGATTATTAGCTTTTAATTATTCCTAATTTCCTTTTTATTTTTGAGTTAGTGCATGTCCCCTGTGTTGGTGTGTGTCCTGCACACATGCAAAAGTTTGTGTGCCAGCGACATTCACGCCTCGCTGCACTTTTTACATGCTGCATGTTGCCTGCGGGCATTAAGTGTGATTTTATGCGATTTGTACCAGGCAAACAGCCATCCCCCCGACCCGATTCCACAGTCCTTTCCCCCATAGTCCTTGCCATTGGTAAAAGAAAAAACCGCAGCTAGAAACGCTTCCCCCTCCCACACACCCTGACACTTCTTGGCTAATTTACATTTGACAAATGTTTTGCATGCTACAAAATTTTGCCACTGCTGCGACGACGACGACGACTACCACGACGACTGCTGTTCGTTAGTACCGCCGTAGCAGGACCCCCAGGATCCCGTCATGTCCTTGCCCCTTGGTGTTTTGTTAGCTGCATTTGTTTTCATTTGGTTTCTGCGCTGACATTGTTTACAGTTCAACTTGGTTGGAAATTAGTAAAAATCTCACACGAGAGCACCCAGCCACCAAAAAAAAAAAAAGGGGAAAACAATACAAAAAAAAAAGAAGTACCACTAGCGAGAATCGAAAAAGACAAACAAAGGAGAAAGCGCACCGAAATTTTCCGAAAACTAATTTAAATGGATGTCGCTTGTGTGTTCCAGGTACTATATGTGGTAAGCGATTAAGCACAGAGCGTTAAACAAACTCAATGGGAAGTTTAGTGGGATGAGGGCTTAAAAGTTTGAACTCGGAATTCTTGGTTCTTAATTTTGAAAGCACACAGTTTTAGGAAAAACTCCATTTCTTGGAAATGCATAACTATTATCTGATATTAAAATATTACATTTTAATTAGAGAGCTTCTCCTCGGAAAATGTAAAGTATTTTCATTAAAAAATATATATATAAATCATACTTTTTTCAACATTAAATACAAAACTATTCACATTTTTGTAAATATAGAATCTTTTCCTTTAATAATTTATTGAAAAGTTATCTTGGTCAACTGAATAAGCTTAGCCCAGAGCTTCTTGCTGCATTCGCTGTAGGTTTTCCAACAATCAGCACCAGCTTTGCCCGCATCCCTGGCATGCAAATATTTTTCGGGAATATTATTGAAAGATGGTCTGCAGGGTATAACATGAACACATAAAATATAATATAAATATATAAATATAACAAGAAAGGAAGCTAACTTCGGCACGCCGAAGTTTGTATACCCTTGCAGATATTATTTCATTACATTTTACCTATACTTATTATGTTTACAGTTTGACAGTTACAGTTTTGCATTCCCAGCTTTACATTTTCTCTACATCTACCGATCGTTTATATGGCAGCTATATGATATAGTTGTCCGATTTTTATGAAATTTATACCAAAATTCTGAAATAATAAAATAAGACTATATCTCAGAGTAGATGAAAATACGTTGAAAAACAACGAAGTTATAATTTTTTTCCTATTAATTTCCTGATCGTTCCTATGGCAGCTATATCATATAGTCGTCCGATTTTCATAAAATTTTTACCAAAATTCAGAAATAATATAAAATGGCAACATCTAAAAAATGGTGCAAAAATGTTGAAAAACAGCAAAGTTATAATTTTTTTTCGAAAAATATATCGAACATTTGTATGGCAGCTATATGATATAGTCGTCCGATCCGGCCCGTTCCGACATATATAGCAGTGAGACCATATAGAAGACTATATGCAAAGTTTCATTCAGATAGCTTTAAAACTGAGGGACTAGTTTGCGTAGAAACAGACAGACGGACAGACAGACAGACAGACAGACAGACAGACGGACAGACGGACAGACGGACAGACGGACATGGCTAGATCGACTCGGCTGTTGATGCTGATCAAGAATATATATACTTTATAGGGTCGGAAACGTCTCCTTCACTGCGTTGCAAACTTCTGACTGAAATTATAATACCCTGCAAGGGTATAAAAAATAGTATACTCACACAAACACTGCATTTAGGATCTCACTGAAAATATTGCTGCGTTGAAAGGGGCGCTGGGAAATCTCACAGATAATCCTCAACAGGCAGGCTCCTGCCTTGCAACCAGCAAACCTGTTAAGTAAACATATTGATTCCTGATAACCAGAAACTATCCAATCACTCACCTCTCCAAGCCTGTTTCCACAACATCGTAAAGCCATACCCTAGTCTCGTCCTGGAGCAGCACTTGCTGGACCTCCTTGCGCCAGTGCCTTGCCGTGGACACAAATGTCGAGGTATTCCAAAAACTCCACCAATAAAGAGGCACTGGCGTTGGCACATATTGGGCCTGGTAGTTCAGGAAACCCCAAACGGACTCGACCGTGTCCTCCTCTTTGATGGGAAACGCAAAGCCAGCGACAATCTGGGAAAGAACAATTAGGCCTTCCGAATACCAAACTCGATGGATCGATGACCACCAACCTTGTTGGTTCCACTGCCACTGAAGATGGCCAGGCGCTTCTGCCGACTCAGGCTCAAACTGGAACTGGAATTCCCCTCTGATGGGCCAACAACGAGAAGAAAAAGGAGGTGGAGGTGCAGGAGCACCAGCGGAAGCTGGGCGATGACAGGATTCAGGGCCAACTGTTTGCCGCTGGAGTGCATGGTCAACTAATTTTGCAGCCCGTGCAACTTGTGGCCGCAATGGGAAATTCAATTTTTAGTTTGCACAAGAAATTGACGGGAGAAGAATTCGCTTTGACCAGAGTTTTCCACTGAGGGAAAATGGTTAAAGGGGAAAATTTAGCAAAGAGCAAAAGAAAAAATGTAGTAAATATTATAATGTTAAATTATAAAAAAATTATAAATAAATGTATAGACAATTTAAAATATTCATGAAATTATAGAAAGCTTAAATATTCTTCAAAGTACACTAAATTCTTAAATTATTCTTTTTAACTTTGAATTACTTGATATTGATTATAACCAACTAAAGTTTATTTTTAATAACTTACACATCCTTCAATCTTCAAGTCTCTGTTAGAGAAACACTTTTCACAATCAGTAAAACGACATCTATCGAAAGGACCACTTGATTCTTAACCACCTCCATTTCTTCAATGGCCTGTTGGACATTGTAAGTTGCCCAGAAAGCAATCGCTCCTGTTCAGGATATAACATTGGACTCTGGCTTGTTCTGCGTTTATCTCGATGCTGTCAACACCTGGCTTTGATGGAAGAACCAGAAGCCTTTGAATGCCATTCCCTTGGCCAGGATACGAAGCCCTAAGTTCTGGCAGTAAATTTATTGGTGTCACCAATTCCAATCCTTAAATGGTAAATGCAGCATCATTATATTTTTTAAAAAACTAAATCTAACCTAATGAATACAATAAATCTAAACACATTAATAAATCAATATTGTTTATAGTGTCAAAAGACTTTTTCTTAAAACTTTCGAAAGCTATAAAAGCAACAAGCTGCAATATTAAGCTGGAAATTAAATACAACTCAATCAAACAGAGCGTTAAAATAAATATGAATGCTTTTAATCCATCTGAAAGCTGAAGAGCTTAAAATATATCCGATATTAAGCACTTCAGCCTGATCTACTGTCGCCCAATTTATTCAGAATGCACTCAAGATAATTTATGACAGCCGCTGGCGGCACCAATCACTACCTAAATGCAGTTATTTAACAATCTGTTATCGGGCCAATTACATCGCATTTAATAGGTTGTTATGGATGCAGAAAAAAACGAACCCATTTAGTAATTTCGCTTGAGGCTGGATATCGGATATTTGATATTGGTTACGAATGAATCAGGCCAAAGCGGAGTATTTAGCACCTTTCAAAGAGCACTTGAAATGACACAAAAACGAGTTAACGACACTCAATTGGGTGCTAATTGTACAATTAAACTTTGGGCCAGAATCGGTGCGATGCGTTCCCAGAAGCGCCGCGGTCCGAGCGGCATCAGTTCGGTTTGGACAGCTAATGGCATCGACATATCGTAAAATAAAAAAAGTTCAGATCCGAAACGAAATCGGTCCCAATCGAAAGGCCCAATTCGCCAGGCTCCTCCTCGCCCATCTCTAATGGTAATTATCTGGACCATAAATTCGCGCTCGATTCCATTCCGCCAGAATGGCAGTGTTTTAATTGTAGAGCCCATGAGCGGGTCCGGTCCGGTTTGGTCCATCCTCCCTCCGCTTGGGCCATCTCTCGCGCCTCGAATGTTGTTGAAAATTGCATTAATTTAACGCATGATTGGCAGAGCCAGCAAATGGAAGCGTCACAGCTAAAGTGAAATTATGCAAATTTCGTAGCTGCTTTTTTGCTGGGAGTGTGGGGTGTATAAGAGCAATCGGAATGTTCGATTGCTCAATTACACTAACGAACAAAAAGGTGTATTAAAGAGAGTTTCAGTGACTGATAAAATAATGTCCATTTACCAATTATCACATTCAATGGACAATTAGGATTAAGAGCCCATAAAGAGTCAAGATTTGATAATAAACTCACAAAAATAATATCAGTGTTTTCTGTTTGACTTAAACTTTATTTACACTCTTTCCTAAGCCAATTACCAATATTGGCTATATTCTTATGGCCATATTTTATTAATTTTGTGGCTGCTTTCATATGTCTTTGCTGATTAGTGTTGACCAAGCGACTTTTGCTGTCTTCCATTAAGGAAAAATGGTAAAAACAATCAAAGTAATTGGATGTGCTGGACTTGGCGCTATACTTATCCTCCTGCTGCCACTATGCCTGCTTCGTACAGAGAGACCATCGAACGGTAATGGCTCCCACCCACTGGCCACCAGTCCCGCTACTCCTCCTTCTCCGCTTGAAACGACAACGGAGTCAATGAGACGACTGCACCGCCAGAAGCGCTACCTGCTCTTCCCGGAGGGCTCCTCCTTCCAGCTGGTGTTCGACATCATCATCCCCATCATAGACTACACCAACTACGCCATCCTGGGCATCACCTGCTCCGTGGCCTGGGAGCTGCCCAGTAAGCCGCCCAGCGAGCTGATTGAAAACGTGCTCACTCGGATCAACGACGGCACCATCGGCACTGTCCGCCGGAATGGCAGCGCCCCCGATCCAGAACCAGACACTCCGCAGCCTCCGTCGCAGCCTCCGTTGCAGCCTCAGTCCCAGTTCCAGACTCAACCTCCCCAGCAGCTGGGCTACGGGAGCCCTGTTAATTGGCAGGCAGTCCACGCACCGCCAGCGAATCCATCGGCATATGCGGCCAATGACCATGGTCGCTATTCGTACTACACGAATGTCCAGCGACATACCCCCGACGCATTCCCATATGCAAATGCGAATGCGAATGCGGATGCAAATGCGAGTGGACAGCAGCGACAGGCGCCGATGCCTGCTAATTGGGATGCGCGGCAGTCGGTGGGAAAGTGGCAGCAAAAGGAGATGGTAACAGGAGCAGGAACGGGATTGGGTGTGGACAACTGGTGGACGCGAAACGGACACAGGGTGCAACAGAACTGGCGTGAAAAGCAGCGCATGTGGGGCCCTTCAAAGTGGAAGTAAGTGCAACTTTATCTTTATCTGCATTGCTTAAAAAAAATGTTGAATGGAATTCGTAAACCAAAATAATATATACGAGGGTAGGCTGATAAAAAGTCGGCCTTACAAAGAAAATACGTTTTTTTTTTAATTTTTCTTTTTTATATTTCAACATAATCTCCTTTTAGACGTATGCACTTGGACCACCGATCCTCCAGTTTCCCAATACCTTCTATAAAATAGGATTTGTCCAGGTCCTCAAAATAGGGGTTTGTTTCACAGACTACCAGTTCATTTTACTGAAATTTCTTACCCCCAAGCCATTTTTTTAAGTTTGGAAATAAATAATAGTCACAGGGTGCTAAATCTTGAGAATAGGGTGAATGGGATAGAATTTCTTAGTGCAATTCACACAATTTCGACATGGCGACAAAGCTCTTGTGAGCGGGAGCATTGTCCTGGTGAAACAAAACTTTCTTCTTCGCCATGTGCGGCCTTTTATTTCTTCAGCTCCAAATCAAATCGTCCCAAGATATTGGAATAGTATTCTCCCGTAATTGTTCTGCCTTTTTCCAGATAATCCACATGAATTACACCTCGGGAATCCCAGAAAACCGTTGCCATCACCTTATTGGCCGACAAACCGATTCTTGCCTTTTTCGGTGCCGTTTCTCCAGTTGAAATCCATTGCTTTGACTGTTCCTTACTCTCTGGTGTATGGTAATGAATCTAGATTTCGTCAACAGTCACAAAACGACAAAAAAATTCGTTTTGGTTTGCGCAATCTGCAAGCGGTTGCGTGACAGCACGATATTCGATTTTATTCATATTGACGAAATGCAAAAGTGAATGCGTTAAAAGTCTCGCCAAAATTACCTGTGTTGATAAAACCGCATGAAACTTTCACAGTAATCAGCTAATAGAAAACACTAATCGAATAAAATATTTATGAATTAAAAAACAATTTTTTTCTCTGTTAGGCCGACTATTTATCAGCCCACCCTCGTATTTAGCTTTCAAAACGTGCCTAAAAAATTCTTATTTTAACTAGCTTTAAAACCAACTAAAAAAATTCACATTTACAGTTCCGGTTATACCCAGCGTCCTCGGCAAATACTACAGTCCAAGCCCAAGCATCATATCTATCCTGTTTTTGCCAGGCGCAGGAGACGAAGAAGTCTTGAACAGCAAAAGGATTTACACTTCGAACATTTCCACCTGCAGCAGCACCTCAGCTCCCGCCAGTTACTCCTCAGCAAGATCGAGCGCCTGTACAAATCGTGAGTCCTTTCCCGCTTACCCAAATCCTTTGACCCCCTTCTGAACTGGGGAATTTCATCACCCGCAGGCGACGACTGAATGGCACCTCCTGCGTGCAGCGAGCTCTCTGCGAATCCGCCCAAAGGCAGCAAAGGATTGAGAATAAGCCTCAGAGCTTTATAATGGAACTCCTTTCGGCCATCTTTCAGCTGCCCAGCAGCAAGGACATCAGCGAGCCGGCGGACCTGGAGCTTATGATGTCACCACACTATCTGGAGGCCCATGGGCAGAAGGGAAACTGCCGCCAGCTGTACAGTGACTGCAGTCACACATTTTGGTCTGAATAAAAACTTAAAATAAGATAATTAAAGTAATAAATAATTTATAAAATATTAAATATTTTTAAGTGAAACTCTCAGTAGACAAACATATCCTTAATACTTTCAAACTAGTCGCATATTGGGGAGCCAGATTATACAAAAGTCATTTGGAAGTTAGTTCGCCAGCTACTCTAAAAGCATTCCGTTCCTGCATTCAAGTTTATTCCAAGAAAAACTGCGACTAGTGATCACATTACTTCAACTTGAATTCCCCAGAAGCAGCTTCTATGGATGGAAGTGTGCCACTTTTCAGATGGCAGAAGGGAAAACAAGTTGGGAGCGTGAAAAAGTAATTTGAACCTTTAAGTAGACCAATGAGCTCACGAAGCAAAGACGAAGACGAAAGGCTCTCCTCTACAAGACAAACTACTTGCCGGAACACAAAAGACGAAAAGTGTGAAAACTAATGAAAGACAAAAGGGGGGTGCAAAAGAAATTTAACGAACGAAGCTCAAACTCAAACTGGAAACTTTCTGCTGGCCACTCACAATTAACAGCCACGGCTGAAGTTCTTCAGCCAGACCATAGACCATGGAACGCTTCTGTTCCGTTTCTACGCGATACTTTGGCAGACAGTTGGCGTATGGACAACGCTTTGACCGCAACTACGAGAAATGTCGAGCCGGAAAAAAACGAGAACCTGCAGCAAGAAGAAGGAAAATTCCCCAGTAGGTAATTGCTGGCTGATGGCAGCTCTGATGCTGCTCCTCCTCGGCTTGGCCAACGCACTGAAGGCTGGGGAATCCATCGAGCTGGGAGCGGCAGCTGGCAGCCGGCCATCACTGAACATAAACAATGAGGACAGCTCCAGCCTGGAGCAGCTCATCGAGATGCGGCTGAATGAGTCGGCATCCTCATCCGTCCAGAGCAGGCAGTCGGAAGAGCTGTTGTCCAGGAAACGACGCTATTTGGTATTTCCGGAGGGCAGCTCCTTTCAGATGGGTAAGTCATTCCTGTCACAGCTTAGGGGCGTTGTTTAAAAAGGGGGTGAGTTTCGTTTAACAAGAAAAAGTTTATTAATTACGTGGTTTAAGAGATTTTCTGGTGGTATAAAAATAAGAGTATTTTTTGTAACCAAGAAACCCCTTTTGTATGCAGCCACTGCCTCTCGAGCCATGCAAATCACTCTCGCCTCACTTATCTTATCCTCTTCCGTTTAGTGTACGACGAAATCGTGGGTGTGGTTGACCACACCAACTACTTGATTCTGGGCATCACGGTGGCTCTGGCCTGGGAGCTGCCCAGCAAGCCACCCAGCGAGGAACTGGACGACCTGCTGACCAAGTTGGAGGACGGAACCCTGGACATCAGTCGCAACGATACCGTGTCAAACATAACCTATGTGGACGACGCCTCCGCAGCGCCCACAACCAGACCGCCCCCTGTCTACAGACCCAACTACATTAATTTGTCCAGTTTCGGGAGTGGAAGTGGGTCTGGGAGTGGCAGCAATTCCTACTACAGCTCAAACCCCGTCTTCCGGACGCCGATGCATCCGTCGTACCAATATGCGGACAGTTATTACAGCCGTCCGAAGGGTGGCAGGCGCAAGGACAATCACTACTACTACAGCCACCCGGGGTTAAGTGCGAGCAATCCGTTTACCAAGTGGTCTAGGCCCCACTACTCGCCTGCTCAGAACTCAAGATATCCTTACTGGGCGCTCCACTCAAGGTAAATAATACAATTTATAAAAAATACACCAAGTTTACATTAAATTATATAAAATTTAAAGAGTTAAAGACCGCTATTATGGTTATCAGAGCCAACAGGCGGCTCCGCCAGTGGCACAACGACGTCAGGATAGCTCCACCAGCACCACGACCACCACCAGAAAACCCACTCGCCCGCCGGCACCACGTCGCCATCACATATATCCGGTGTTTGGCAAGCGCAGCATTCCGGATGCAGCCAATCCCCACAAGCGTCAACGCCGCAGCGGAGTGGCCACCGAGCACGAGGACAAGATAAGCAGGCTGGAGCAGCTCCAGATCAAGCATCACCGCCATAGTCGCCAGGCGCTGTACGAGCGCGTGGAAAAGTATCTGGATAAGTAAGTACAGGGTCAAATGACATCCAACTTCAAAGGAAATGGCTTCTTATCCTATTTTAATTATGTAGAGTGTTTGACAAGAATACTGAAGGGTAAAGTACGAGCTTAAAAAAGCTTTAACAACATATATAATTATAAGGATTTTGAATTGATATTGAACACGAAATTTGTCCGTAGGATGTGTAACAGCAAATAAGTGGAACAAATTAATTAATCCACTGCCTTAATTAGCACATTTTAGTTCGTACAAATGATGTTAATTTTTCCCATAGACGCGGTCACCATGGTCGCCACTGCGTTTTGCGTACCCTCTGCGAGACGGGCCAGAAATCGGAGGAGAAGGAGCCCGGCACCTTTGTGGGCGAACTGATGCGAGCGGTGTTCACCATCCCGGAAGCCCTGGATAACGAGCCCGTTGCCTATCGCGACACCCACTATGACAAGGCTCACGCCTCCAAGCAGGACTGCGCCGCCCTCTATCCGGAGTGCAAGCAGTCCATGTGGCAGGCCCAGTTCGTTCAATAAACCCGAGTCCCTTCGAAAACTTGTTTTTTATTACAATTTAATTCCATTTGCCGCCACCGATAAGCCAGGCAAGTAGGTTAAGCTTGCAGGAGTCCCGAAACTGGCGGTCGCAGTCATCAGCATCCATGTGCATGATGCGGGAGTAGTCATCCTCCACGCCGGATAAGGTGGGCAAGCTATGGAATGGGTTGAGATATATTTCGAATTGTTTTCAACTAAAAACGATAGCCCTTTACTTACGTAAAAACCAACCGCACGATATCTTGAATCATGGAATATCCTCTAGGCAGAAGCAGTCGTTTGCTATCACAAATGGCTCTCAGGACACAGGCCTTGGCATCGATTCCCAGGCTAAAAAAGATTTTAAAGCTATCACCAAAACATAAAAAAAAATAAATAAGTTATCCTCACAGCTTGCTGAAGCCATCAAAGTGCTCGAACAATTGCCTGCGATCGCGGTGGCCATTGTAATGCCGCGAGTCGTCGATGTGGTCTAATTCCGGATAGTGTGCCGGCTCATGTAGCGCCATGTCGGGATCATAGGGATCGTACTGCCGTGACACAGACCTGACATCATCATAAGGTTCCACCTCGGGATCATAGTACTCTCCATTAGCCGATCTGTACCAGCGTTTCGACCACTTGGGCGACTCCGTTGTCCACTTGCTCCATCTGCCGGGTTGAGTGTACTTCTCATAGTTGTGCTTAGCGGGTGACCACTTTCCTTGATATTGTTCGCCATACTTCGACCATTTAGCCCACTTGCCAGGATCAGCATACGATGATGGCTTCGGGGGCCTCACATCAATACGATGGTGCAGCCTAATCGGATTGGGTTTCTTCAGGGGCGTGGCTTTGAAACGCCAATTGGTGCCCGGTATCCAGACATAAGTGGGTTCCGTTGTGGTTTTTGGTTTCTCCGTGGTGGTGGTCCTTTGGCGATATCGCTTAGGATAGACATCCTCGCGCTTTGTGGGCACTGGATAATAGCAGGCCTGCTCGATGTTCATGTTCACACCTTTGGGATAGGCCGAGATGAGGCCCTTGCTTAGCTGTCCTGTGAACTTCAAATTGGAACCAGGTGGAAATAGTACAAAGCGCTTCCGCCGAGAGAATACCCGTTCCAGCACATGGTTTAGTTCGGTATGATTGGCCTCCACTTGGAGCAGCGCAAAGCTGAAGAGGATCAACAGACCTAGATGCATGGTAGATAAGTACTGATTGAGACATCAAGAACGAGTATTGGATAAGTTTCAATTGAATTGAATTGTGTTTACTTGTGAGTGCTAATTGCATAGCCAACAATTGAGGAACTGAATTGAATAGGAGATTAAATTCAATATGTCACGAATGGGTGGATACCGTTGACTAGATTTTATACTTAGAAAAGCAAATAAAAACAAACAAAAAAACTGTAAAAACCTTGCCTATCATTAAGGAGCTTTCTCCTGACTTATTAAATATCATGAATCATAAGTATATTGTGACATATCTAAAGAAGTTTTAATAAAACTTATATAATAACTATAAATTAAATAAAATGTGCAACATAATATATATTTTTTATTTAATACTTTTATTCAACTCTTCCACTTAGCAACCAAATCAATAAATTCATATTACACTTGCTTTTCAACTCAGAGGCACAATCATCTGCTGCTCTGTCCATAATGCGAGTATAATCATCCTCCAGGCCATCCAAGCGAGGCAAACTATAATAACAAATTTTATATAAATATATAAATATACAATTAGGAAATTAAACAAAACAAAACTCACGTAAAAACTACACGCAGCATGTCCTGCAACATGGAATACCCAGGTGGCAAAAGCAACCGCTTGCTATCACAGATGGTTCTCAAAATACAAGACTTGACATCGATGCCAAAACTAAAAAGAAACCATAAATAAATTTATAAAATAAAAAAAAAAAAAACATTTTTAATATCAAAAGTTAAAATAAAAATATTTAAATTCAATATAAAATAAACCAACAGTGAACTCAGCTTGGTGAAACGATCAAACAGTGCTCGGCGATCGCGGTGTCCGTAGTAATGGTGGGACTGCCAGGCTTTACTATAGTTCTTCCACTTTGGTGACGCTGTAGTCCAATTTGACCATTTCGCCTTAGTTTGATCTAACTCTATCCACTTGTTCCACTTCTGTTCCTTGTTCCACTGATGCCATTTGTAGGGATTCCCATAACTATCATCATCAATGCGATGCGTTTTTGGCGGCGGTTGTCTCCACTTGGGTTTGGGCAGAGTCTGGGCCTTGAAGCGCCAATCGGTGCCGGGTATATAAACAATCGTATCCGGTAGCTTCTCCGGGTTCTTGGTAGTGGTCTTTGGCAAAAACCTCTTGGGATAAATATCATCAACAACACCCGGCACTGGAAAGTAGACCGCCTCCTCCAAGACAAATGATATTCCTTTGGGATACGTTGCCAGCAGGCCGGTGGCAAAGGAGCAGGTGAACTTTACAAACGATCCAGGTGGAAATAGAACCGCTCTTCTCCTCCTACTGAAAGCTCTAGCCGCTGCACCTTTAAGCTGGGATAAACCTTGATTTTCTCCCAAACTTGGCCAAAAAGCAGCAAGCAGCATCAGAACGATAAAGATTGTGGCTCGTAGCATCTTGACCAACTGAAAAGAACCAAGTAATCGTGGCTGTGCTCAGGGCTAGCCAGTTATTCCGTAGGCGCCAACCGATTGCCTAAATATTTACACAAAAACTGATTGACATCTTGATTTATTTACGGTGTCCATTAGCCTACCAACCCAATTTACGCAGCATTTGTAGGAGTTGAAATCAGTTCTTTAAGTAATTTGGCTGGCTGAAGACGAACAGACGGACTCAGAATGAAAACCAGTTGGCTGGGAGTCGGAATTCTAACCATTTTTGTATTCCATCACTCAGAGCCTTTGCTATGGCCAGCTTCGTCCAATTTGGGAGTAGGTTTTGTTTATAATTATTATTTTTATAAAGTACTTAATTACTTTCCCTCTAGCTAACCGTTTCGGTGTCCACACCCATTGCTGAACTCTTTCCCGAGCGCCGCATTTTGATAGATTGGTGCTTTGCCATATCCTACAATTATCCCTACAACCTGACCGAGTTCTATAGCATACCCATCTGGCCGGGATTTGCCAACTATAAAGCAAAACGGGAACTTACCCCCCGCATGGAACTAACAGATGAGAACTTCTACAGCAAATATGGACATAATTCGGGGACTGGCAGGCATCCCAAGGATTTCTCGGCTGCCGAACTCTATGCCTTCCTCGAGGATACTTTGGCCGGCTATGGTTTCCACGAAACTTGCCTTCTGCGAAGTGTGTGCGAGTTGGCTCAACATCCTTTTGATGACAACCACCAGCACATGCTTAGCGATATTGTAACCTTTATACTGAGGTGAGTATTTACCCTAAAAAAAGTTTATTTGAAAATCTAAAAAGAACTATATTTCAGTCCCTCCCAGCACGAGGGTTTCCTCGATAATGAAACAGTCTACAGACAAGCCTACGAGCAGGCAGAGCAGGATGGTTTTCTGGGTAGAGACTGCCGGAGATTGTACTCCCATTGCCACCATGACCTGTTACAGCTTATGAGTCAACTCATATTTCACTAATATAATAAATAATTAAATTATAAAATAAAAACAAAGGGAAGAGGCCTATACGACAATGTCTATGCGTTTCATTAGCAGCTTCAGGTAGCCTCTAATTAACGCAATGCCTCGCCGGGTGGAGCTTCAACTGAAACACTGTCCAGTCTGCGTCACATCAGAATGAGTCTCAGGTGCGTCTACTTGATCGGCGGTGTGCTGTCGCTGTGGAGCCTTTCCATCAGCCGAGCCGAGTTCCCTTTGCTTTTCCCGGCCTCCTCCGTTTACCAGATCACTTCCTCGCTCTCGGTGCCAGTGGTGATACCAGATCGCAAACTCTTCTGGGACTGGGGTCTTCAGATGAACTACGCCTTGCCTGCACAGCCCTCTTCTTTTTACGCAGCCACCATTTGGCCAGATGAGTTCTCACGGCGGGGCAAGCGTCAGCTAAGGAATGAGACGGCAAAGTATTTGCCGGCAGAAGGAAGAAGAGGAGTGACTTCGATGCATCCAAGTGATTTCACAGCCGGAGAGCTCTACGAGAGTCTGGAAAGCATGTTGGCCAGGTATGGTTTCGATGAGTCTTGCTTGCTGCGCAGTGTTTGCGAATTGGCAAGACATCCTTTTAAGGATACAGAGAACAACATGCTCACCGCTCTGCTGACCTTTACCCTGACGTGAGTCAAATATTAAATTTTAATTTTTCCACAATATATATCATGATACACTTGTGCATTTTATAATTTTTAAAAGTTAATTAACTATATTAAGTCAAAGCTCAAATCTAAATTTTTCGCCTGTTGAGGTTTGAAATTGGAAAAACCTTTGATAAATAAAAAGAATTCCTTATAAATCATATAGAAATTCAAGTAGAATTATTTATTTTTCTAAATTATATATAAATTCATTAATATTTAATTACAGACCATCTTTGCATGAAGCCTTCTCCCCTGGAGAAACCATATACCGCGAGGTGTACGAGCAGGCCGAGCAACAGGGATTCCTTGGCGAGGATTGCTCCCGTCTATATGCAAATTGCCCAATGGACTTCCTCAGCGGCATCAGCAGCCTATTAAGCTAGCAATACTTTAATTATATCCAATCCATCCACACAAGGATTTTGAAATCCCTTAAACATTCTGGACCTTTGCTCCGAGAATTTATAGGTGTGTCAGAGATATTCCGCAATCATTTGAATGCTTTAAATTCAATGAAAATTATCTCTGATAATGACTTTGTCTTGCCCCAATGAATATACATATACACAAACATTTGACTGCAACCATATTTATTTCATCTAACGAGTCGGGTGGCCAGGTTTATGATGTCTATTTCACAGCTGGGATAAGATAAATGGCATTGACCTCCGAAGAAGCCAATCTGCTCCGCTCGCTCGTATTGGTCCCGATAGAGCTGCTCGTCCTCGGAAAAGCCTTCATGTTGGGAGGGTCTAGAAGTGGCCAAAAAAACGTATTTATCAGCAAAAAGAATTATATATTTTAAAGAAATAATATAATAATTATTATAATTATAATGTAGATAATAAAAACGATTAGCTGCTTTTGTGTATCTAAGATTTCTTGAGCTTACGTGAGCAGGAATGTGATGACCTGGGTCACCATTCCATAGAAGTGATCCTTGGCAAAGGGATGCAGGGCCAGCTCGCAGACGCTGCGCAGCAGACAGGTCCTGTGAAATCCATATGTCTCCAGCATGTGCTCCAGGCCCGAGTACAGCTGCCCGGCCGTGAAATCACCCGGATGCATGCCATCCCCCAGCTCCAACTGATTTTTTTGCTGTTGCTGATTCGCATCCAAGCCATTGTCCTCAAGCTGTCGCTTCTGTCTTCGCGCCAGCTCATCCGCCCAGATGCTGGCGTTGTAGAAGGCGGAGACCGTTGCCGGCAGGTTGTAGTTCATCTGGAAGCCCATGTCTATGAAGACCTTTGTGCGGGTGGGGAGATCCACTGGTATCGAGACCGACGAGGTCAGCTGCAGCACCGTGGAGGCTGGATAAAGCAATAGTCCCCGGATCGGGTCAATCAGGCTGACCAGCAGCAGCAGATACTTTCCTACGTTCTGGTTCTTTGGACAATGCATGACGATGTGATCCACTTGGAAAACACGAATAAAGCCCCCCAAAATCTGGCTCTAGCCATTGTCTATTTGGGGATTAATTAAGGCAGGCTCTAAATAAACGGATCAACGACCAGCGACAGATGCGTGAGCAGCAATTAGAACGGTTCACGAGACAGCTCGGAAACTGGAGCGCATGCTCCGTCATCCATATTCGGTGGGCAGCGTGATCTAGCCAATCAAGAAGTGCGTGTATTCTACTCTTGGAGAAGATTTCAATCCGTGCACTCATTAGAAGAAACTATAGTTGTGAGCACACTGAGAAAAACACAAGAATTAATAGATGAAATTTAGGAAACGAAATTTAATAGATAAAAATTGTATTAAGAAAACATGGACTGATAATAAACAGAGAGAAATATTATTATTTACATAATTAAATTAAAACCTTAGGAGAATATTTCCTGTGTACCATTTCCCCATAGAAAAATGTGAATTTCTTCGGTAAACAAATATTGCGTTGGTTGTCTTTCGTGGCTTCTATCCGAGTTTAAACAATGCCGGATTAGTAAGCATTGCACACGAAAACAAACAAGATGGTCCAGAGGTTTTTTGCCTGGCTCTTGCTGCTCCTAATGGCGGCTTCCACCATCGTTCTGGTGGCAAGTCACACCAAAGCTAATTATAGTCCGTATGGAAGTGGTAACAGCACTAGCCTGGGCCACAGTAATACCCCATTGAGTCGCTCGAAGCGATTGGCCATCTATAATGGCCAGGGAATTGTCAAGGTGTGATCACTAGGATTCTCTTCAAAATCCCATTCTTAATCCCATTCCTCAGCTTGTACCCAGTTTAGCTTATCCGGTGAAGCAGACCGACAAGGAGCAGTCCTTCTGGTGGTTCTTCAACTTTCAGGGTCAGTGGATTCCCACCACCATTCCCATTTACTGGTGGAGCTTTTGGAATACCACCGCCTTTGTGTCCACCGCTCGTGAGTGGCGCAAGGACATGAAGTTGAAGCTCACGCACGACGAGGCCCGATCCTGGGTCTATAATGCCATCGAAGTGGGCATGGAACAGTGAGTATCTTAGAAAATTTCATAACAATCTCAATATATTTTTTCTTATTACCAGGCTAGACAAGGAGAACGGAGCCACCTGCCTGCTAAGGAGTATCTGCGAGATCTCCCAGAAGCCCTTCCAGAGCAGCAATATTTTCAGCGAGATTGTTAACGCGGTGCTAGTGTAAGTATAATTTGTATTTTGTTAATTAATAATATAATTATCTAATAAATTTTAAGACCGAGCCTGGATAATGTAGCTGAAAAGTATCTCCACGCACGTAACGCAGGACGTGGTGGAGCCGACTGCGAACGGACCTACAGTGACTGCAACCCGTTGCTATGGATTCTAGTCAAAAACATGGCCAAGAATCCTTTTTGATTGGACTATGGCAAGCACTCGGAATCGCTTTATTTACCGAAAACAATAAATGTTAAATTTTTTTTATATATTGTGGCTACTGCGCAGATCACTTCCTAAGCTTTCGGGCTGCCTCTTGCCGGTATCGCTCCCAAACTTCGCAGAGCATAGGCGTTTTCAGGCAAAAGCACTCTACAGCGGGAGGGGGTCTGATCTCGGGGTGATTGCACTCGGAGTACGAAGGATAGGGAGCCAGAGGCTTTACACAGTCAGAGGGCCCACGACCAGGCTTGCAGGTGGGCGGTCTACGGCCATCTCGATGACAGCGCCGGGCGAGTTTGGGACAGTCACCTTCACTCTTTGGTGGGCATGGCTGTGGGCAGGCAGTTAAGGGCTTTGCGGAGGGCTTTCGTCGTTTGGTCGGCGCTGGCTTGGCCTTCGCGTAGCAGCAGATCTTCTTCGGCTTTATCTGGATGGGCGGGCAGGCCACCCAAGTCTGCCAGTATTTCCGCTTGGCCTTGTCAGACTCCACATAGTAGATGTCGTCGAAGCGCGGGTTAAATGGGCAGTGAAGATCGTCTGGCTCACAGAATGGGTTCAGCCACATGGATGGCTCCTTGGTCACCTTTTTCTTTTCTTCCTTCTTTGTCACTATTAACTCGGGCTTACCGCAAGGGAACTTTGCGAATTTCTTGGGACATTTGTCCTCACCCTTCTTCTGGCAACCAGACTTGTAACGAACACACCTGCCCACGACACTGTGAATGCGCGGAGAGCGGAACAGTCCGTGAGCCAAAGTCAATTTAAATACCATTCTGTTTTAGTGAAATTGGTTGCTCTTGACCGAAACTGAAAATTTAGGCCGGAAATTTTGTTCGGTTAATTTTGAATGGAAATACTGGATGCGAAAAACGACTAACCAGCTCCGAAGCGAACTGAGTACTGAAAATTTTCAGTTACCCCCTGAGCTACCAAAATGACTCAAGGCGACATTTCATTTCAAAAGTTTACTTGGTTCAAATTTTTTGGGCACTCGGTGTAAGGAAATCCAGCACCTTGTAGGGACAACTGGGGGCGTAGAACCGAGCGCAATCCTGGACATCCATACGATGCCTGTACTTCCTGTCGGCTATCTCCTCGGGCACTCTGAAAAAGGACTAGTCAATGCTGGTCTTATATTTTGGAATGTTCTTTCACTTACGTCAGCACAATCCGCACTAGATCATCCATTAGGAAGCCTTGATCATGGCCCGCATTAAGTCTAGCTCGAAGCTCGCACATGGCTCTCTTGATACACGATCTGAGGTCCAACTGAAAACTGAGGATAAAGTTAAAAACTTTTTCGGGAATAGAATTTTGAATATAGTTTACACTTTTCCCAGGGCTTCGAACTGATCGAATATTTCTCTGCGCTCCCTGTATCCACGATTTAGCTTCCAGCTAGGAACTTGGGCCCACGATTCGTAGACCTCTTCTTCGGGTTCATATGCATTCTTACGAGAAACAGGTGATGATGGATACCAGGGTGTTTGGTAAAATGAATCTCTATTAAAGGCAGGACTGAAACATTTCATTTTAAATATTTTTCTTTACTAACGAGAGATATATGCTTCACCTGGCATAAGAAGTAGTTCTGTAGGGTTCCCAAGAATTAGTTTTGCCTTGGTAGAATGAATCCCTAATTACAAAAAAATAATATCTGTAGGCAAAAGTTAAATCAATAATTGATTATTAAAAAGCATACCTGGCCTTGGAAGTTACCTTGTAAGGTCCCCAGTATTTCGATTGGGTTTGGTATAATGGATCCCTATTAAGAAGGAGAAAGTAAAATGTTTCTTGAGACCTCCAAGATAGAGTGCTCTACCATTTACCTGGCAATAGATGCTGTTTTAGAAGGGGTTTCATATGAATAAGAGCTCGCAGGTCGTTGGTAATGAGACCAATCCCATCGGCGTTTTGGTGTAGGTTTGGGCTTCAACCTCTTTAGGATTTTGGGCTGCCAACCCTCAACCGTGTCGGGCAATGGAACGTACATATCAAACTCCAGACTATACTGAAGACCACTGGGTCGACCGCCGACAATGATTTTTGTTAGGGCGGCCGTCAGCAAGATAGAAGCCTTGTCCGGAAAGACTAAGCCTCGCACCCGTCGCGAGAGCAAGCGATTTTCCAGCACTCCGGGGCCCTTCGCCATATGAGTGCGGTTTCCCTGTACCGCTAAGATGGCTCCGAGCCAAAGAATTACCCAGACAGTGGACCACATGCCGTCGCTCCAAGAACTAAACTGAGGAGTGCCAGGTACTAGACGCAGAAAATTAACGCCCAGGGGAGTTAAGTGCGCTAATTGAGACAGGTGATGTAAGTCCGAGGCGATCGAGTGGGCCTTGAGCCAGTCGGAGCTTACATGTCACATAGGACCCAATGGAACGATTTCACTTTATCAGTAGCAGAGCTAGGCTCCATTTAGGCATCTCAACCGAATTGAATTTTAGAGTTACATACTTTTTAAACGTATCATAATGGTGAACCTTCAAGGCAACACCCGGATGATGGTAAACCGCTACATCGAGCTCCTGCGAGCCCGCATTCAGTGTGCTCCAACACGTCACATCGCAGAGCGGCATCGACGCGTGCCTTACAAGCGGCGTCAGTATTCTGAGCAGGCGGTTAGGGAACGGGAAAAGGCGGATAGCTACCACAAGAACAAGCGGCGCTCCATGTGGGAGCAGACCCAATCCTACGGCGGACGATTCTCAGAGCCAGAGGATCATAAACGCGTGGACAGCAATCAGTATCGGCCCAAAAAGCTGGAGCAACGCAGATACAACTGCACCTGGAACGATTTCCCAAAGAAAGTAGTGGAAAAGCAATGCAACCCATACACTCCGCCGTTAGAGGAGGAGGCACCGAAGCGGCGTAGATCTCCGGTAAGGTTTATAAAAGTTTTTAAAGTTATTTAAATATATATTTTGTTTTATTTGGAACCAAAGGGGGATCGCCCTAACACTGCCAGGCCCTTCGACGACGAGGCAGCTGCCTTCATCAACCAGTGGGACAGTAACACTGCCATGATAAATCGGAACAAGTATGTGCGGTCCACTGACTCCTGCCCAACGCCATTGGTGAATCGTGATTTTGAGTGTATACTGCCAGACCGAAAGCGGATGTTTCAATACTAGTCCGGCTCGTATTCAACTGGCTTGGGTGGGTTCCAACGCCAGTAGACGCACAAGTTCAGAAAACATGCGATGTTCAAGAATCAAAATTATATCAAGTGTACGTCAAAGTCCAGACTTTCAATAAATCTACCATGCAAATTTTAAACTAGTTTATTGTATTTCATTATTTTTTTTTTTTAACTATTTTCCGTTATTATATAAAGTTGATTGTTAAATTTAAAAAATAACAGCTGAATTTTAACTTTGCTACTTTCAATGTGGCCAAACATCTTGTTACGTAGGTATATTTTAGTAGTCAAGGTACTGCAACACTTCCTTAATTGTTTTGTTTACTTCTTCGGCGGTTCAATTTTTAATTGATTTTGCGGCATGGCGCTGCTTAGAAAAGGGACAAACAGCTTGTTCGGAAGCTTCCGACGCTTCGCCAGCAGTGGTTGCACCATCTACAGCTTGAGTTCCGGTCATGTCAAGTGCGGCGTTTCCGTTATACGGGTCTCTGGCCCACAGACAAAGAAGGCGCTCCGGGCCATTGTTGCCAATAAAGAGTACGAGCCAAAGGCAAGTTAATTAAACATATCAAAATAAATATACATTTAATAGCGTGATTATATATGTATAATAATCAGCAAGCCAGGAGGCCGAAGAAGGGCATACACTTTATTAAGATCACAGGATCTCAGGATTTAAAAAAACGTCAATCATTATTCTTGCAATTTTAATATCGTAACAAATGGCATTGTGCCAAAACTAAGGTATTTTGGGTTGCTGATTAAAAATATATAATTCATGGCCTGCTATCTCAATGAATCCAAACAATATTACCCGCTTAAAAAGAGTAAAAAGCAAGCGAAACCAAGAAAATTAATGCTAAAATGTATCCTCAGCTCGTGCGACCGAGATCTTATCTTGTTATAGTCCCAAATAATATATAAAATAAATAAATATTAAAATAATATAATATATATTTCACTAGGCCCGTCAGGCGTACCTGAAATCCTTTTTTCATCCTGCCAGCAAGGAAATGATTGACCGTGGCCTGCTACTCTGGTTTCCTGGACCAGCCTCTTTTACTGGCGAAGATTCCTGCGAGTTCCAGGTACACGGTTCTCTGGCCGTAATTGCCGCCATGCTGGATGCCCTGGGCAAGGTAGATGGTCTTAGGCCAGCCCAGCCGGGGGAATTCACAAAAAGAGCGTTTTTCGGTGGCAAACTAGATTTGACAGAGGTGGAGGGACTGGCGGATCTCATTCATGCCGAAACAGAGGCCCAAAGAAAGCAAGTGCGTATATGAAGGAACTCCTTGCCAAAGGTTGGACAATATCTAATATAATACCGCCCTCTTCCAGGCCTTGCTGCAGAGCACCGGCGCTCTAGCCCGCCTGTACGACAATTGGCGCCGAAGACTCATCCGCTGTGCCGCCCACCTGGAGGCCTATATTGACTTTGCCGAGGATGAGCAGATTGAGGGCGGCGTCATCCTGCAACTCAGCAAAGAACTGAAAGCGGTGAGGCGCGATATAGTTGAACATCTTAGTGACCAGCGGCAAGGCGAGCTTCTGCGCGATGGTGTCCGCACCGTGATCATTGGAGCTCCCAATGTGGGCAAGAGCAGTCTGCTCAATTTGCTCTGCCAAAGATCCATCTCTATAGTCACAGATCAGGCCGGAACGACAAGAGACATCATAGAAACAATGCACAATTTCGGAGGATACCCCGTTGTATTTTCGGATACGGCGGGACTACGACGAGATACTACGGATAGTATAGAACAGGAGGGCATGCAGAGGGCCAAGGCCTGTCTGGCCCAATCGGATTTGATATTGCTCCTAGTGGATGCCAAGAATGTTATAAAACTGACGCACAACGACTCTGTGCCGCAGTTTGTGGATAACTACCTAAACGAACTGGATATTCCTTTGGACTTGTGCAATGGTAAAAGACTTCAGCTGGTGGCCAACAAAACGGACACGCTGTCGGAGGAGGAGTTCCAGCAACTGGACAAACTCTCTAATATTTTACCCATATCATGCCATAAGCCCGATAAAATGCCTGTATTTCTGGGCAGCCTGGAAAAGCAGCTGCAAGAACTGTGCGGCGAGCCCAGGGCGGAGAACCCGCGCATCACAAACACACGCTACCGACAGCAACTGGAGCGCTGCATCCAGCACATCGACATATTTCTACGAGATTACAGACCCGATGTTTACCCTGACTTGGCTATTGCGGCCGCCAAGCTGCGCAACTCCGTGCGTTGCATCGAACGCATCACCGGGCATGTGAGCTGCGAAGATATACTCGACGTCGTGTTCAAAGATTTCTGCATTGGAAAATGACTTGATAATAATAGTTTAATTAAGTTAGGCTCAAAGATTGTAATGTAATACTGCCCGTTCGTTGAGTATTTAATAAATGAGAACTTTTAAGTCTTGAAGCTTTTAAGGGGCTGGAGATAATTTAAAATAAATAGGCCTTTTTAATATCATATATCGGATATTATTAGGTAATTTTAAATAATAGACGTCATTTTAGAATAATAGGTTAAATGATTAATTCTTTTGTATTTAATTAAAATTATGTGTGGATCTAGAAATTTAAAAAATTTATTATTTTAATAATTTTAAAAATGTAATTTGCTTGGAAACCCGTTAATTCTGGATAAACTTTGCGTTAGGGATTTAATGTTTATATTCGATTTCAACCACCTGGCCACACTGTCAGATATTGTTTACGTGTTTTGCTAGGCGACTTCTGTGTTGTTTTTTGTTTTAAAAAAATATGTCATCCTGGATTACAGGACTGGCGGACAAAGCCGAAAACATTCTTAACAAGCTCGACCAAAATGCGGCCACGGCGCTCCAAACAGACAATCCAACCGGGTCAGCGGATCCCATGCGAAGGAGCATGAACAGTAGCACCCAATCTCTGTCGCTGAAGTCCACTCTCTCGCCAGCGAGGCGTTCGGTTGCCAACAGCACGTCGAGTGTCAAGAGCGAGGGCAGCGGTTCTGTGGTCACCAAGGAAATGCGCCATAAGATGACCGCATCGACCAGTTCCTCAAACACGCCTGAGGGCAACTCCATGGACACCCATGAACTGGCTGCTTTCAAGATTGCTCTGAACGAGATCACGGCCGAGAGGGATGAGCTGCGTCTTCGTTTGAACGAACTCAACCATGACAGCGAGAATTTCGCATTGCAGCAGCGGAGTCAGGAGCTGGAAACTCTGGCCCAAACCCTCTCGGAGGAGAGAGACAAGGCGGTGCACGATCTCAATGAAGCGCAGACTGCTCATATGTCCTACGTGCACTCCATTTCCGAGCTAGAAACCAATCTGGCAAAACTGCAGCAGGAATACATGAGTGCTGCCCACAAGCTTCAGATGCAGACAAAGGAAACCGAGCAGCAGCGTCAGGAACTGCAGGAGTACCGCACCAAGGCCCAGAGAGCCTTGCAGGCCAAGGATGCCCTCATCGCGGAGCTCAAAGCACAACCAGTAGATGAAGGTGGGGATTCAGGCCTGGTAGCCAAGGACAGCGAGACGCGCTTCTTGCAAATCGAATATGATTCTTTGAAACAAGAGCTGGAGCACGCCAATGAGGAGCTCCAGAAGGCTCGTCTACAGCTGGACGATTACCTATCGCAGGAAAGACAACGCCAAGTGGAGCTTAGCTCGGCGCTCCAGCGCGAGGAGACATTAGCCAAGGAGCTCCGCCAATCTCGAGAGCACAGCGTGACCTCCGAATCCGAGCAGCGCATTCTGACCCAGGAACTCTCCTCGCTGCGGCAGCAGCTCAGCAACCAAATGGCCGCATCCGCAACACGCCTGCAGGAGAAGGAGCTACAGCTGCAGCAGATGCGCCAGCGGCTCAGCGAGGATGCCAACAGTGGAGCCAAGAACGACTACGAGGCCCGGCTTAAGGCACTCACCCAATCGCTGGTGGAACGGCAAGGCCTCTTGGAGCGCGTCACATCCGAGAGAAATGCCCTGCGACTGCAGCACGAGAAGATCCAAGGGCAGCTTCAGCAAAATATGCATCTGGTGGAGATGGAGAGCCATAGAGGTGGCAACCGCAACTCCATGCTTTCCAACAGCACGGACGATGGTGAGGGCATTAAATATAACATATTTTTCTATTCATAAAAAATACATATTAAAAAATTCCCCAGCCAAGGCCCAATTTCCGCTGCTGATGCACCCGAGTCCCTTCGACAATCGTGTGGCTCGCCGATTTAAGCGCGCCCTGCGCCAGGCGGACTCCATGGGCATCAGGGTGGGCGCCTTCCTAAGACGCTATCCCATGATGCGTGTCTCTGTGATCGTTTATGTGGCCCTGCTCCATCTCTGGGTCATGTTTGTGCTGCTGTCCACGACGCCAAACTAATCGAATAGCTTCTAGTTAATTGAGCAATTGTTTTATTTTTAAATATTGTATTTTACACGCGAAAAATTTGATATCTAGGAGTACGAGTATATGTGTGTCATGTTTGTGATTACAGCAATTGTATATATCCGTTAGTATACTTGTTGTGTATGTGTGTTTCGCACTCGATCTAAATTCAATATTCAATAAACATCAACTATGTACAGAAATTGCAATTGGTTTAACGCTAAAAACATCAAGCAAACGAATAACAAGACCGAAGAAAAGAACGTTTCGTCACAGGTCAAATATTGCATAAAGAATCCAACTAGAGAGACCGTAAAGTTAAGTAAACGTGACTCAGATTCACTGTCAGTTGCTGGGCAGAGCTGGCAGCGTGTTAGCTAAGCGGAAGAATATAGAGAGTAGAGGCTTTTGGGACGATTCGCGTAGAACAGGCGCTATATGCCCCGCAAGCATTTGTATCAGTCATCGGCATGGTAGCTCACATAGACGGCATCGCCCCCCAGGCTAATCAGGCATTGGCCCTGTAAATACATAATAGTTTTGAATCCAATTAAAAGTATATTAAATATAAGTATTCATATACCTGATTCTTGTGCTGGTTATCGAACAGCATGAGTTCTGTGATGTAGAATGAGACCATGGCATTGCCGCCCAGCGAAGCAATGTGAGCTCTCACCACGGCCAGCAGCTCTGTGATAAAGCCATGGACAAAGCCGCTAATGCCGCCATTCTCCCGGATAGAGGTGCTCTCCCGGATAAAGAAAAAGTTCAGATTGCCTAGGTATTTATCTATTCGGCCGCCAGGTATGAAGCTAAGTGGGGTCAAATCCACTCCATAACGATCCCGCAGGGGAAACTGGTAAGAAATCCAAATATAATATGATTTAAAGTAAAATATATTTAATTACTTACATATCGATTTCTGGGAACCGCTCCCACACTCAGCGGCTTAACTCCCGTGGATGGCAAACCCGACACCAGGTTGCTAAGCCGCGATGGTGAGGTTTTGCGCATTTTAAATGAACTCATACCAAACGGCGGTATGGCGGTGCTAGTCGGCGTGGGGGTGTCCACCATCTGATCCTCATCCAGTGGAAAAATGTAATCCTCCTCCTGCAGCATACGTTTTCCATTCAATTCAGGCTGGGACTGGGACTGGGACTCATGGAATCCGTTTTGCTGTTGTGGCTGCGGCTGCTGCTGTTGCTGCTGCTGCATCACTCGGCCACGTCCGCGGTACTTCACTTTACTGGCATCGCTCAGACCCATGGCCATGCCAGTTACTAGCAGTTGGATTTGATCCTAACAGGATATAGAATATATATTTTTATATTTTGCCATATTACTTTTTTATTTACCGTTTCGGGCAGATCTAGTCGGAAGCGAAGATCGCAGATGGCACAAGGTATCATGGTGCGCAGCTTAAAGTAAATTGTCTGCAGGAGTCTGTGAAAATGTATATTTTTATATCAAATTCTGGAGTTACATTTCAAGACCCACCTCTGAAAGTGCTTGGGAAACCCATTAACACTCTGTCCCACCTCGAGACGTGCACGCCACACTTGAGTGAACATCTGAAGATTTTTGACTGTGTCCATTTCCAGCATGCCCGGCACCTGCTGTGTGTTGACCACATGGAAGCCCTCCGGGGGATATGGTTCCATCAGCAGCGATATAATCTCCAAGTCCTCAATGTCATCGACTTCTAACACACAAAGCTCCTTGTTGCCGCAGTTCAAATCAATCTCATTCATTTCCTCCTCATCCGAGTCATCGGTATCGGATTGCTTGTCCGTCGAGGGGGCGGCAGAGGCCGCTGCTCCCGCATCGGGGTCCAAGCTCTTTAGCTGATAGATCTCCTGATTGCGTTCGAACGTTTCCTGCAGCTTCTTTTGCAGCTCGTTCAGCTTTTGCTTGTCGGTCCACGAGTTTCCGGCCACAATCTTCGGTACCTGCGGCACTGGCAGAGCACTGAGGAATAAGGCCGTTCCCGTGGCTATCAGTGCTATCATGCGCTCGCCTATAGCCACCTGGGTGCGTAACCCAAAGATGGCATTCATGCCCTTCGCCTTCAGCTTGTTAATAAGCACGCGATGCAGTTCGTACTCCAGGAAGGGAAGACCATCCGATATCTCTTTGGCATTTAGTTCTGCTCGCAGATCTCTCTTGGCGCGCACCACTTGAGCCTGCATGAAGCAGCCACGTCCAGTGACCTGCATGAATTCCGGAACCTCCAACGTGGCCAGGAGTACGTCCGGTACACGTCCCTTGCGACAAACAGCGCACTTCTTCATCTTCACGTTGAAGGGGACGGAGCTTAGGTTGTAGGGTATATGGCAAATGGCGCAGGCATTGCGTGGTCCATTGAGCGGCGGAAGGCCATAACGCTTACCCGTCGAACTGGTCCCTGTACCCAGCGAACCAGTGTCTTTTCCTGTGCCCGATGCTTCTCCGGTGCTGCTACCATTTGCCTCGCGCTCCTCTAGGGAATTCGACATGGCCGCACTAGCTGTGGCCTTGGACATGGTAAAGATATCGGTTTGGGACACAGATCTATTGAAGACCATATTGATTACTGCGGCCGTTCCAGTGGCAGATAAGACGCACACGTCGTCGCTGTATAGATAATAGGGATTTATTAGACCTTCTTAAACAGCTTTCTTAAATTTGTTTCGATTCCTTACGATATGGTTGTGGTCTCCGCATAACCCAGCACTACATTGCAGCCCAGGGAACGCGCATGAGAGCGGATCTCCATGCGCAGTTCTGTCCACCAGCTGTCACGTACTTCCGGCTCATCCGGATTGGGCACTCGCTCCAGCAGCTTCACGGAACGAGCTGCCACAGTGGCACCCAAATGGAGGATGAAGCCCGTTGGGTACTTGGTCATGGTCAGAAAGGGATACTCCAACATGTCCAGGCTGTCAGTGCCAGGTTTAGCTCCAACCGTTGGCTGCGTTAGACGCATCATTGCCGTGGCGGCCACTAAGCGCTCGCTGGCCACACAAATTGAGTTTCCTGTGAATGAAGGACACACGAAAAAGTTGGATTATACAATTACATTAAATGATATTTGCTCACGAGGGTCTTACACGTAATGAATACATTTATATTTACAGCATGTCTTAGACCTGTGTGGAATGAGTGAGAGTCTTGAGTCTTGCAACCGCACATATAATTGTGAAATCGTGTTCCTCTTCAGATTCTTGAATATTTTAATTTTGTGATCTTGTAAATTGTACATTCAGTTTTTAATATAATGATATTCCCTGCCAAAATACCAAAATAAAATGATTATTGGTCAGAGTTACTGAATCGGTGGTTACCAACCTCAGAAACATGCTTCATTTTCCTAATTTGAACCTAGGCTCTAGTTGTGAAGTGGAGAAAAAGCCGTTTAAAGTTTCTGAAGCGGCCACAATAACACTTGTATACCTTGCATACATTCTTGATTTAAGACACTTAGAGTCTTAATTCGATAACAAAACTTTCACAGAATATTCTATTAATTATACAAAAATTTTAAACAAAACAAAAATGAAAAAAAATATTGGTTTACATGTATGGATGTGTATCTTCCCTTAAGCTAACACAATAAAATTAGTTTCTCCACTTGCTGCTAATGCTCATGCAAATGCATGATCGTTCCGCTCTTGTTCATTATACTATCCTTCCTTTAAATGGACCCACTGAATGGCTGTGTGTTATAACATTTAGGTAACGTTCAGATCGGATAAGGCATACGTAAGATAAAGAGTGGGAAAGTCTTGGCAACAGAACACCCGCCGGAAAAAAGGGGAAAAGACAGGAAGGCACACACACGCACAGATAAACAGAGAGAGATACATCGAGAAAGGACATCGAGTTTAGGCGGCAGCATCTACTTACGCTTCCGGTTGAATGAAAAGGCTATGCCTGATGGCGAGATGCAGCAGTGGACGCAAAGATAGAACGTTTGGAAGAGACGTTTACGGTTACTCAGAGACGAGACGGTGAAATAAAGACACACGGTAACGGCAACACACACTAGTTATTGAGCAGCAGTAGTCTGGTGCTTGGATGCTTAGAGCCTATAGCCTTAGCCTAAATCTTAACTACAGATGCAAAAGATCAGCCCTGATTCCAGCTCTTAGGCGTAAGAGCTTTTTAGTCTAAATTATTCTGTAAAACTAGTTTACCTTATATTATTTATTTGTAATTTAATAAATCACATAAAATTATAATCGGAAAATGGAATCAGAGCTGTTATTCTGACGAAACTCCCCTACATACCTTTGGGCGTGACACTCAAGTCGGAATCAGAGGAGCGCCGGCAGATCTCGCCAACTGTGGTCGGCACCATTGTGGTGGCCGTCGATGTGGTCGAGGTGGATGCACTGTCCGCATTCGTGGTGGCCGAGATGCCGCTCTTCGAGGGGCTGGGCGTTAGCTTCAGCCGATTGCTGCCCACCGGAGATGCAAAGCGTTTCAGGCTAGGACTACTGCCCTCCACTGTTGTCGGTATACTTGATGGTCCTGATGGTCCACCCACTAACCCTGGCTGCTGTTGGAGGTCAGTGCTGGATCTAAGTTCGCGTGGTGGTTGTTGTTGTTGTTGGCGAATGGCAAATGGAGCAAGCAGTGATGATTCATTATTTTGGTTACTATGGTTAGTACTATTAGAGATATTTACAAAACGATCTAATTGGGCACGACTAGGGGGCGGAGAGTTATTGTAATCGAAGGCGACTAGCTCGGAGTGGGTGGGTGTGGGTGTGGAGGGGCATACGCGCAGCTCGGGCGCCTTCAGCAGCAACGTGTTGGGGGGCACTGGAGGTGCAAAACATTCGGGGGCCACTAGATGATTCAGTGAGGCACTGCGCTGCAAACTCTTCCCGTAGCTGGGCAGAAAGTTTAGCTGCAACATGGAAGAGGAGCCACTAAGGCTACATCCTGGCCAGTCACCGCTGCAAGTTGGCAACTCCGGTTGTGAGCTGTAGTACGGCTTGCGTTCCAGCGAGGGCACGAAGGGGTGCTTTGGCTTCTTTTCCAAATCACTTTCTTTGGGCTTTATATGCATCAGCTTTTGGAGACGTCGCGAGAAGCCCTTTAGGTCCTCCAGCAGATTGTGGTGCCTGGGTCCCAGGTCCTGCTGGCTGTTCTCGCAGCTGCGTGTTTCTCCCGGCTTAATCCAGTTGTCCTGCAGGTTATCCTCGTCCTGGGAGTCCTCAACATTGCTATCGGGCGGAGCTATTTCCAGGTCCAACTGCAGGGACTCCTCCGAGTCCGTAGAGTAGTTGGAGGTTGGTCGACTCTTGGCCAAAAACTCATCTACCGGCAAATCTGGCGCCGAACGAGTATTCTCCTGATACTCTGACAAACCGGGCACAGTGAGGAAACTCTTGGTAGACACATGGCCACCAGGACGCACGCCAGTGTCGTTGCTAATTGAACGCACTATAAACGGAGCATTGGAGGACTTGATGCTCGGGAGAGCAAAGCGCGACTTGCGCCGCCGTCTGAAACTCGACGGAGTGGTACTTGATCCTCCTCCTCCTCCAAAGATGGTGCTTAGCGATTGTGTGGCATTTTCTGGAATCTTAGGCTCTATTCGACGTATCAGCGTGGCATATTTCTGGGTAAAAACTTTGCTCGAGGAGAGAGTTAAGCGGCGCATGCGATGTCTCAGTTTCTTCTCGCGACTCCTGTCGCCACGCTCGTCCTCCTGCCTGATAAGATCCTGCATCAGCTCCGCGTCCTCCGTGTCGCTGCTGGCACTTTCCAGGTAAAACGTTGCTGCCGCCGCCGCTGCTGCTGCAGATGAAGGCGCCGACGAGCTGGGCTCCCTGTATATATTGAGACGATATTGGGGCGTGCGGCCGGAAAGCGGCAGACTCAAGCTGCTCGCTCCCGCACAGTTGAGGAAGTCTAGATACTTTCGAGACAGTCTAGCCATTTTTGTGGGTAAGTGAGGGTGGTACGTAAATGTTTTATAAACAGAAACACGAGACAACAACGAAACAACAACGATTTGAACGTGCAATACGATACGACAAGGAGCGAAATTAAAGAGATCGAGGGATGAACATCGTCGTAGGTATTTCGGTGTGGGTTGGAGAACGTTCAAGAGAAGAGAAAAATTGCTTTAAAACACGTTTAAATTTGCTTTCTACTAGCACCTACAGTCGATAAACTGAATAATATATCCAAGATCTTTTACGTATAAGGGCAGGAAAAGGATAATACTCTTGCAGATTTGTAATTATATTGACTTGAATGGACTTCTACAAAAAATTTAAATAAATCTCTCTGTGTTTATATAAAAAACAAATAATAATATAATTAAACTAAGCTCTAACAACGTTAAGTTCTATGAAAAATCACAAATGCCCTGCCAGAGTATTATCACAAATTTTTGTATCACTGAATTTAACCTTTTTATATTGTTTGTATATTTCTCAAATAATACTCACTCCTCGATCAGGGCCACATCCGCGCTATTTGGCTGACTGCTGCTGGTGTCTTTGATCAGTGTAACAGCTGTGCCCACTCCTCGGGCCACCACGCCCACATCACCCTCCAGATCAAAGCACTGGGTATAGCCAATTACGGCATTGGCGCCCATGTTTATGGCTTTCAGGCCCATTTTCCGCTGTACCTGGCCGGACAACTTGAGAAAGACCACCTGTCGGGCCTCGTTCGAAGCACGCGGCGTCCGTATCTTGTCGATCCACTGATATTCAGGATCGTCATTGACCACGAGCTCTTCGACAAAGCCGTGAATCACCTGGGCGCGGTAGCCAAAAGGCACGCACTGGGCTGTGGAAATAAGGATATTTATTTTACATAATTAAAGGATCCTATTAAAAGAATACATACAGTGGAAGAAGGGTATACCACAGGAGCTCTGTCGGAACTTGTTGACGTCCGAGAAGAGATCCACTTTGACGATGACATTGATTTCACCGCGGATCCCGTGCATTGTGTCGAAAACGGGAATCCAGCCGGACAGCACAGTGCCCTTACCGTGCACCGCCTGACTGGAGCTCTCCAGGCACAGTGGATTCAGGCTGATGTTCACCTTACCGATGGCATCGTTGGCCGAGTACGTATCATAGTCCATCAGTCGGATTTGCAGCGGTTCGTCCTGCAGCTCTGCATCGTCCACCTCGAAGCGAAACCTGGCAAGAAACGTAGGGGTTACTTGGGTACGTCATCCCTGGCAAGGGCACCTCTTACCAATCGGTGTTCCAAGTGGGATTCAAGCTCTTGCGGAACACATCCGTCTTGTGGGTCACGGAAGCCAGTTTGATTTCCACGAACGCGTCCGTCGTCTCGCTGCTCTTGTCCATTACCGGCAGGTTGCGCGCCGCCTTGATCTTCACCCCCACCTTGCCTGGCATCCTGTCGCTGTCGCCTGTCCCCTTTTCACCAAATTGATACCACAATTATTCGCCCAAAACTATTCACGTTTTAACTTGTGTTTTCCATTTTCCTCTTGGTTCTCAGTGTGACCGCAGTCGGGAACTGGCAAAATCCGCACAAAGGGGATTGAAAAATATTGGCAGTATATAAAAATTTAGTACTACTTAAATATAAATAAAATACATACTTAAAAAACAAACTTTTAAATTATTTTCAAACCACAAAACCCTACATTACTTTTAAGGAATTTATTTAATTAAAATAAAAAAAATAATAATAATTAAAAATTGCATATTTAAAAATCGTAATTTTAATTTTAATTATATTCGAATTCAAGAACCCAAAAATAATATTTCTATATTATATATTAATTTAAAATATTTATAATTTCAACCATTCGAGCCGGGTGACAACCCTGCTTCAGAAAATGCACATTGGCAAGTTGGCAGCCCTGCAACAAAAATCAATAGTCGCCGCCATATTTTTTCACTCGACGACGACCAACGCGCTTCGGACACTTAAAAACTATGTTTAGATAAATAAGTTAATTAAGATAAGCTATTGTTGAAAGTGCATCGGGTTCCCAGCAGTTCAAAGACCATTTGACCACCCGTGATCCTCCGACGCGAGCATAAAAACTCCAGAATCGAAAACCGCAAGTCTCCGGCATCCGAGCACCGCTTCTTCTTCTTCCTTCATTCTGCGCCTGCTGCAGTGTGCGTCCGACTCGGTGCGTGTGTCCCGTGTGAGATAACCAATTGAGTGAGAGAGCGAGGAGCATGGAAGGAGCCCCAGTGTCCTCCTCTTCGATCGGCGGCCCTCGTGGCGGTGGCGGCTACCGTGGCCGCGGCAGTGGCGCCCCCATGCGGGGCGGCTTCGATCGGGGCCGTGGACGCGGTCGTGGTCACTATATGGGTGGCATGCGTGGTGGCGGCGGGGGCGGTGGAATGGGTGGCGGACCACCCATGCAAGGGATGATGTCGGGACCGCCGCGCGGAATGCGCGGTTCTCGCGGTGGCATGGGTTATCAGGGACGTGGTGGTGGCGGCTACCAGCCGCGGGGCGGTGCTCCGATGGGCATGCGCGGCGGACGACCGCCCTTATACTCTCAGCGTGAGTACTCTAAATTCACCTTCCCAAGAAACTTCTTGTAAATCGAGATCCAATCTAGCGCCGAAACAACACACAGGCGCTGATAACAACAAGACAGTGTCGCCGGTGCCCACCTCCGCGGTGAGCGGCGAACCACCGGCCGAATCAACTGGCGAAGACGGCACCGATGGAGCATCTAGTGCGCCCACTGGCAACTCGCATGGCGGCAGCTCAGGCCCCGGCGGCAGCAACGGTGGTCCTCCTCCCTATATGGGTCGTGGACGGGGACGCGGAGGTCCCTTCAGCGGACGAGGTCGCGGAGGCGGTGGCTACAATTCGCACATGAATGGCAGCGGGAGCGGCAGTATGTATGGCGGTCCGCATAGCCACCACAGCAACTCGCTGGGAGGCGGCTCAAGCGGAGAGCACGGCTCGATGCCAAGGCGCGGAGCTCCGCGAGGCAGGGGCGGCTATAATCAAGGTATGAGTCGGCCACCCTTGCATCACCATCAGGCACATAATCCCAATACACAACTCGCACCGGTACCAGCTCTCAAACGCGGCGCTCCCGGTGGTCCTGGTCCCAAGCGTGGTCGATATGAGGGCAGTCCCTACGGCCAGAGGCCGATGACACCCAAGTACCACTCCTCCCAGCACATGGGCGGCAGCGGAGGCGGAGGCGGAAGCATGGCCCCGCAATCCTCTTACGGCTCACCGCCAAGCCATCATGCGCCAGCCCAGAGGTAAGACATTATCATTTCCAGGGGTTTAACATAGTCTACAGGGTTATGCATATATAAAATATACAATTTTTGTAAGTTATGCAAGTGGAGACTTTGACGAAGTTAATTAAAGTTTTTATTATGGGATATAGGATAGGCCAGAATTTGAATTAAAGATAAGCCTGAACCTTACACATATTCCTCGAACTTCTTTAAGTTATTTACCAAGATTCATGGCTACTAGCCAAAGTTAGCGTACCATCGAAACTGTGTTTAAACTATATTTGTAATTCCTTAACAGCCACCACAGCTATCAGACTCACGACCAGACCCAGCAAGTGGATCCGTATGCACAGAGCAGTTACAGTACCCAGGCAACCCAACAGGGATACAATGGTTATGGCCAGAGCGGCAGCAGCAGCTATGCGGCTCACACGTCCCAGACTAGCGCCCCGGCCAGCAGCAGCTATGCGACTCACCATGGCACTGAATACGATCAGAGTCAGTACCAGAACTACAAGTAAGTCTTGACACTCTTTTTTCAGTTCGATTCGGTTAAGCAGGAGCTGATATGTTTCGTAGCAGTTCCACAGGCTATGCCACCCAGCAGGACACGCGGTACCAGTCGTACAGCCAAGACTATAGCCAGCAGTATGGCTCGACTGCCGTGGACTACAATGCCGCTGGGCAGACGGACTACAGCCAGCATGGACAGCAGAGCACAGGATACGATGAGCGTGGAAATTATACGGGTTATGGTAGGTTATTCGAAAGACTCCTCAGAATGGTCGTCCGTCATCGGTGTCTCATTGCAGATTCGCAGGCCTACTCGCAGAACTATTCGAATGCAGCTGCTTATTACTAGACAACCGCATCCCACTCCCGACCCTGATCAGAACGCTGCGCGTGCTCCGATAGGCCAAGAAACCAAATAGAAGGGATTAGGGCAACAAAAAGGGAATATATATGTTTAATACAGAAAATATCTTGCTATATTCAACACTCACACACACACATAATACACACACGGACTCTAAGAACAAGTTTAGTTGTAAGGATACAGTTCTCCTTTTCTTAGCATTTAAGACATCTCCTGTTGCTACGTCTTTCTATATATGAAGCCTCCGCAGCCTAATTTCTTTATTCGTTTTTGTTCCGTCTCCCCCGAATCCCAAAAAGAATTATTAAAAAAAATACTTGCATTGCCTGTTGTTTAATGTTTTGTTAGTAGACAAACATCCCAAAAACCATATATCCCATGTGCTCCTTAGTTTCATTTACGATTACAATTTAACTGTGACCAAAATATGCTTAAATCATATTTTTTATATGACGAAAACAATGAGTACGAACATGATCTTCTCGATGAACTAAACTAAATTTATCAATTTTGTGAATGATGTCAAATTGTATACAAAAGAATGCAATGTATAGATTTTAGTTGATAAGCTCTCGGCACTCTGAAAGTTGGTTCCCCAACCCCTATATACATTTATATATACTCCCTATATCTGAAAGAAGTTTATGATTTTGCAAGAATGTATCTTTTTTTTTCTTTTCTTTACTATATTGACGTGAATGACAGAAGCCAGACTTTTATTTACCTTATTGTTTGATTTGATTTATTGAACATCAACTATTTACGTATAGCAACAATTTAAGCAGAAACAACAATTTCGTATTTATGTAACTTATAAAATAAGCTGAGAAAAACAAATAACGAAATACACAAAAAATATATTAGCAAAAGATGCAAAAATCATAACCAATATCAAAGTCAATAAAATAATGTTCAAAAATGTGTTAAATGCATTAAACTTATTTAAGCGTACCAATTATTATTTTAAATATTTTGTTTATACAAAAATCAATCAGTACAAAATAATTAAGCAATCGAAAGACGAGCACTGAGTAAGGAAAATATAAATGAGACTGAACCGAAGAAGCACAGCAAGCAAGCAAAAATCATTAACAAAAAAAAAAACAAGAAACAAATGAATGAAACTGCAAACAAAATACTACTTTTATTCGAAATGTTGCCAACATAACAAAAGCAAATTAAAAAACAAGATAAGAACAAAGAAAGAATGACTATAATTAAAGTGCAAACAACCTGAACTAATACTCAGGATAAATATTAGAAACAAATTTGCCGAAAATCGCCTCAGACATACTACGTACGACTATGAATCAATAAATTATTGAGATAGTGTCGCGAAAATACATTTTTGAGAACGATAAAATTGATTGAGCGTACCCAAACCAATAATAGCTAAATTAGATAAATTTACAAATTAAAAACAAAAGCACTGAAAGTACAAACAAAACATTATCAGTATAACATTTAAAAAATATTTTGGTAAGTTAAGGTCAAAGCCAAAAAATATATACAAAACTCCAAGAATATGATGAACTCAGCGAAAAGGAAAAAATATACGTACTATCCGGTTGTCCGCTATAAAGTTTAGACTCACACCTAAACACCCTACATTCTGTACTTTATAAATCATTCAAGCTGCTGAGTTCTACATAAAACCAAATGTGGCCCTTTTGACGCATTTCACATATAAATCGTAGCATTTAGTTGTTTTTTTACAGGAATGATAATTCATAATGAGAAATCAAAATGAAAGCATTTAAAGGCTTATCAAGTCTGAAGGAAACGCTCTAAAATGGATTTGTCCAATGGTGGTAATCTCAAAACAAACAACACTCAAAAAAATACAAGTAACAAAAACCAACAAAAAGTATATATATATATAAAAAAAAAGAAAGAGATTATGAATCTATGAAATATTTTGTTTTATATGTTGCACTTTTATGTTATTTATATATTTTGATTTATGTATAAAATGATTTTATTTGTTATAGTTAAGACAAAGTCAAATAATTTATTCGGGTCTTGCCAAGACCAAGCTAAGAAAATATTAAAACAATTTTTAACCGAAAAGGCTGATTGATATTTTTTAAGGAGATCAAATCTCCAGCTACCAAAGAAAGTACGTTTTGAACTGAACTCTCTAGGAAATAATATGTTCCAAATTTATAGTAAAGATCCTTGACGGATGTCCAAATATAAATGGCAGCAAAAGAATAATTAAAATAACAAGAAACCAGAAAATCGAATTACAAATATCAAAACTGATATATGTTTAAGAGATCAGAGACAAAGAAAATCATTTGTGAATGGTATATACATATTTTAATTTACATGCTTTGGCATTTAATATATAAACAAAGATATAGACATGAGCTAACTGCATTATTTACCGTTTTCGTGTCAAATAATTTGATTTAACTTATTCTATTATTTGTTTAATTCTTTATTGATTTAATAAAAACATTTAAAATGGCAGCAATCACTTGAACCCAATACGCAATTAAATGGAAACTTTTAACGATTTCTTTCAGCAAAAGAATTTTGAAAACAAAATATAACCGAATGGAGCGAAATTAACTGCGAACTGTGGAAGCCATTAACCAAATATATACTCACAAAATATGATACAACTTCTGGTTGCCAAAAGCATACAATGGAACTAGCGTTTGATGATGTTTCCATAGACTTCCACAAATACACAAGTGCCTACCAAAGCTAATTTACTAATTTTGAAAAAGGAAACTTTAAAAATTTACCAAACATTTATATTATGTCAAATTTATAAAATAATATTTTTTTTAATTGTATGTAAAATGTAATGTGCTTCCGGGCAATATTTTCCAAATTTGGAAGTGAACGAAGACAATTTTGACTGTAATAAAGAATATTGTGTAGTACTGTGTTTATTTCAATATTAAAAGGAAAATTCTCGTAATTTAAAATTAAAGATAACAACCGTTTATCATATCAATTAAAAATGAAAGAAATCACATTTATGTTGAATCTATTTCTTATTATTTAGTTTTAGTTCTCATAATCTGAAAGAAAAATAAAGTGTTGTCAATATCTGAAATAAAAACACGACTTTTATTGCGGTGTAAAAATTTTTTGATGGGATTTCGCATCTTGCCGTTTATATGGTCTATGTTTTAGAGTTTCGTACGTTTTTATACATTTAAATTTCAAATTTTATCAAATATTAATGTAGAGACTATGGTTCCAGTAAAGATAAAAAGTTTTTTAGAAAAAGCTGAACCTAAATAACTTAAATGGTTTTCATTTTTATTAGAATTAAGTATTGACAAATTCGGAAAATCAGTCGAAAGAATAATCTATAAATTCTACAAGTCAGCAAGAATCCTGATGAATCGCTAAAAGTACTAAATAAGTACTGATAAGGTTTTTCTTATTTGTTCAAAATTAATTTGAGTTCGACCCCGAAATATATAAATTTTCTTTTAATCTTGTCCCATTCTCAGAACCCAAAAATAAGCCAATTTCAATTGCATTTTATCATGCATTCACATATTGAGAGGAAAAGTTTGTCTTTATTTAAAAGATTAACTCAAGACAAGGATTCGAAAACATATTTTTAGTTATTTAATATTAGTGCTTCATGCTAGGGAAATATATTTGAGATAGCTGCATCTAATCCGCATAGGTTTACTACTGTTTCTTTGTAAAACATTTATAAAGTCCACGAGTAGGAGAAAAATGGAATGATTAACAAAACAATAAAAAAAAATAATAGTATCAAACTTGGTGTAGAACGTTTCGGGGGTCTTTGAGTATGTACAAACATTTTGCGACTTTTTATAGAAACATTGGACACCTCGATTTGGTATTTAATGAACTAGAGAGCTTCCAATTGAGTATAGTTCTGAGTTTTTCCATTGATTACATTTACATAATTATGCTGAATACTTTAAAAAGTGTGTTGAGCTTTGTGTGTGTGGAACAGAAACGATTTCGCCGCTCGTTGGTCAAGGTCCTGTGTCGTCTTGGGATCAAAATGGGCTTTCGATAGTGTCCTTTTTGGGGGTAAATGGCCTTAACGACGTTTGCCAAAACGCAGGAAGACGTGATCGACGTCCGTGCGTTTGTTGTAGTTCTTTAGCAGATCGTCAGAGTTGGCAACCAGAGCTGGAAATAAATAGAATTTTTATTTTAAATTATCTAAACTAAAGAAAAATAAATATAAAATATCTTGGAATATCTGTTGATTAAACTACCGCTTACCGGAGGCCTCATTGTTGATGTAGGACTTGAGGGCCGAGGTCAATTGATCCGAGTTCTCCAACGCCTGGCACACCTTCTTGATGTGCGGGGGCATCTCCTCGACGATGCCGGCCGCGCACAGTGGCGGTGGCTGGGAGGCTGCTTGTGTGTTGGCCACGGCCAGGAGGATGACGGCCAGGCAGCAGGCGACAAAGAACTGTGCGAAGGACATGCTGCAAGTTTAAAGTAATGTGCAGGAAGCACGATTGACATCGTTAGCGGGTGTCAGGCTTATTGGATTATTTAGCGAGCAAAAGGTTGCCAGCAAGGACGCCATCTGCTCATCCATCCTGAAGCTGGGGGGCAGCTCTCGTTCCCCTCAGCAAATTTTGATTAAGTGTAATGATCTTAATGCTACGTGCTTGATTGCCAAGCCATGAAGCTGGCGTTGCCATGGCAAAGTATTATGCATAAATGGAGTTGTCTCCGTTGCAGGCTCTCCTTGGAGTTTCCACTTTAAGTTCCATCTAAGCAGGCGGCCCTAATGCTACCGTAATATGTTTACGCGGCAGACAATTTGTTTCTATTAGCCGGAGTAGGCGGCGCAATCTGTCCTCCCCGCTCGTTGTTAGTACTGATTACTCCTACCCTAAGGTATCACTCATACGCCCCGTGTGCCGTCACAGGGATGCAGTTGGCATGCAAACACACATGCGAGAGCCATCTGCATACGTGTTTCGCCTTCATCTATTTAGCTTAAAAGTGTGTTGCCAGAAGGTGGTGTAGGCAGGTAAGGAATGTGCAAAAAAGACACGTTTTGAGGATCCAAACGTCTGTCGCTTGTTTTGAGCTTAACAAGGATGCACGAACACCAATCAATGACGTGTGCTTTGATTTTGAATGAACTTACATGTATTGTTTAATTGCTTTTGCATAGGAAAATGTAACTTATTGGCTTTTTGATTTTCTTATCATTGAATCTCTTTAGGGAATGTGAAAAAGAACAATTTAGTAAATCAAAAAGTCCCCTTATAAAAATAATATAACTTCTTTCAACATTAAGTTATTATATACCAAGATACTATATTTACTTAAGTTTCTTTAAATACTTTTAAGCAAAGTAAATCTCTCAAGCAAACTAAATTGTTAAGTTCCAGTATTGAAATTCAAAAGAAATTTGAATTTAAAATTATTAAAATGAGCTGAAGCCTCTTATTTGAAGATTGTTTCATTTAAAACTTTAGTTTATTAAGTTCCGGAACCGTTTCGCTTAATTTCACTATTAGATCTGGTTAGTTCTACTAAGTATTACTTTAAATAACACTTTTTAGACATCCTTAAAGCATTCACTTTTTTGTAAAACAAAGGCACTATTACAAACCTGATAGAGGATTTAAGATATGGATACTTCCACAAAGATTTGGGTGAAAAAACTAGATGTTTCCTTGGAACTGCTGCTGCTCCGTTTGCTATACTTGTTGAACGCAAGCACTCGAATGATGTCCTGTCCAGCCAGGAAATCCGCTTTTATTTACTTTCGCTGAGGACGAACGCAGATGGCACGGCGTCCTCTGATTGGCTGACTTGGGCAAGGAACACACAAACAAGCACACCGAGATTCCCATGGATGGGGCGGGGGACCACATGTTGCGCTCTCCTCCCAGGATACGCTTGGTGGGCGTGCTCAAACATACCTCATACGCCACGGACTCCGACCAGAGCACGATGCGCTGCCGCTCATTGTGTGCACTTGGCACACACTGTCGACGGCAACCCACCGAGTTGCCCAATATGTGTTTATCTATTATATAAGTTTATCAGCTCTTAATTATGTTGTAAAAGTTCGCACTTTTATGATCAGTGGCCGGCAGCCATCGGATATTTATAGGTAGTTATAATTATTAATACCTTTCATCGAAGTTTTACGCTCCAACCCACGGACAGCAGGACCTGCTTTAAGCTCCGAGTTTAAAGCCAGTGCCCGATGTCCAATGTCCTGGCAGCTGCACTTTGCCTTTCGGCTGCGTAAGCAGAGTAATCTCCGGTTTATGAGACTGGGATTTGCAGGCGAAGCGTTGCAATTAATTTGAATCTGTGCGTGTTTCGCATGCAAAATCCTGGCTAGGAATTTTCGACTGTGACGTCAGGTGCTTATCCTGGCCCCAACCGGATGGAGCTATAACTACGGCAGCATCTATGAAGAGGGAGATTTTATGGATTTGTTTTTGATGTCCTTGGTGTCAGTAATGGAGTCAACATGAAGCTATTACTGAAGGTATTTCTTTTTGTACTTCCAAAAATATGCCAGCATTAGAAAACTATCATCTGGATATTTAAGCTTAAATGGATTAAATGTTAGAGTCTAAACATTAAAAAGAAAGTCTATAAATAATAGTTTGTTTTTTTATAATATTGTCTATGCTTTGCGATTATTTAACATCAATTGTTTTTTTTTATGAGGAAGAAATACAAACAAGTTGCTAGATATGAGACAAAAAATAGCAAACATTTATTTTAATATGGCATAAAAACCGCTAAAACTATCAAAAAATTGTTTAAAATATTGAAAATAAAGTCACAAAATTGCAATTATATTTTTTAACCTTTGCATACTGCATAGAGACAGAGGGCAGAGGCCGTGCAGAGAAATTTGTGACTAGTGCACTAATTAATAAATCTATTTTTACTTTAAGCTAAGTCTTTAATAATTGGTCACATCATTTATTTATAAAATTTAATGACTTTAGGGAATCTTAATTCATTCATAGGTAGAACCATAGGGTTTAATGGGTGGTAGGCTATAAGTATCCAGCAATCCCGGATTTCCGAAATATACAGATTGAAACTAAAGGCAGAGCAACAATTGCTAGCAGCTAAACACTATTTAGGTTATTTTAATCAGGAATTTAAATACTTAAACTACTTTTTCAGGACAAGTTTTCATATATTTAAATATTCAGGGAATTCTAAAGACGATGAGTATCCCAAAATCCTATTCTTGTTGCCTACATAAATAGTATAATTTCCTTATTATAATCAAAACAAGGCACAGTTTCCTTTCCATTTGGAAACACCATATTGCCTGCGTGGTTTCCCCACATTTTCTGTCCTCGAGTATCTCACTAATTGGGTTACAGTTAGTCCCCATTATCTGTCATCTTTGATGTGCACAAATCTGTTAAAATAATAATGCAATGCCAGTGCCATCCATATGTGACTGAGGAAAAAGGGAAGAGACCAGCAGCACGCGTCGGTGGCCCAACAATGTAACACGAAATTTGCACAAAATTTGAATAAACTGATTGGGTTTCAGTTGTATGTGGATGGTTGGATAATGCGTCAGTGCAGGGAGAACATGTAGACTGTGCGAATAGGTCACGATGCGCAGCGATTAACATTTAAATTATTTTCGCCACTTTGCGGCCTACGCAAATAAACGGAGGAAAAACCCCAGAAAAACTTGCTTAAATTTTATTTCCATTCTCGGGAATCGTACAAACTATGGGGGGGGGGACAGACACTTTCTGCCGCAGGACTTCACCCTTCAGTCCAGTAGCTTGGCCACAATTGGTTCGGGGGCAGTCATCGCGTAACCCAATTGCTGAAGAGCCCGCCGTATCTCGGTGAAGACAGTGGCATCATCAATGGTGGCCGGCAGGATCACACGCTCATTCCGGGCAAAATCAGCCATAGCTTTCCGCATCGTCTTGCCGGAACGAGTACGTGGCAGGTTGTTCACGGAGGTAATCAGCCGGAAGGCAGCGATGGGCCCCACCACATCCCGGATTAACTTTATAATCTCAGTCGACAGCTTGGCATCGGTCTTCTTGCAGTTCTCCACGGGTATGTACAGGCAGAGTGGCACCTGACCCTTGGTGGCCTCCGGAACTCCAAACACAGCCACATCGACCACGTCTGGATGCCGCAGGACGGCGTCTTCTAAGCTAGAGGTGGATAGTCGATGACCAGCCACATTAATCACATCGTCATCGCGAGCCGTCACAAAAATATAGCCACGGTCGTCCTTATACCCAGCATCCATGGTGTCGTAGTAGCCCTAGATGGATAAATAATTATTAAGATTTTAAATAAAATTTTAAATTAAATTCAGAATTAAATAATTGGACCTAGGTCAAAAAGTTGGATGACATTCTGCTATCAGGGAACTCCCAACTCACCGGAAACTTTTGGAAATACAGCTTGCGAAAGAGCTCCTCGTTCTTGTACAATGTGGCCATGTTGCCTGGGGGCAGGGGTAGTTTTAGCACAATCCTTCCCAACTCCATGGACTGGGTCTCGCTACCATCGGGCTTCAGGATCTTGACTGCAAGAGAGATGTCCCAGGACTTTTGAATCTTTTTTTAAACTAAGCTATCTGGAGCATCACTCACCGTCATAGCCCATCAGAGGCAGGCCCGTGGAGTAGGTGGGCGGACTGAGGTTCTGTTGGAAGCCCAAACAGGTGGCGGTCACAGCGGAACCCGTCTCCGTCTGCCACCAGTGGTTAAGCACCGGGACCTTGAAGGTCTTCTCTATCCAGTTCTTGGTCTCATAGTCGCAGTGCTCGCCGGCAATGAAGATGGCTCGCAGGGATTTCGTGGAGTACTGGCGGCCATAGCTGATGTCCGGATCGGCGCGACGGATCACTCGGAAAGAAGTGGGCACCGAGAATATGGAACGGACCTTGTACTGGTCGATGATCCTGTGTACAAAAATTAAATAAAACAATTTTCTTAATTAATCCAATATTCAACTCACCTAAAGTACTGGCCAGGATCGGGTGTGCGATCAGGCTTGCCCTCGTACATGATGCTAGTGGCTCCCAGGCACAACGGGCCATAGCAGATGTAGGAGTGTCCCACCACCCAGCCCATGTCGGAGGCCGCCCACCAAGTGTCACCGGGACTGATGCCGTAGATGGTGCGCAGCGTATACATGAGTGCCACCAGGTGACCGCCAATGGTTCGCAGGACTCCCTTCGGCTTGTCCGTGGTGCCAGATGTATACAGGATATACAGCGGATCGTTGGCCTCGATGGGAACACAGGCCACCGGTTGCTCCCCCTCAGACATTTTCAGAACATCGGACCAGAGAACATCAGCCTCCGGGTCCAGCCTGCTGGTGTCAGGAATGACATTGTCCCGGCGGAATATAATATTGCGCTGAGGGGGCTTCCAGCGTGACATACTAATGGCCGAGTGGAGAATGTCCAAGTAGGGCACCACCTTGCCTGGCTCTACACCTACATTGGAGGCAATCACCAGTTTCGGCTCCACATGCTCGATCCGCGAACACAGCTCTCTGGCGGCAAAGCCACCGAAGACTACCGAGTGAATGGCACCCAACCGAACGATGGCCAGCATGGCGATGATGGTCTCTGGGATCAGGGGCATATAGATCACCACGCGATCACCCTTGACCACGCCCAGTTTGGCCAGGCCACCGGCTAGCAAGACAATCTGATCGTACAGTTCCTGGTAGGTTACGCGGCGCGCCGTTCCCGTCAAGGGGCTGTCGTGGATGAGAGCCACCTTGGAGCCCCTGCCGGCCAGTATATGCCGATCGATGGAATTATAGCAGGCATTCAGATAGCCGCCCACATACCACTTGGTGAAGGGGGGATTGCTATTGTCCAGCACCTGCTGCCAGGGTTGGTCCCAGTCGAGCAGTTGGGCCTGCTCCTCCCAGAAGGCCTCCGGATCCTGAATGCTCTGACGGTAGGCCTGCAGGTACAGCGGGTCGTGGGCCTCCACCGGCATGCCGCAGATAGATTCAGCTATAAGGAATCAGAGGGATTAATTTGGTTTCAGGGGGTTTTATGCCCTCGCTGCATAATTTAGTCGCTGAAACTTAATTACAGCAATAGAACTTGAGACCACCTTGCTACATAAAGCACGAAATGGAGCCACATTGAATTTTAAATTTTCTAAATGTCGCGGTCACTCAACTGAGTTCTATATAGCCCTATCCGCACCTTGCTTATATACCGCCGAGGCAGACGCTTGAGCATAATCCAGACGTCATTCCACCTGGCCATGGGACCTTTGAAAGCAAGACGGAATAAGCTAATCGAAAATCATTAATATGGAGTGCTGACAGTTTGAGCCACACAACTAATTTAAATTATAGTTAAAGGGAAAGTTCATGAGATTAATTAGAAAATGGGGTAAAGTAACACTTTAAATCTAAAATTAATTAATTTAACAAGTTCGTTTAAGTAATTGCTTAATTCCTTACCCAATAAAGGTTAAATGCACATTTTAATTTGAAGTTTGAACCTCTCTGATAGTTACCGAGTCTCTGGAGATCCTTGGGGAAGTTATAGTATATAATATCACTGTTTTATTAAGGTTTCTTTTCGCTAATTAACTCTATGCATTTATTTCAGTATATATATCCGTACGAATCATGTGATTACTCATTGACAAATAACATTTAACACTTTCTTTATACATTTCCTTCTACATTTACATTTTAATTTTGAAGTTTGAACTTCTTTGAGAAGTAACCAAGTCTGGAGATTCTTGGAGAAGTAATATAACTGTTATTTAATCTTTAAGGTTCCGTTTTGCTAATTAACTATATGTATTTATTTGAGTACATGTACATATCCGTACGAATCATGTGATTCACGCACTGACAAATTACATTTAACACTTTCTTTCATTTTGAACTTACTGCCTTCGTTATTGACCGCGCCAGCACCCGGTTCCATATCGTAAATTTACGGTTTATAAGATATAGTATAATATAATTATATATCTATTATTGTATGTCCCCTTATATGCTCTTATTTGAAACGAACTGAGCACAACCGTCGCTTTGAAGTAAACACTTTGCAATGAGACTGGAAAATGTAGAACACAAGTGGAATACCGAAAACCTTAAAGAAATACCCGATCAAAGGTTCTCTGAAATCGGGAGAGCCGCCGGAACGTTGGGAAATGAGTATAATGAAACGCTAAGCTAATACAAATAATTCATTTATTTATACAAATAGATTGTAGGTATACATTTTTTTTTAAATTCATCTTATATTCTAATTTATTGGGAATCAAAGGGATTACTTTTTCTTTTTATCCTTCTTCGTCTTCTTTGAGGGTGGTGCAGCGTCAGCTGCATCCTCCGTGTTCAATTCCACACTGAAGCCCTTGATGTATGGCTTGACCAGCCGGAAGACCAACTTCTCGTGCTGCACATTGCTAGAGTCCAGGCTAAGGCGAACAGTGACGGGGTCAAAGGAGTGGAAGACCACGTTGCCACAGCGTTGGGTGTAGTCCTCCTCGTTGAAGGTGAATACAACTTCGCTCTTGGTTCGCTCTAAACCGCTCTTGCCATCCTTGTCGGATTTCAGATACAGGGTGCCCTCCAGGCCGTACTTCGGGATCAACACTTGCAGAGCATTTTTGCGAACAAACAAAACATAACCCTCTTCGTCCTCCTCCTTGCCACGGAAAAACAGATGCGTGTTAAGGGCAACCGAGGCGCGACCCGCGTACTGAGCCATCTTGTGGCGGTAGTTAAGGTTGTGACATATCTCCTCGTTGGCCTTGCGATCCAGCAGCTCGGCGTATGTGCTGTCCGCGCCTATGGAGGCGGCCAGCAGCCGGTGGACCATGATGTCCGAGTAACGGCGGATGGGCGAGGTGAAATGCGTGTAGATTGGAGCGGCCAGGCCATAGTGGAAGAACTCCTCCTTCTGCAGGCTGCCACTGATGAAGTACACCGCCTGCATCATGCAGCGCGTGGTAAGGATGCGGATCATCGTGTTAAAGTACGGATTGTCCTCCTTGACGCACTTATCCAGAGAATGCGACAGCTCCAGGCCCGACTCGATGTCCACCTGGTAGCCCTGGTAGCGGGCAGCCTTCACCAGCGGATCAAATTTGGTAGGTGGCGGACGGGGATGGCGACGCAATACAGCACACTCGGAGAACTCCGAGGCAATGTGGTCGGCCACCGTGATGTTGGCCAGCAACATGAACTCCTCCACCATGGAATTCGTCTCGCGCATCTGTTTGGCCTCCACCTCAAGGGGCTCATGGGTCTCGCTGTCCACCTGGAAGCGAATCTCCGGCGAGGCCAGCACCAAGGCTCTAAAAATAAAGGATGCCGTAAAAAATCTTGACCTTAAAAAATCTTGAACGAAGCTTAAAGCCTACCCATTGTCCATGCGTCGCTTCTTCAGGATCTTGGCCAGACGATTGAGGTGCCTCAGGGACTTGGCGATTTCATTCTGCTGCATGGGGTCATCAATAATCACCTGGGCCTCCTCATACGTCATGGCCTTCTTGGACTTGATAACGCTCTTATGGAAGCGCTTGGCCAGTATATTCGCCTCCTGGTCCACCTCCCACACGCAAGAGAAGGCAAAACGCTCGACGCCGCCTACCAGCGAGCAGAGATTTGAGCTAAGCAACTCGGGGACCATATCAATGCGCTTGCCCACCAAATAGACAGTGGTTCCCCGGGCAGATGCCTCCTTGTCCAAAGCATTGCCGGGCCGAATAAAGTGACTCACATCGGCTATGTGGACGCCCACCTCGAGATTGCCATTGGGCAGCTCCCGGCAGTGCAGGGCATCATCGATGTCCGTGCAGCCTGGCGGATCCACCGAGCAAATGTACAGATCGCGCAGATCCACACGTTTAGCGTAATCCTCCTCGGTGATAATCCAGGGCAATTTTGGCAGGAAGCTAAGCACCTCCTCGGAGAACTTGCAGTGGGGCACGTCGTGCTCCAATAGGATGACCTCGTTCTCGGTGGCCATGTTGCCCAGTGGGCCCAGGGAGCGCACAAAGTGTCCGTGCGGATAGCGCGAGTTTCTCGGCCAAGTGTCGATGGTCACGATGATGCGCTGATTCTGCAGCATGGCCGCCTGCCGCGTCTCGATGCGGATGCGGGGGATCTTGCGGTCGGCGGGCACAAATATGTGCCGGTTGGTGTCCTCTACGAGGCTAGGCTGCAGGATGCCGCAATACTGGCGCCACTTGCGTCGCACAATGCCCACGATGCGGCCGGTGGGAGTACGTTCTGCGGAGGCGGCAGCAGTCTGCACCTGCTTCAGCATGTCCTTCTCGTCGGCGGCGCGCTCCTCACTGGGAACATCGTCCGCATAGACATTCTTCTCCTCCAGGACAATCTCACTAGGAGCGGACCATTCGTTCTCCGGCAGCAGCTCCACAGCCACCAGGTCGCCGTCCACGGCTCGGTTAAGCGACTCACGGCCTTGGATTAAAATCTGGAATAAAAATGCAAGGATGCAGTCAGAGAGAAGGGAGATTATTTGCAAGACCTTACCTCCTTCTCGTAATCCTCTACATTGACACTGCCCTCGAGGTAGTTCTCCCTAGAGGCCTGAAAGGCGCCTTGAAGCAGCTTTTTGTTCCGTAGTCCCTCGAGCAGCTCCTTCATGCTCAAATGCGCCGGGTACTGGGGTAGTCCCTTCTTCTCGTTCTCGAATGTGTTGCGCGATAGCTTGTCCACCAGCAGTGGAAAGTCGTCCAGTGATTTAACATACTCGGAGGCTGAGGCCACCAGAATGCCCTCGGCCTCGGCCTTGGCCCTGTTCCCGGCATCGTCGGTAAGCAGGATAACCCGGGTGGCAGCTCTTCCGCTGTGCTCAAACTCCTTGGAGGACTGCGAGGCCTGCAGGTGGTCGTCATACCACTTGGTGGCCACCCGGATGGCACGATCATTGCGATCGTTGGCGGTCTCATCCGGCTCCCGGTCCGCATAGGTGTCTCTATAACAAGACTATAGGTATATTTGGGAAAGATTATTTCAAATCCCTTGCTCACTTGTGATGCTCGTTGACGAACACATAGAAGTTCCTGGTGCGATCGTGGACGAGCTCGTTGAAGCGCTTGTATATGGAGGAGCTCTTGTGCTTCACCTCGTTAAGGACGGTGGTCAGGACAATCACGTTATGGAGCACATCCTCCTCCAGCACGTCGATCTGGTCCAGGACAACATTGGTGTCCAAGACAATATAGTGGGGGAACTTGAAGAGACTGCACTGGATCTCGTGCTGGGAGGTCAGTTGGTAGACCTCGTTCTGGAAGCACTGCTGGCATAGATCGGAGCCGCAGCCAATGTCGTCGCGCAGGTAGTGCTCCCGAACGATCTTCAGGATGTTCCCGCGCTTGGTTTTACGCGTAAATTCACGTAAAGTTTGCATTTTTTAAAAGTCGCGATCTCAAACTCACATGTGTGCCGGGCTAGGGAGGCTCTGCACGTTCTGTCTGCGGAATTTCTGGTATTTCTTAAGCTACGCTGTCAGACAGCCACTTGTTGTTGGTATGTTTCTGGTATATTTATTGTTCGCGGTTTCTTTTCATCGCTTCGACATGGTCACTCTGTGTAGCACGTGTAGTTGTAGGCACGTTGCTTGATTTTTATTATTTAAAACGCTTAATTATAGAGTTTAGCCATGGTTCCCAATGAAAAAAGCTTCCCCCGAGGCGGGACAGTCCACGCCGAGGCCAAGTTAGCCGACACCAGCTCGAATATAGTAAGTTTTCCCGGAGAAATCTTCGCACAAGTGGTACATATTTTTTCGTTCTCTCGTGCAGGTATTTGGTGCATCGCAGAAGAAGACGAAAAAAGTTCAAAAGCCGAAGGATAACTTTCTCAATGAGCTCACCGAGGACCCCAATGAGCAGCTGGAAGCGTCCTCCGCGGAAATGCTCAACCTGGATACGCTGCAAGAGGACATGCTGGTCATGGGAGTGGTCAAGGAGACCAGCGCCACCTCGCTGCAGATCGCACTGCCCGGTCGGATGTTTGCCCGCACCCTGGTGGCGGATATTTCAGAGGCCTACACCCGCGTGGCAAAGTCGGCCATGTCGGGCGACACCAGTGAATACCACGACCTCACAGAGCTTTTCCCGGTGGGCCGCATCGTCTACGGCAAGGCCATTAAAACAGAAAAGCTGGACGGGAACCGCCTCTCGCTGCTGCTCTCCCTGAAGCCGGCCGACGTCCATGGCAACCTGCACCACAAGAACATCAAGAAGGGCTTCATCTTCTCCGGCGCCGTGGCAGAGATTCAGGAGCACGGCTACATCATCGAGACGGGAGTAGAAGGACTGCAGGCCTTTATGCCCTGCGAGGAGTCGGATCGGACACTTCATGTGGGTCAATTGGCTTTTCTGAAGGTCAAGCAGATCAAGCACGATGCCCACCAGAGCAACTGCACGTGTGTCCAGGTAGATCAGAACCAGATGAAGATCAAGAGTCAGAACGAAACAAACCTGGACTACATATTGCCGGGTAGCATTGTCCGTTTCAAGGTGGCCAAGATCCTGAAGGACGGCATCAAGGGTACCATCATGAACGAGTCCTTCAGCGCCTATATCAATGAGCACCACATGGCACACGCCCTGGAGCCCGTGGATGCCTACGAGCTGAACGAGGAGTACAACGCCAGGGTGCTTTTCGTAATGCCCCTCACCAAACTAGTTTACTTGACCCTCAACCTGGATATCAAGGCAGGAGCAGATGTCCAAAGCAGCGATCCAGAGTCCGCAGAGGAAGGAGAACCCGCGGTGGGCTCCGTGGTGGAGAAGAGCAAGGTCCTCCGACTGGGTACTGGTGGAGTGGTGTTGCTGCTCAACAAGAGGTGGAAAGGCATCATCCCATACGGCTCCATTCGGGCCAATTTCAAGGGAAACTACGACAAAGACGAAGTTCTGTCCAAGTACGGACAAAAGACCAAGCACAAGGTCCGCGTTATCGGCTACGATGTCATCGAGTCCGTCTACTACTGCTCCGATGATCCCAACGTAGTCAACGAAAAACTATACAGCCTGGAGGATATTAACCCGGGCGACCTGGTAACAGCCAAGGTTTTCCGCAAGGACGACAAGATCAAAGGCTGGGCGGTAAGGATCGGCAAAGTCAAAGGCATTCTGGAGCAGTTCTATCTGGCTCCCAACGCTCGCTACGATGTGGGCCAGCAGTTGAAGTGCAGGGTCCTCGAAGTGGACACGGATCGCAAGGTTTGCTATCTGAGCAACCGCAGCGAGTACTTGGCCAAGGGATTAAAGCTCCTCACGGATTACTCGGCCGCCCAGGTGGACAACGTGTACACCGGCACTGTGGTCCGCTGTGAGGTGAACTACGTGCTCGTCAAGTTCGGCAACGGCATTAAGGGAGTCCTCCACAGACAAAACCTGAGGGGTCAGAGTTCCTTCTTCGAGGGACAGACCACTAAGTTTCGCATTTTGAGCCGCAGCAAGGATCAAATCATTCTGACCCTGCCCGAGGACAAGTTCAAGCTGGGCGAAATCTGTCCCGTTGAAGTAACCAATGTCCTGGATGCTGGCCTGGAGATTAAAATCACTTACGCCGCCGATGATGAGGAAGAGGACGAGGAGGGGCAATCCAAGATGGAGGAGTTCACGGGTCTCGTACCGATCAAACTGCTTTCAGATTATCCTGATCTCTTGAACGCCCATATGCGAGTCCATCCGGTGGGCTCCCTTACCGAGGCCGCCTGCATTGAGCAGAACATCTTCAGTCTGCGGGATGTACCTTATTTCAGCGGCGAACTGACTAAGGACTGGGGATCGGTGCAAGTGGGCGACATCATACGCGCCTATGTCAAGCACGCCACTGAGCAGGTGGTGGACCTCATGGTGTGTGTTCGCAACTACAACAAGCCGGTGAAGGTGCACGTCATGATGCTACGATTGAATGGCGTGAAGAACTCGTCCGTCGATTTGTATTCCGAACAGTTGCTAATGGTGAAGGTGCTCAGCAAGGAGGTGGAAACCAAGACCCTAACGGTGTCCGCCAAGCTCACCGATGTGTGGAACGGAGATTTAAGTGGCACCGCCGCTCTAGTTGAAACATATCTGGATGAAGTGGCAGGCATTAGGAGAGTACTGAAGGAAAACTCTGATCCCATTGCCAAGTTCTCCATCGGCGATAGAATCAGCGTGGTATTTAATGGCATCGATTCGCTGTCCCATAACTGGATCTACCAAGTGGAAGACACTAAAGCTGGAAATCTAAACGCTCTGCTGCTCTCCAGTCTGGCTGGCAATGCGCCAGCTCCCCAGGTGGGCAGCAAGCACCAGGCGGTGATCCTGTGGATTGATTACTCCAACTATATGCTGCTGATCAGCAACAAGAAGCAGGACATTGAGCACATCTCGAGTAGCGGTGAGCTGCCCAAGAATCTAATAGGCAGAGCCGGCATGAAAGCCAAGGTGCTGCTGAGACTGGACTCCGTGGCAATATGCTCGCTAAAGAAGGGAACCAATCCGTTGGTAATATGTCCCATTCGCTTGCATCACAACGACGTTGAGAACTCTGGAAGCGTGGAGCTCCGACAGGGTGATTTTTGCAATATTGCCTTCATACATGACAAGCGGCCCATCGCTGTTCCCGAAAATGTTTGGCGCCTCTGGAGAGATGCCAAGCGATCAGCCACTTCAAAAGAAACCAAGAAGGTAAAACTGGATGAAACCTCTGAAAAGAAGAAGACCAAGACTGAGGAGGAGACATCTCTAAAGAAGAAGGCCAAGACAGAGGAAATTTCGCCAAAGAAAAAGAGCAAAATTGAGGTCTTAGCGAAGAAGCGAAAGTTGGAAGAGACTGAAAAACCTGTCAAGGGCCAAAAGAAGACTCAAGCCCTTGCAAATGGCATTGACAAGGAGCTGCCCAAGCAGAATGGCCAGCTCTTTTTTGAGGATAAAAAACCGGCCAAGAATGCCAAGGTCGAGACACCAAAAAGCAATGGTGTTGAGGCCAAAACCCGATTGCCTGGTGTGTCCAGCTTTTGGGAGAGCGATTCGAAACAGGCTGCTACCAGCGATGAAGATGAAGACCAAGCAGATGCAGCTGATGTGCAGCCGGCAAAGAAGAAGCGTTTGACTGCCAAGGAGAAGGCAAAGGCGGAGGTGAAGGAGGAGCAGCGGCTCCGGGAGATTGAACAGCGCAATGCCGATCCCAATGCGCGCCTGGAGACCATTGACCAGTACGAGCGACTGGTTATAGCCCAGCCAAACAGTAGTATTTCCTGGCTGAGATACATAGCCTTCCTTCTTTCCAACACGGAGATCGAAAAGGCCCGAGAGTTGGCTCGCCGGGCTCTTAAGACCATATCCTTCCGAGAGACACAGGAACTGAGAAACGTGTGGAGCGCCCTGCTCAACATTGAGCTCGTTTACAGTAGCAATTTCGATGAGGTGCTGAAGGAAGCCCTCAGTTGCAACGATCCCTTGGAGATTTACATAAGTGTCATTGATATTCTCAAGAAGAATAAGCAGAAGGAGCGCCTCACTTCCCTACTGACGACCATCCTTAACAAGTTCAAGGCCGAGGTGCGGGTGTGGCCCGTGGCAGCTGAGGCCTATTTTTGGCTGGGCAAGTCCGACCAGGTGCACGCCCTGCTCCAGCGGGCCCTGCGAGTTCTGCCGAATCAACAACGTAAGTAACTCTTATTATCTTCTTTATTAAATAAAGATTAATTTGTAAATAACCTTTTCAGACATAAACTGCATTGTGTCCTTTGCCAAGCTGTATGCCAGAAACGATGCCAACGACATGGCCCAGACACTGCTCGACGATGTGATCACTTCCTATCCGAAGCGAATCGACATCTGGTCGGTGTATGTAGATATGCTGATCAAGGCGGATCTCATAGACTCTGCGAGGTGAGTTTAGAGTGAATTTTATATGATAATTTCTGGAAAAATGACAATAACACCTAAACTTTTGACTAAAATTATGATGCCCTGCAAGGATATAAAAATACAGAAATTGTATTAAGTTTTAAGCGATTATAAAACTATAATTATGTATTTGTCGCAAAGTTAAAATATCGATTTTCTCGACAATTTTCGATACCGTAACAATATATTAATACTTTCTCTTCTTTCTTACTTAAATCTCCCTTGCAGAAACGTCCTGGAACGCGCTGTACTTCAGAAGCTCAAGCCCAACAAGATGCAGGTAATCTACAAGAAGTATCTGCAACTGGAGGAGACCCATGGCACGGAAGCGACGGTGGCCAAGGTGAAGCGGCAGGCAGAGGAATGGGTGAAGAACTACGCCAAGGCGGTGAAGTAGTCACCACAACCTCCCCTTCCCCCACTTGTAGATCGTAGTTAGAGATTAAGGAAAAAGTTACATGCAGAGTTACAGTGTTTTTCATGATACTTTATTCTAAAACTATTTTAAATGAAGTGTGATTCCGAGTGCTACCTTTGTAATATATATGTATGATAGTACCTATATATTATAGAAATACAGATAAACCCCATCCTACACATAGTACGTAGGGTGGAGTCCAATGATCAGCCCAAGACTTGAACAACGATTGAGGCTTGAGGGATGTGGATGTCGGAGAAGAGAACGGACACTCTTGACCTGGGCTGGGTTGAAGCATCTTGGGTGCTGGCAATGGACTGGACAATGACGGCGACTAAGAGACGTGGGGCAATGACAGGTGACGACGTGGTTTACTCTTACACATTAATCAATAATAAGAAAGCGACGTTGCTAGCGCAAATATTACAATGATTCGCCATTTTAAATTTAATTTATACAAAAAACAGTCTGCGGTCACTCCTTGAACATGCCTCGCGCCTTTGCCGAAATCTTTCGCACCCTGCCCCGGCTGCTAACGCTCACACGCTGATCATCGCTGTCCCCTGAGCTGCCACCTTCTTCTTCCTCATCGTCATCATCCTCCGCGGCCTGTCCATGGTCAGCGGATCGAGATCGCTCCTGGCTGCTGGCATGGGCATCTCCGTTGCGGAGTCTTTTACTGCGATGAGAGAATCTGGCTGTTGCTTCTTCCTCCTCAGATTCCTCGTTGTAGCGTGGCCGTTTTTGATTACGTCCTCCGCCGCGCTGATTGGCGCTACGATTTGCATTGCGTCGACTGCGTGGCACAACATAATCATCATCGTCATCATCGTTGACAAAGGATTGATCGGAGGGCGGACGACGCGTACGCCTCAGCGAACGCTCCTGTGTATTTGTCGAGGAGGAGGAAGTCTTCGCTTCACGTGGCCGGGTGCGCCCATTGCTGGGCGAGACGTAGCTGGTCAGTGGCTGATTGTCTTCCGAGTCGGAGTCCTCTTCATAGTCATCATCATCATCCTCCTCTTCCTCGTCCTCGTTCAGTTGTGTGCTGGACCCACCGTCGGTGCCCTCGTCGGAGGCAGCTGCCTCATCCTCTTCCTGCTCTTGCTCCTCGTCTTCGTCCTGAGAGTTCGCCTGGCTGGCGCGTCCTCGCAGACGTCTGGTGACCACATGGCTGTTGCTGTTACTGGTACTATTTGTTGTCGTGGAGGTGGGACGCCGATGATTCACTATGGCTGTATGCAGGCGGGAGCTCTCCAGCGGATCCAGGCTCGTATCCAGCTCATCGGCATTACGCTGATGGCGAGACAGAATGCGTCGCGGTGCCCGGGAGGAGTTTATGTTGCCCAGGTAATTGTGGTCATGAGTGGCAACTGCCGTCGGCTGCCGCTGTGCCTGAGAACCCGCAACGGAGGACGCTGTGGTGGTCGTCGAGGTGGCATGCGAGCGTGTCATGTGTGGGCTTCGTTCCAATGGCGTAGCCAGACGGCGGCGAAGGGTAAGCGGATGGGGTGCCGTCGCCGTTGAACTTGATTTTGCGGGAGCTTGTGAATTTTCTGTTGAATAAAATTAGGATTAATAATTGATTAATTAATTGAAATATTTATTCTAATTACTTTGCTGATTGTTGGCCAAGGGTTCGTTGTCACTGTCGTCGTCATCGTCGTCACTTTGGGCCGGTTGGACGATGGTGTTGCGGTTCGTACGCAATTGACGGACAGGTCCCGCGGCGGCGGCCTGAGCTAAAGCAGCTCTGCTGGTCGACGGTACGTCATCCTTCGTTGGCGTGGGCAGGATCTAAATGAAGAAAATAAAAAAAATAAATAAATACATATAAAGAAAGTGGGAATATAAAAAAATATATATCACGCTCCAAATTATATTGAATAATATCGCAATTAGCGTTGAAATTCAAAATATTTACTATTTTAAAGTTTACTGGAGTCCCCGACTACTCACCTCCTCGGCATCATCGCTATCCTCCTCTTCAATGTCGCTGCCACGTCCCCAATCCATAAGTGCACGCTTGGCGCTCTGGCGGGTTGGTCTGCTCACAGGACCGTGGGAATCCGTGTCCGATTCGATGATGCGCCCATTGCGCACTGGCAGGTGGTAGCTGTGATCATTTTCGGCAACATTATGGCTGGAGGTGGTCCGACTCCCATTGGTGCGAGTTTTCCGCGAGGGGCTCTCCAGGCTGGCGGTGCCACTGGCAGCCGCAGCCGCCGCACTGGTGCTTGGACCATTGCCTATGGGCTGGGACCGGTTCGTGGCTGATCTACCTTTTCGACGTCCCGTCTGGCTGTCCTGGGTGCTCTCGTCATTCTGTGAAAGGGAAGCCGCCTCCTCAGCTGAACTGCCCAGCAGGCGACGCGTCCGGCGAGAGGGCCCAGCTATGGTGGACGCCACATTGGCTGGACTCTTGTTAACTCGCCGACGTTTACTGGAGTGGCCGCCGTTTCTGTTCCGGTTGCTCGACGGACGCTTGGCTCTCGATCTCCGGCCACTGCTGAGTTCTTCATTGGGATTATAACTATCCTCGGAATCATTGGCAAGAGACTCATCGTCGTTGACACGCTGCCTCTGCCTGCCTCTGCGGGTACGAATTTGCTCTGGGGAACTGGCATTGGAGTGGGCATCCTCCTCCTCTTCCTCATCGCTGCTGGCATCTGAGGTGGCCTGTGCACTGGATTCATCCTCCTCCTCCTCCTCCTCGCTACTGCTGCTCTTGTGCCGGCGCTGTTGGGCGGTGGATGAAGAGGTGACGCGATTGGACCCAGAAGAGCTGGCAGTGACCGCCACACCGTTGCGACGGCGAGATCGAGAGGCTCTTGCTGCAGCCGCCCCCTCGTCTTCATCATCATCGTCGTCATCATCATCCTCCTCGTCCTCGTCGCTGGTGTGCGCTATAGGCAATCGTCTAGCGGCTGCCGAAGGCTTCTGGTTACGACGCGTGGATCGCTCCTTGTTGGCCCGCTTGTTGGGACTGCTACTTGAGCCACCGCGACCGCCGCTGCTGCCCGACTTCGTTTTATTGGCGCGCCTGCAAGCTGCCTTCCAACTAGTGACCACAGTCTTGATGTGGGACTCAAAGAGGGCGCTGAGACGCAAAGTCATGGCATAGATCTGGAAGAAAAAAGAAAAGGAGATGGAGAGTTATTTATAATAGGATCAAGGGTTCCATAAGCCCTGTTAGTATTGGCCTGCCGGGAAAAAGGGAAACCTTACCGCTAGATTATCCTATATTAGATGATTGTCACGGAGATCGTCATTCATTTGGTTAGTCATTTTATCAATATGTTTGATGGGTTTTATTTTTTGATCATGAATTTGGGATGGTTAATTTGAAGATCGAGTTTGAAGGCATGTTTACGCGAAGGCAAAAGAAACAGAATAGTAAAGAACAGATTGATGAGCTTGCATATGTGTGTCCAGTTGAGTGCGTGTGGTAGGGAGGGGGAAGGAAGGAGGACTAGGGGGGTTAGAAACAAAAAAAAAAAGGAAGTCCGGGAATGCAATAAATGACGATCTGTACGACGATCTGCCGTTAAGCTTCTCGACTCACTCACCCGCGAGCGCTTGTTGGTGTTGTAGTTCTTCGAGTTCTGGAATATAAGCCTCACATCCTTGGCAAAGTCCAGCGGATCATCATAGTTCCCACCCAGCAAATCCTCCTTAACAGTGCGCAGATCCATGGGAGTGGCAATGATCTCCAGGTAGTCGGGAAACTCAATGGTGTCCACGGGCTCTCGAAATGGCATGGAATCCGTTCGTGCCCACATCAGATCCAGCAATTGACGGCAGTCGGCACGCCAATCACCCTCCGAATGTGTACGCGTTGATCTGCAAATTTCACCAGGTTTATAATTATAGTTAGTGGAACAATAAAAAGAAACCGTTACACTCACCGTCGGGTGGAGGATACTCTTTGTCTGGCTGCTGCTGCCGCTGCCGATGTGGTGGGACCGGTGCTGGTCGATGGGACAACATCAGAATCCGCTTCGTTTTCCGACTCGGACGAGTGATATACATCAACCAGCTGGTGATAGACGGCGGCCACATCAATTTCATCCGCTTCCCTGGAATACCATACATTTTTTTTATATCAAATCAATATAGCGATATTTTCTGCCTCACCTGATAATCCTTAGGCACAGATCGGTGACAATCCGGGAATGTTTCACGATAATCGTATGCCGGCGGTTATACTGTTCCGCATTGGTGGCCAGATAGCGCACATCGAACTGTGCTGAGGTGATGCGGCGATAAAAGTGATTCTCAAAGCGAGACTTGACCGTGGTCAGATCGATGGGATACTCGATCAGGTAGGCGTAGTCCGGATAGATGTTGAGGTCAACGGGGGCCAGAAAGTGCTCAGCAATGGACAGACGCATGACCTGCTCTAGGCCATTGATGATGCGGCGACAGGTGCCATCCCGATCGCCACGGTGCCACTCCTCCGACTTGGGCTGGTACAGAGTGGCGCGAATCTCTTCCGGCAGCACCGGTACAGCACCTCCAACCTCATCCGGCACGCGTTCCTGGTCAATGGGCTCCATGTCCCAGGGACTCATAAACTCGTATTCACCATTGTCCCAGCGCACGCGAAAGCACATGAAAAAGGATTCGGGAAAGTCCGCAGAGAGCGGATGACGCGACTCGATCTGGCCCATCCACCACCCATCGACAATCATACAGCGGAAGCGATCCCCAATGCTCCAGTTGCGCTGCACCGCCAAGTCGAAGGTCTGGCGCAGCACCAGAAAGTCCAAGACATCGGGCATGTCATGGTATTTGATCTTGAACGAAGTCCCCGTCATGTTGCCCTCCTCGTCGATGATGGCCAGCTTGAGGCAGCACAGTCGTGGAGGCCGGATCTCATACTTTATGCCAATGACACGGACCAGCTCGTGGTCCCTTAGCGTGTGAAAGTTCCAGGGCTCCGAGCTGTGCGACAGCTTGTACACCTTCTTCGTGCGTACGGCGTCCAAGTACTTGGCATGGCCCTGCCTGAAGTAGACCACCTCGTCACCCATTTGGGGATAATAGGGCGCCTTGCGGGGAATCACTTCAGACAGCCATTCGGCGGGTCGATACAGTTCCGGTATCTCGCCATTCGCGTCTGTGGGCGGAAACAAGACTGTCTTGCGGCCCACCTTGCGGGCCTGCACTTGGCCACCACCTGTTGCTCGACCGGCTGCCGCTTCATCATCGCTACTGTCGTCGCTGCTAGGGGGTCTGCGGGATAGCGGCTTGCGCTTGGATCGCTTGGGCGGCTCCAGATTCGGACCCGGGGTGTCCGCCACCCAGTCCGAGTAGTCGGAGCTGTCCGTGTCCGACTCGTCGCTACTGTCCTCCAGGTTTTCTTCTACATTTGAGTAGCTAGTGTCACCGGACGAGTTACTGGAGACGTCGTCTTCCTCTTCCTCGTGGGGCGGCGGCACTTCATCGTATGGCTCCGGCTCTTGAGATCTCACAGCCCGCGTACGATACGCCGGCTGTTGTTGTTGTTGTGCTGCTCCTGGCTGGGCTCCACGCCTCCTGGCCGGTCGCGCGCCTCCTCCTCCGCCACCGCTTCCATTGGCTCTAGTATTTCGTGGCCTGCCCAAAACACCAGCTTGTTGCGATGACGCCGCACTGGCCGTGTTGATCATTATGGGACGACGACGCATCTCTCGCTTGTACTCCTGCTTCTCGAACTGGCCGGCGGCGTAGATGGTCTGCTTCAGGTTCTGCAGCTGGGCGTACTTCATGGGACGCACGTATGTGCGGCGAACAAACTTAAGTGGTAGCGCCTGCTGAGCTGGCGCCTGTCCCACTGGCTCTGCCGGCGGTGGCTGAGCCTCCTCTGCAGGAGCAGCAGCTGGAGCAGCTGCCGCACCCCATCCCTGTCGTGAAGTTCCCATCCGGCTGCCCAGAACATTTCTTCGAGAAGATTGTATGCCATTGGAGTCGGGAAGTGGTTGGCGGTTGGTCAGGCGCTCGAAAGATTGATTGACATTGCTCGCATTAGCATCGTTGGCGTTGGCATTGCCCGACTGGCGATTGGCGAGGGCTGCAATCATGCGGTCTATGTGGGAGTAGTTGAGTCCAGCTGCTCCTCCTCCTCCACCTGCTCCTGGGCCACCAATTCCTGGAGATGCTGGAGCAGGTGCAGCAGGAGCGGGTATGCCGCCAGCATTGGCATTATCATCGATCACAACGCCATCCACTCCCACCATCAGATTGGGAATCAATTGGTCCATGCTGCAGCTCTCCCTGCCCGGAACGAAGCGTTGGTACTTGGAGGGATGCGGATTGCCATCGGCATCGACCAGGAAGGGCGGCGGCATCAGATGTGGCATTATCTGTGTCTGTTCGTCAACCACATGGTGTTGGGCATCGCGCAACAAGGGCCGGAAATCCGTGTGAAAGAACAACTCGGTGGGCAGCTAATAAAGAATAAAAACGAAATATTAGATAATCTAATAATTATTCATTTATACTTAACTTACCATTTTGTATTTCTCAATACACATTCCCAGGCCAAAGATCAGTATATGACCGTGCGAGTCAGTGGCGGCTATCATTGTGCCATCTGGCGACCATTTGGCATCAAAGAGACACCCATGGCCCTGGCCATCGATGTCATTTAAGAAGTTGGCCACACAAACGCCTTGGTCGATGTCCCACAAAAACACCTGGCCATCGTGGCCGGCGGAGAGCAGGACATACTCATCCCTAGGATTTGACTCCAGCACATACAGCTCGTCCTTGTGGCCGCGCAGGACGCGATGCAGCTTGGCTGATTTCGAGTCCCAGATTTTAATCTATTTAAAGGGAGAATTAATTGAATTATAAATAAATCAGGAAGCTAAGGATTGCTCACGGTAAAATCATTGACGGCGGTGATAACATAACGATCCGATGCATCCCAAGCCACCATGGTAACCTTCAGTTTCTTGCCCTCCTCCGGCTCCGGACAGCTGCCATTTAAAATTCATTTTATATTCAGTATATAGAGATGATAATCACAGCGAAAACTCACCTGGGCAGGCGCTCCGTCATACACAGCTTGGCGCTCTTCCACTGTTGCGACTCAAAGGTCCAGATGTGAGCCGTTCCATCTTTGCTGCCCGAAATGAATCTCAGGCCGCGATGCGACCACTGCACCGAGTCCACAGCATCAGTGTACGCCTCCGTCTCCAGTATGCGTTTCGGTCCGTCCTCGCCCATCATGTAGACGCGCACATGGTGATCAGCAGAGCCGGCGGCCAGGAATATGCCGCCCGGCGAGAAAGTCGTGCACATCATCTGAGCCTGACCGGGGCGCAGCTTCTCGTGGTACTGCGTTGGCTTCGGAGCAAACGTAATCTTCTGGCCACGTGGCGTGGAATACTGCCAGAAGGCAATGGACCCATCCGTGCTGGTCGTCACCAGATACTTCAAATCGCTGCGAGGCGAGGGACAAAAGTTCACCGACGTTATCATCCCCGTGTGGGCAGACAGGACGGCGATCGGTGAGGTGGTCTGCATATCCCACACCCTGAGAATGTGATCCAGCGAACCGGCGGCCAGCATTGTATTATCCAGGTTAATGGCAATGTCCGTGATCTCGGAGGAGGCGCCGCGCAAGGTGGCCAGCAGGCGACCATCAGCCGCCGACCAGATCTTGATGAGCAGATCATCGGCTCCTGTGATGATGTAGCGTCCAGTGCGGTCAAAGAGCACGCAGTATACCGAAGACAAGTGGCCCACTGTGCGACGGAGGAGCTTCGTCTTGCGGTAAATGTCCGTGGGCATGAGCAGCTTGCGCCGCACATTGCTGACATGTTCCCGGCCAGCAAGGACGCGGCCTTAAAAGGTCGATAAACAATATTATTCCGATAGAAGTGGGAAGGGAATTCATTGGCTACTCACTTAAGTTGTGGGTGGACTTGGTTAGACTCGAGTCCGGCAGGGAGACGCCATGCAATGTAGTGCAGTAGTCTCTTAGCGAGCGGTGACTGTAAACGGTCTCCTTGGTGCGGAGCAGGTTCTGTCGCCCACGGCCCAACAGCGAGATGATTCCCGGCACGCTGGGCGGCAGTTCCCGATCCACCAGCGGGCAGAGACGGCCACATATTTCCAGCAAATGATGGGCGCCAATGTGCGCGTATTTTTGTTCCTACAAATTTGAATTAATTAAAAATTAACGCATGTCTATCGATAACTCTTGGCAGGCAGCTGTTCGCCAGCGCAAGGCCGACATACGGTTGTCTCGCTCTAGCGCACACGAGTCAGGGCAAAGTGGTGGCTGCGCCTGTCCGTGTATGCGCGCAGACTTTCTATGTGTGCGAAAGCAAAATGTCGGCGGCTGCAACTAATTGTTATAACTAAAATTACATTGAATTTGTTTAAATATGCTTATTTTTCAAAATTTTCTTGCTTTCCGCCAGATTGGGGATTTTTTCGGTTCGCTCTTAAGATTTTTATAATTTGTTAATTTTTTTTAGTTTTATTTGTTAAATAATTATTTATTTGCTTATTAATTGCAGTGCTGAAATGATTGATAGCTGCACTTTTAATGTTTTAGGGCAAAAAGTTTAAAAAGAAATTGGCATGCGCTATGTTTTTTCTCTATCCCCTAGCCCATGACGTCACAGGCACACGCACGACAAAGAGGAAAAGAAACGCGCACACACTTACGCAATGTCGGACGACGATCAAACAAATTCAAATGGCGTTATGCGGCCATTAGTTGTTAATTAGGCAATTGGCAATACTCACCAATTCGGCAAAGGTCTGTTCATGCTCATTCCCCAGCCAATCAATGCGACGGGGCAGAACCTGCGGGCGATAGGAGGGGAGGGAGAATATATGTATAGTACGTATGCATGTGTGTGCGTTCGTTTGTAGGTGTTATCACTTGCACTCTATGACGTTTATGATGACGTCGCGGGGCATCCCTTTCTTTTTTTGTTTTACTTTTTTTTTCGCCGGCGCTACCTACTCTTGGACAGACGAACCGTATCCCGTGGCCAGACCAAATTCAGTCTGATTTCCAACTCTGAGACAAGCGGACGTATGTAGGCTTTGTCGTCGTTCGCTGCCGGCAGCAAAAACAACAACAAAACGAAAACAAAGCATATAAACAAACGCGGTGCAGAGATTCGCTTCTTTTTTGCGACCCCCCCACAGGAATCAAGCCCAGAGCCTGCCCAAGCCCAACCACTCACCTTCTTCTCCTCGAGCTCGCGGATTAACACCTGTAAGGAATGGGTTTTCGAAAGGCCAAATTAGTAAAATGTTTGTAAACAAAGCCGCCAGCAAGCTGCGACCGCTGAAAATTGCGCTCTTTTGCCGCAGCAAGCCGATCCCGCCTCCTATGTATACCGACCTTTGCCGTCTCCTCCAGCGGCCCCGCAGCCAGGAACTTGGAGATGAGGAAGTAGAGCTCTGAAAGGAAACGAAAGGCAACACCATGAGTGCAACAAGTGGCTGGGCACACGCATAAGAAGTCGCCAAAATGCAATATCAATCCGGGGCCGTGCAATTCACGGGCCAACTGGCTGGCTCCACAGCCATCGGAACGGAAGGCGAAGCGAGACACAGACACACACTTTGGCCAGGCAGCAGGGCCGAGGGTCGCCAATTTGGCCCGTTTTTACACACCACACACGCCACGGGGGCGGTACGCACCTGGCACTATCACATCACTGGCACTGGACTGTCTATTTTCCATTATTCATTGCGAATTGCACCTCGATTATGACAAAATTGCAGTTGCTTTCTTCTAAAATTCTTTTCTCGCTTCTTCTTTTTTTGCCATTAGCAGGGAAGGTTCGCAACTATCGATGCTCACGGGCTATCGATATCGAGGTCAAGTCTCGTGCTATCGTTTGTAACTATAACGCATGTATCGACTGGGTTTTTCTTTTCGAATTTCTCACGCTCCGTAATATATTTCAGAGAAATGAAAGAAAATTCAGCGCCATTCAAAATAATTTTTATATATCACATTTAAAATGATATTTGATATTAAAACCTGGGTATATAGGGATTTCTTTGTTAGTCATTTTAACTGCCGGTTTGAGCGCTGTTTAGGTTCAAGATTTATAGGGTCGAAAGGGGTCACTGACTGAAATCATAATATCCGTCAAGAAGACCGGAAATATTTGAATTCTATAAATAGATATTTATTCATATTGTTGTATGATAATTTTGGATAAATCATAAGCCGTACCCTGAAAGGCTAGAATAAAACAAAAATACATGACAATACCTATTGGAATGTGACATGTACATATACATTATTTTTGTCAGATGTATAAAATATTCATGTTAAACAGATTGTTTTTAAAATTTGTTCAAGTACCTGTAGCCATTATTTTTTATTGTTTTTAATTTCCCTCATTTACAGCGCGCACGAAGTGAACAACGAGAGCTGTCGCGATTTTCTACATACAATGTATGCATGAAAAACCCTATTAAAAAAGAGCTTTCAATATCTATATTCTTTTTACATTTTCTTAAACTTCAATGAATTTTTAAAATATTAAATAAATAGATTACCCCATCCTTTTACGCATAAAATAGCTAGATCTAGCCGTGTGGTCCAATCGACAACACCGCCGACGACCTCACATCTCTAGTTTTGGATATCGGAACAGCAGCTGCGATAATTATTTTTTTTTGGCAGATTTTGCCATTTTTCATGTAATACAAATTGAATCTTTTTACCAAGTAGACATACAAAAATTTACATGATAATTGCCGGTAAAAACTTATAGAGACACCGCAAAAATGGAATGCAATCTGGGCAGCGAAATTGGCCAGAAGATGCGCGTAAGTCGTCGTGGAAAATCAATGAACTCGTAATCCAACTCAAATGCATCGGAAAAAATTGTTTCCATTTTCATCCACAGAGCGCCGTCAAAGCGAAGCTGCTGGAGCTGGGCACCGGCGGATCTTCCGGCTTTATTGACGACGAATTGCCAGACTACGTGATGGTCATGGTGGCTAATAAGCGCACCAAGCAGCAGATGAATGCCGAGCTGAACCTTTTTCTGGGCGATCAGACTGACTTGTTTGTGACCTGGCTGCACGAGGTGCTGCAGAAGCTTCAGGAGGTCACTCTGCCGACATCCAATGGTGAGTTCCTGATTTGAGAGGTTCAAAATTTATTAATTAACGCCCAAATCCCATTAGCTTCCAGCAAGAAGCGCAGGTCGCGCGGCCATGGCGAAGCGGCCAAGTCAAAGGAAAAGGATAAGAAGGTGTCCAAGAAGGACAAGAAGCCGCACCGCAAGTCCTGCGATGAAATGCAGGAGCCACAATCTAGCTCTGCGGGTGGCATGCCCGTCATCACCTCTATCACAGATGTTTTTGCCGACGAACTAATGCAGAAGGCAAAGAAATCTCTGAACATCGACATCAATGCCAAGGATGAGATCGTGCAGAAGAAGAAGAAGCGGAGGTCGACATCGGAGGAGGATGCCGTGAACAAGGACAGCGACATAACGGCCAACACGTCGGAAATCAGCTCGACCACTTGCGGGGTCAATCGACAGAAGGATCTCGCCGAGCTGGCCGAAATCCAGAAAAAAATCCAGGCAGCCAAGAAGCATTTACGTCAAATTGGCGAAATCGACGACGAGAGTGAGGAGGACGATGAGGATCTGCTAAACTTAAGTGCCCAAGATGAGTCGGTGGACCAGGAGGTCGAGGTGGAGCCGCCGCTGCAGACCGAAGCGCCCCCGCGTAAGGCCAAGAGTCCGATTATCTTCAAACGGCGTGAGAAGACGCCCGAAAAGCGACAAGAACCTGAGCCTGATACAAACTCCAGTCGGGAAGCAGAGCCGGAGGAGGAGAAGGGGGAGGAAGGGGAGGTCGAAGACCCGCAGTCGGCAGATGAGAAGCTAAAAGAAGACCGCTCTGAACGACGTTCCGTGCACGATCGCCTCGGCTCTAAGAATCAGTTACCCCCAGAAAAACCTCCACGCCCTCAAAAGGAGCTGTATGTGCCAGCTCATCGTCGACGCAGTGAACCAGAGTCCAGCAGGGAACGGAGTCAGCGAGATCGCTCCCGGGAACCACGCTCTAATCGGGATACCTCCAGGGACACTAACCGTGGTCAACGCCAGCGACGCTCGCCTAGTCCAGAGGCACCCAGCAGCAAGCAACGCATCGGTTCCCGGGTGATTGTGGCGGTGCACAAACCGCCAGAACCCTCGGACGATGAGGATATGGCAGATAAGCCGTTGAATTCGGTTATTAAAATCCAGCCCAGGCCAAAGGTCTCTCCACGACGGCAGGCCTGCAAGAATCTCCTCCTGAGAGCAGTGGCCGATGCCCAGCGTTCTACTATTCTGGCCAAGTCTTCCAATAAGAAGGAAAGCCAGGAGGCGGACAAAGTCAGTCCCTCGAAGGGCAAGCAAAAATCGGTAGACCAATCGGTAGATCGTGTCAACGATCGCAGCAGGGACCGTGGCAAGCGAAGTGCTGCCACGAACAGCGAACTTTTCCGGCGTAGCACTCGTGAGCTGGTGGTAAATGTGACGCGACGGGAGGGCAAGCGTTTGCGGCGCTCCGATGACACTCACGCCGAGATCAAGGTGGTAGAGGAAGAGTATGCCCCTAGTCTGAGCTCGAAGGATTTCGAAGCCTATGTTCCACAGCTACTGGCCAATGTGGAGGACATAGACTTGCACATTAGCTCGCATGACGATGCTAGTCCCAGCTCCGGAGCGCGGAAGACACAGTTTGTGGTGACCTTGAACGGGGATAAATCGCTGGGCGGAAGAAGCAGCAGCCAAGGCAGCTCTTCCTATCGCAAACGACCCAGTAGCTCCCGCAAACGTTCCTCCTCGCCAGTGTCCACACCGCAAGTGTCCTCTTCCAGCGTTGAGCCAACGTCCACGACTTCGGAAAAGCGATCACGGCGCTCACAACCGGAGAAAAGTTTCACACCCTCACCCACACAGAGCAGTGCCTCGCCCCAGACGTCGCGCAGTCTCAATCGCAGCGAGGTGCTGCGGCAGCCCCAAGAAGTTAAGAAGCTCGTCATCAAAACCGACACCGATGAAGATGACGAGAAGCACAAAAAACGTTCGTCTATTAGGCGCTCGAATACATTAACGTTGGCGACCTCGGCCAACGGCCACAAGGACAATAGAGCCAAGCCTCCGGTCGAGGAACGCTCGACCACTCCGCCCCTGCCGGCCAAACCAAAGCCCCGGGCGGAGAAGCGACCGGCCAGCAAGGAAAAGGCCGCAAACTCTAGCGGGGAACCAGCAGCGGCTGAGAGCTCCGCCAGCGTCACCACTTCCTCTGCTTCTACCAAAGGCAAGCACACACCTATTCGCTTCACTCTGAGAAACGAGGACGAGCCGAGTTCGAAAAGGAAGCTTCGCTCCAACAGCCCCGAACGCGACGGAGTGCCGCTGGACAAGCGCAGAATACCCATACGCAGTGTTGAGGACAGAAAGTACGACAATCTGCCGGCATGTAAGTGAATCCATTAAATGAAATAAATTAAACAATAATATATTAAACCAATTCTATTAATCTCCACAGTAAGCGCCGTTAGCGTGGACTCTGCCGTGCTAAAGGTGGCCAAGCCCAAGGAGAGGTGCAAGTACCACCCGAACTGCACAAAGCAGTTCTGCGAGTACTACCACCCGACGGCGCCCTGCAAATCCTTCCCCAACTGCAAGTTCGCCGACAAGTGCATGTACTCGCATCCCAAGTGCAAGTACGACATGTCCTGCATGAGTGTTGACTGCAACTTTGCCCATAGCGGGCAACGGGATCTCAGCCATGTGCAGCTCACGGCGCCGCCTCTGTGTAAGTGTTCTAACATTCTCAGATTCTAGACTTCTCCGATCTCTGCTAAGCTAGACTCTCCTTCAACAGCCTCGCACGTAATACCAGTACAGAACTACAAGTCGATATCGGCGCCAGTGACCTCCACGACTGCCACGACGATGTGCAAATACTATCCAAATTGCTCTAAACTGGGCTGCACTTTCTATCACCCAAAGCCCTGCCGCTTCGGCAAGAACTGTGTCAACAAGCTGGAGTGTATCTTCTATCATCCGGAGATGCAGAGCAAATTCAAGTGGGTGGCCTCGCTGGGCTGAAAGAGAAGCACAAGCACTCACACACACACAATACATTTTAACAATATTTAGCCAAGTCTTACTAACCACTTCACGCTCCAACCATTCATTCGACTATTGTTTTACCCAATTTTACAACTAGGCGCGCTTGGAGTTGACCTATTTTCGCCTATTTTGCCTATACTTATTTTCATTTGTATTCATAGTACTCTTGCATAAACTTATTTAAAAAAAAACTTATTATTACACATTAGAAGCTCTCTTAAAAAAATAAAAACAGCCGAAGTTTGTTGTTTGCATTCAAATCATTAAACACGTCATGCCTACGTTGACGAATAAATTTAGCAATAGTTGCTACAAATTGAAACAAAATGAGCATTTCTTGATTTATATGTATATCAGTTACGTATGATAACGTATAAGTTGAAGAACGGGCAAGTTATAAATTTTATTCTATTTTCTGAAAATTGTAATTAAAGTGGATCTTAAATTGAGACTAATTTGCTTAAGGAGGGTAAGGTATTTAATTTTTTCGTAAATTTAATGTTTAATGTATGAGTTTTAAAATGTTTACCAATCGGTTTAAAATTTGGAACAAAACTTTTATAACTAATGTTATAGGTACCTACGTCGGGTTTTTTAAATTATTAATATTATTATATTTTTATTAAACAAATGAACTTAATTTTTAACCAAAAATTGGAATTTTGACTTCCAATTTTTATAAAAAATCGGGGAAAAAAATTTTAAAATAAAAACGCCACGTGAGTTGACTAACTCTTTAATTAATGCATTATATTTGTTGATATCGGATGATTCGGTGGACAGTTAGGATGTACACCGCAAACCTTTTTTAGAGGGGATTCGGAAGATTCTCTAAAGCCTTCTCTAAATATTTGTTTATACAATATTTTTTTAGTGTTGAGTGTTTTATGGTATTTGTTTAATTAAGCTGACTTTAGCCGTTTCGCCACAGTACATTTTTGAAAAGCTGCCTAAAATTAGCATTTAAATTTTTGTCAAAATTCTGCATTCCCTTTAAGCTAGTAAAATAATAAAATCGACAAATTCGAAATATTTAATATTTATTATATAGTACAGTCTCTTATGTTTACGCTTAGAAATTCTAGAGCAAAATATGTCTTCCACTTGATTTACTTATCCAATAGTTTCTCATGTTCTTGATAGTTGACATTGCTTTGTTGTTTATTTTGTTTTTATTATAAGGCCACATTTACTGATATATATACTCTCATATATATAGGCATATAGGATTTTCAGGTTTAGCTCAGCTAATATACTTTAAAGAGTCGTACAAATCTATTTACAAAAATACTCGTACAATACATTTGATGGGCTTCCCGTTGGGAATGTGTAACGGGGGAGGCGGGCGGGAATCGGTGTCAGAACTCAACTTTGTTCGCAGCTTTAGGATTACATATACGAGAAATCGAATACTGATCTAAACTATTGGAACGTACCTACATAACGACTATTCAGGAATGTATATCGAAAGAAATCCGATATGATATATCGACAAAAATATCGCCTTTATATCATATCGAAAATATCAAAATTTTTTGTTAAATCGCGTTTAATGTAAAAATCTATATGATTGAAAAATATCGGAAAAAAATTTGGTATCTAATTTTTCACCGATTATATTGGTCCGATATAACACATAAAATACCGATTTATATAGTCAAATATCGATATTTTCTGATCAGTTGTATATAAACTACAAGAATAAATAGACAACGAAATTATTAACTAACTAAAGCGTAGACAGGAGGATCGATCGGATGAAGCCTGGTTGCTGCTGTTTGCTTTGAGCACCTTGAGACGTAACCGTAACTTGGGTGGAACTTAGGACGAAACATTGCATTACTTTTACAGCTAAGGTGTATATGGGCGGATTTAAAAATATCTTTCGTTTGCTTTGCTAATTATCAACTCAAACTATATAAGTCGTTCCTCCGGCGGCGGCTTCAGCACATTGTCCATTTCCAGCCTCGGGTTGCAGTACTCCTGGGCGCTGGGACTGTAGGTGCCTCGGGTGGCTCGCTTGTTCCGCGCCATCACCAGAAAGGTCCCCAAAAGGGCGCCGGCAATCAGCAGCAGAACAACCACCACAGGTATGACAATGATGGCAATGTCCGTTGTTGAGGGGCCGTCCTCCTTCGCGGTGATCTAAAAGATAATCCAGGATATTAGTTGGAAAATGAGATATATATGTATTTTTAAAATATTCCTCAACTCACCGGTGCCGTGCAGTTCTTGCCCGTGAATCCCTCCAGGCATTCGCAGTAGTAGTCCGGCTTGTCGCCGCAGGCCTCTACGCAGCGTCCGCCATTGGCGCACTTATCCGTGGCATTGCAGGGATCCGTGAAGTTGCAGTAGGCGCCGCAATACGGTTTCTGGCAGATGCACTGGAAGGAGCCGCGCTTGTTAAAGCAACGCCCCAACCCCCCGCAGTACTCGTTCTCCACACTGCACTCGTCGATGTCGTTCTCGCAGAGTACGCCCTCGAATCCAGTGCCCTGGCAATGGCATTCAAACTTGCCGACGAGATCTTTGCACTGTCCGCCGTTTTGGCAGGGATTGGACTCGCACTCGTTGATGTCCTGCTCGCACAGGCGACCTGTGTAACCCAGGCTACACTTGCACATGGGTGCCTGAGGGGGGAAATACGGAGTTTATAATGCCAAGGGAATATCCCAAGTTATATTCTATATACTTACCGGTCCCGTGGTCAGGCAGAGACCTCCATTATCGCAGGGCGTTCGCTCGCAGAAGGGAATGTCACACAGCGGTCCTTCGAAGCCCGTTACGCAGGTGCAGGTGAAGTTATTACCCGTGGAGGCATCTGTGGTAAGGGAATGCCAATGTCAAGACCAAAGCTTGGATATATAACCCTATATTATACTCACTAAAGCCATTCTCGCAGGTGGATCCGTTTCGGCACGGCTCGTTCTCGCAGGTCATCTGCTTGAGCACTTCGCACTGCGGACCCGTATAATCCTCCGGACAGTCGCACACGTAGGCGGCTATCAGATCCGTGCAATTGCCACCGTTATGACACGGCTGGTCTGCACACTCGTCGGTGTTCTGCTCGCAGTGGAGACCCTCGAAGCCTGGCTGGCACTGACACTGGAATGCGGCCACCAGATTAATGCAGGTGCCATTGTTCTTGCATTCCGTGTCCAGACACTCGTCAATATCCGTGCCACAGTCATCGCCCTCGAAGCCAGGCTGGCAGGTGCAAGCATACTCATCCGAGGCAGCTCGACAGAAGCCGGCATTCTTGCAGTCCGACTGAAAGCACAGAATGCAGCCCTCCTCCGGCCGTGTGGCATTTAGACGGAACTGAGCCTTAAGCTGCACGGACACGTTCTCGGTGCGCGGATAGAGCTCGGCATTGGAGAAGTAGGGCAGCAAAAGATCGCCCACCCTTGCCTCGCCCACACAACCCTTAAACTGAGAGCCCTGCTGGGCGGACAGCGTGGACCCGCGGGCCTGTCGCGACTCTGGCATGCCACCCAAGTATATCTGGGTGCTGCTGGCAATTAGGTACTGGATGGCCGCTTGGTCAATATCAACCGAGAAGGCTGGAGCCGGATCCACCATCGATTCCCAGCCCTTCCAGCCGCCTTCCAGCTTTCCGTTGTGGGCCCTCAGATAAATGCGACTCCATTCGCCGTCCGTATTCTCCTTCTCGAAGCGAGTGGACTCGCCAAAGTGCAGCTGGCTTAGCTTCCAGGTGATGGTAACTCGGCCACCGTTTACGCCAATCTCAAAGAAACTGTCCACATTGTCGATATACAGCAAAGTGCCTCCGGCCCGGGTGCGGTACGCTATGTCAATGACCGGTTTCAGGGTCTGTTTGGGAGCAGTCTCACCCACTATCTCCTCGGATGGCTGTTCCTGGAAGTAGAAGAACGCCAAAGGAGAGCGCTCCTGTCCCGTGAACGTGGTGTTTGTCAGACACTCGTAGCCGTCGTCCAGATTCTGGCAGACACTCTGCCCAGGGCACGTGACCAGCTGACAAAACTCAATCTCCTGGCAATCCTTGCCTTTGTACCCATTGGGACACTTGCAGCTGTAGTCGTTCCATGTGTTCCGGCACTCTGCGTTGTGTCGGCAGGGATTCTTGCGGCAAAGGTCATCGGACACGGCGCCCGGCAGCACGGATGCCCGATCGATGGTGACGGCGCCAAGGGGCTTGGCATTTGCCTGGTCATCCGTCACGTTCAGGGGATACATCTCAACGATTAGGTTGAGCGAGCCATTGCTAACCTTCACGTCTTGGATGATGCCCTTGAAGTAGTCTTTGCTGTCGTCCGCGTCCTTGGACACTGTGGTGTCTTCTGTGGGAGCTGCCACTCCCGAGCCTGGGCCCGGCTCTGTGGTGGCCCCCAGTAGGGACTCTCGGGTGGGTGCAGGCCCGCCCAAGTAGAGCACCTGTGCATCCAGCAGACCCGTCGTCGACAGCGTCTTGCGGAAGTACTCGGTGCCATTGAGCTTGACCTGCACGAGCGTCTGATTGCGCACCACCTCGATCAGATGGTTATAACCATTGTCCAGCTTCTGGCCGCCCACTGTGTAGGCCTCGGGAGTTCCGCTGAACTGCATCTTTACCAGAAGCTCGCCGCCATGCAGTTTGGCCGCCACATAAGAGTCGCCGACGTCTGAGAAGGAGATCAAATGAGGTCAGAAAGGGATTTAAAAATTTGTCGATTTCCACTTACTCTTGGTGGGCGCCTTGCGTGGATCGGTGCCCAGGTAGAAGACCTGTCCCGTAGGCTCTCGGGTTCGTATAAACATAGAGATATCCAAAATAGAACGTATGGCCCGTCTTGCCACATCAGTGGTCTCCACAATCACCGCCGAGTGAGTGGTGTTCTCGTGGCCAAAAGTGGCGGCAGTCATGTCTGAAAATAGAATAAATCAAAGAAGTTGTAGCTCATGAGCTCTACTAGTTGTTGCTGGCCACTTACTGTGCTGACAAGTGTGCCCGAAGAAGGGCCTGGGGCAGTGGCAAGCAAAGGTGTGCCACAGATCCGTGCACTCGCCATTCGAGTGGCAGGGATTCGGCTTGCATTGTTCCGTGCGCTGACAGCCACTCTGGACGTTCTCCAACTTGATGTCATCGGACGTGAAGTTGGCACTCTGCTCGTCGGGGAAAATCCATTTTCCATTGACCACAATGTCCTGCATGCAACCGACAAAAGCGGATGGCTGATGTGTAAGGTGTCTCAAGTAGGACTTCAAGTTGGGTATAGTGCCGCCTAGATAGGTGCGTGGAAACGAGGGCTGGCTATTGTTGGCCGTTTCGTAGGAACCCACCGGATAGATGGCCTGTTCATCGTTGGCGGAAAGCACTAAATGTGATGTATTAATGGCCACAAACACCTTGTGCCAATTGCTGTCATTCAGCTTGGAGCCAATGAAAACGCCCTCCCACTTGTTCAGCAGGGAAGAGTGCAGATTCAGCCGGCCGTTGATCAGCTCCAAAATGTAGCTAACCGGTTCATTCTTCTCGCCGGAGGTGCCAAAGGCCAGAACTCCATTGGGTAGAGTGGTTCTGAACTGCAAATTAATGTCATAGCCCTCCTCGCGCTGGGTCTTCACCGAAATCAAACTGCTGGCCACCATAGACAGAGTGGTTGTCCTCTCGCAGGTGTTGCCCTGGAAACCATTTTCACAGGTACAATTGAACTTGTGCACGTTTTCGTTGACCAAATACGGCAGACAGGTGCCGTTATTTAAGCAGGGCTAAAGGATTAAGAAGAAGAATAGGTAATTAATGCGTTTATTGGATTCAAGGGATCCTGTGACTATAGTCTTACATTCGTTGTGCATCCCTCTAGTGGCACCGAACAATTTTTGCCCCCAAAGTTGGCATCGCAGTCGCAGGAATAGTCATTGATCTCGTCATAGCAGGTGCCATTCTGGCAAGGATTATAGCGATCGCATTCATCTATGTTGATCTCGCAGTGGGTGCCCTCGAATCCGGGTTCGCATTCACAGGTATAGGCGCCAATCTGCCAAAGGAAAACCAGGATTAGACATACTAAGCTTCATCTCTCAAGTAGATTTTCCTTACCCCATCATTGCAGGTTCCATGCTTGCTGCAAGGATTGCTCTCGCACTCGTTTATATTGATCTCACAGTTTTTGCCAATGATGCCCGGCACACAAACACACTCGTAGCTAGGGATTACAATCAAGATAAGCCCAGGAAATGATTTGAAATTCAGTTTGATGACTTACCCGCTGGCATTTTCGTAGCTGAAGTTCTGGCTAAACACCTTGGGCAGATCCGTGTTGTGGCTCAACTGATACAATGTCGTGTTGGATCGCTCCAGGCAGTTGCTGTTGTACTGGCAAGGATTGCTCTCGCATTCGTTAATGTCTTGATCACAGTTCTTGCCCTTATACCCCACATGACATTCGCAGAAGTAGTCCTTGACCTGGTCAATGCACTTGGCCCCATTCTGGCAGGGATTCGAGATGCACTCATCGATGTTCAGCTCACAGTTCTCGCCGTTGTAGCCAGTGTCACTGCAATCGCAACGGAAGCCACCTAGCTGATCGATGCAATGCCCGCCGTTTAAGCAGGGATCTCCCACGCAGTCATCGATGTCAATGTCACAGATGCGACCCGTCATTCCAGGGATGCAATTGCAGGTGAAGTTGTTAATCATGTCGATGCAGGTGGATCCGTTTGAGCAGGGATTGCTGATGCATTCGTCAATGTCAACCTCGCAGTTCTCCCCTTGATAGCCCGGCTGACAGACACATTCGTAGGCATTGATCTGGATGGATTAAGGAGTAAACATCACATTTTATATTTCAACTTATTAAAAATAAATAAAACCAAGTCTAATTTTAAACTACTAAAGTAGGAAATACTAGTATACTAGCATATTCTAGGACTTTTCTAAGCAAAGGCACAGGAAATGTAAAATAACCTAGCTAAGGGACACTCTAGGAGTCTTGGAAAGCGTTTTCCACCCACTCACTTGTCTCAATATCCGATGCTTTCCGTATTTAAAGAAAAACAACTAGTACACTTTAGTAACAGATACACCTTCGGGTGACACCAGATGGCATAATCGGACTTAATTCCGACTGCCCTTTACCTTACCTTATTGTGGCACGTGGCTCCGTTGAGGCAAGGAAAGCTAAGGCATTCGTCCACATCCGAGTCGCAGTGGATGCCGGTGAATCCGGGTGTGCAGTAGCACTTGTACGATCCCTTCTCGTTCTTGCAGATGCCGTTGCCACAGATCTTGGGATGAAGGGTGCACTCGTCAACGTCGTTTCCACAGGTGCGCCCGGTCCATCCTCTAGTGCACTTGCATTCATAGTCCCCGTTTGGAAGATCTACACACTCCCCGCCATTTTGACAGGGTTGGGTCGCGCACTGGTTGCACACCTTGTTCTCCGGACAGAGGCACTGGTTCTGGGCACAGACCATCGGCTCCTGACAGTTCAAGGGTGAGCAGTTTTCGGCCTTCTCGCAACGATCGCCGGAATAGCCCACGGCACAGTAGCAGTGGGTTCCATTCATTGAGCAGGTTCCACCGTTCAAGCACTTCCCATTGGTGGCATTGCAGTTGATGGGGGTCAGGGCCAGAGCGGCCACACCATCGCCGGTGCTCGTTTGACAGTTGTAACCTGGGATTTAAGATTCAAGATTAGTAAATGCTCGAGAATATCAGACAACCCATGGTAAAAAATTATTTTCTAATAAATTAACTCAAAGAATTTCAAGTGTTTACCAAATATCAATTGATTATGCTTAAATCTACTTTGGTATGTATTTACAGTTAATTTTATAGGGGTTGCACTAAAAGTTTATACAATATACGTTTTGCTTTTTTAAGCTAGAGCCTCTATGTGAATCCAAAATGAACAGCCAAAAATGTTAGGCCACATAAAACTTATTCAGGATTGTTTCAGAAATAACTTTAAAATGGTTTCAAAGATTACAAAATTCCACCAATTTCTGTGTCACTCTGTATAAATATTTTATAAAATTCTTGCTATTATTATTATTATTATATAAATTAATGCTGATATGGAGCAACTTTGAAACAAAGGTTCAATAATGAAATATTTCATTGGAAACACGTTTAAAGAACGTGCTTTGGCATAGAATTTATATAATAAAGCTTTGTCTGGCGTTTAAGTAATGTTTACAAAAATATTTATAAATTAATTAGGTTTAAAATCAATATGTTTAATTCTGAGTTGTAGGATTCAAGCAAGACTCTAGCCTAGATCAATATAATTTAAAGAAAAAACAACCAACTACTAAGGCCAATAACCGCATTCAAATTTAACTCAATTAAGCGGGCTAAGTGGTACGGCATGCACACTTTTAGGACAACCCTTTTGCCGCTGCTGCGGCGGGGTAACATAATGGATATATGTATATATATGCCAAACCTGTGTATCCGGCGGCACAGATACAGGTATAATTGCTACTATGGCCCAGGCAGGTGCCACCGTTTAAGCAGTTTTCTTGGGGACATGCATTCAGGGAGGCCGAGCGTTGGGTTGGTGACTGGTTGGGATGTTCTTGTGCTTTTTTGGTAGTTGTTGTTGTAATTGTTGTTGTTGTCGTTGGTGTTGTTGCAATTGTTGTTCTGATTGTTGGTGGAATCTTAGTTGTTGTTAAGATTGGAATAGGTATTTCGGTAGCAATTATTGTCGTTCTCGTTGTTGGCTGTGGCTCTGGTGTCGGTGTGGTTGTTATTGGCAAACAGTGACCAATTGGGCCTAAATACCATTATAGCCATTTTCCCATTTTACGTCATAGCGTTGTTTTTTTGTACAATATAAAATTAATGGGTATTAGGTTATAGCAAATACATCGGGGAAAATATATACATGTTAGTACTGTGTGGCATTTCGTGGGTATTATCAACAAAGCAAGATGAAAATAATACTGAGATTTGCAAAGGTTTCAGAGAGTTTTAATACACTTTAAAAAGTTAAATTATGCAATAAGTTTAGCTCTTCTAGACTATTAAAAGCTCTAAAAAAACCCCCAGTGAACTTTGTCCACGTACTCAGTTTTAGCTCACAACGCTTGCGTTTGAGCCACTCGGGCGATATGTAGCGCTTCTTCTTTTCGCTGGGACACAACGTGGAGTCCAGCATCTCCACCTCGAGAGGAGTCAGCGGCTCCAAATCGGAAGCTTTTTTTTGTATACATGTACATTAAACATATTAAATTTTAAGCAGCAAAAAACCATTACCCATGACCCCTTAGAAAGCAAATGAGACATGCATGACCCGCAACCGGTGGCAAAATAGAACTTGTAAACTCACCCGATGAGCCTGGCTTACACACGCACTTGCCGCCGACGCACTCAGAGTCGATGGGGCACGGCTGGGCACAGCTCGGTGCCAGCTGACAGAGCTCTCCACTGTATTCCGGTGGACATATGCACTGGAAGCCTATGGGCTTATCCACACAGGTGCCGCCGTTGAGGCACTGCTGTGTCTGACAGGTCATGGGTCGATCACAGATCTCGCCGCCCCAGCCGTCCAGACACTGGCAGGTGTACGAGCCGTAGGTATCGAAGCATTGGCCGCCATTCAGGCACGGATTCTTGTCGCACTCGTCAATGTTAGTCTGGCAGAAGGCTCCCATGTAGCCGGTGCCGGTGCAGTCGCAGCTGAATCCATTAATCCGATCGATGCAGCTTCCATTGTTTTGGCACGGATGCGAGGCACACTCGTCTGTATCGATTTCGCACCTTGCTCCCGTATATCCTTTGGGACACTCGCAGGTAATCGCCCCACTTCCTCCCTTGACCACGCAGGCTCCGTTGTTCAGGCAGGGATTCGTCTGGCAGAGCGGGTGGATGTTAACCTCCGTCTCGCAGTGCTGGCCACTATGGTTGGCATCGCAGAAGCACTGGTAATCGCCGCGAGAATCCTCCAAACAGGATCCACCGTTCAGACAAGGATTTTTGGCGCAGGGTGAACCGTGGTCCTTTTGGCAATTTTTGCCCGAGTAACGGGCGGTGCAGCGGCAATCGTAACCTTCGGAACTGGATGAGCAGGTTCCATGGCCCATGCAGGGATCGTTCAGACAGTAGTTATCCGGCAGGCGGGTGAAGAGATCATGATCGCTGCAGGGACCAGGAGTCAGGGGGCAAGCTCCAAAGACCACATTTTGCACAGTCGAGTTGTTTACAAACTGGAGACCAGGACCATCCAGGAGGCAGCCGGAGAAGGAGTTTCCGAGTATCAAGATGGCATCCTTGTAGCCGATATCCTGGTTCGTTAAGAACTGACTGTTGTATGTGGAGTTGGCTATGGAAGATTGATGGGAAATAAATCAGTATAGAAAAAAGAGTTATGGGTAGATTACCAAGTAAATGTGCATATTTTTTAAAACATTTTATGAGTCTACAGTTCTCTTCTCCAATCGTTAAATTGATTTTACAAATGAGTTCATCATTACCCCCATCCTCTTGTCCTATTTTTCCAGTACAATTGCATGGCTTAACCCTCGCGATGTGATTCGCTTTTATTTGTCTTGCAACATTTCACGTTTCACAGCCGGACACGACCCCGTTTAAACGGCTTGCGACTTGGGGATTGGGGAGACAAAGACTGACGGGATTTAAACTTACCAAATATGCTTGCCGCACGATCCACGTGCAGGTAGAGATTGCCATACTCGTACTTGAACTGCAGCGTGTGCCAGCGGTTGTCCAACAGCTGGTAGGGCAGCTTGACATCCAACCGATTGTTGGGTCCATGGACTGCCGGTCCAGCAAGGGAGATTTGCAGAAAGTCATTAAGCACTGAGATTACAATAGAGTTCTTGTTGTATTGCTGGGCAAGGATCTCGCCGCCACGGCAAGAGCGGAAGCTAATAGCCGAGTGGTCCCAAATGGGCATCGGTGTGGTCAGGCGGAGGTAAGTGGAGCCGTTGAAGTACGCCTCCTTGGTCTGAACCTCCACGGAGGCGACATCTGCAAGAGAAGATCAAGATTGCCAGGGTTAGTGGGATTAAAAAAGTTACAGTTGAAGAAAAAGGATTTTCTTTTTAAATATCTATAATTAGGTCTTAGTCATAAGTTTATAAATAATGTCACGAATAATGTTAAATACATAGAACATTAATTTTCTTTTTTGTTTTTATAGAAACAATTGATTTTCAACAAAAGTTAATCGTTATAAATTTAATTTCAGTGCAATTTTTCTGCTGATTGTAAAAGACTGATGGGTGAAATGTATAAAATAAATGCATGACAAGGCCAGGTCGGTCCGGGCCAAGTCGGGCTCCCATTTAACTAATCGCATTTCATTCGCATTTGGCCAACGCATTTGTAACCGTAGACTTCCTCATTTCGCGTATTTGGCACACGGCAAATGGCCAATTGGTTTACTTTGGCTTACATTTTCCCAGTGCTGTCTGCTTCAGCATTTTCGCCGCGTCTTCGCCCATTGCTGCTCGATGCTCTCTGCCACTCTGGCTAAGAAAGTGTTTTGTCTTTTCGAGTAGCATTGACCAAATTAGACGAGTTGCCATGGCCCGGCACATGCCACTTAAGTGGTAATCAGTTAGAGGCCCCCTTCTTTCCAACTTTCATTTGCGCTGATCACCAAAGCGCAGAATAAATTCCCCCAGCAGTAGGAAGAAAATAACAAAAGATGAACATAAAAACCAAAACAGAAGCCACCATAACAGACTCCAAGTGTTTTTTTGCAACATTTTCAAACCAAAAACCAAAGAGAGCCAGACACTCAAATAACGAGCTTTCTTGGTCCGAGTGCACAAGGCGTAAAAATTAGCAAAAAACGAAATATGAATGTACCATATGTACATGAAAAAAATACATGTTCATAAGCTGGTTTTCATCAATACACCAAAGATCGCTGCGAAAAATCGAAAACAAAATCATGAAACGGAAAGAAAGTGGCACAGGAAAAAGTGATTAGAGAAAGGAAACTAAAACAAAAACATAGGGAAATTAGTTTATTTTGTATTAAAGTAATGAGTCTTGTAAATTGTAATACGAATGATTTCCATATAAGCGCATCAGGAAAGATTTTGTTAAATAAATTTCTTAATTAAATGCATTTCTGATAGCTTACAGAAAATTACTTTATAGAAATTTTAAAACTTTGTACGTATTCCATCGAATACATTCATCATTAAGTTAAGAAATAATATAAAACATTATTTTCTCAAGTTTTTAAGAAAGTCTTGAGAAGGTTAAGTACTACTTAAGATAATATTCATTATAAGCTTTTAATGTTATTACTTTAAATTAAACATTTTAGCATTAAAAACACTATGTTTCTTAATAGACATTTTTATAAATGAAAGCTTTGTTTTTTAAGCTAATTTTGGCATTCAAAAAGCTAAGATTACCTCAACTATTTCAATGGCATCGTTTAAGTAAATTGCCAAAAATAAAAGTGTAATGTTGCTCTTTGAATATATATACATATGTATATATTTTTCACATCCCTCACTCGAGAAAACATCTTTTTAGCACCTTCTGGCCGAAGGGGTGAACCCGTCGTAGATCCGCTGTGCCCTTTGGGCTGCCCTGACCCATGGCCGGCACGGGCTTAGAAGGCGCTCGGAAGACCTCGACGGAACCTGAACGACGCCGCTCTGACGTTAACATACAGCGGGAAACCAAATACAATACTTTATGAGGCCATCGATTTTGCCGCCTCCTCTTGCGCACTCTTCGCAAACATTTTATTTCGTATTTAAAGGCGATTTGCTATTTGCATTGACAGTTTGGTTTAGAGACCGTTTGGTGTGTTCCATGTGTGTGTGCCAGGTGCGAAAGGGGAGTGTTTGGGGGCAGCCTATGTGTACTCAGTGAGTGAACAACAAGTAAATAAGCCCCCAGCAAAGTAGCTCATAATTATATTATACTCACGTACGAAACTATGCAGAAAAATATTCAAAAGTTAAGAGGCAAAAATGCTATAAAGTACACCGAAAAAATTTAAGAAAATTAAAAGAGGCTTGATAACATAAAATAAATAATTAAGTATGCTTTGCTTAAATACTTTGATAAATATATGTATGATGCATAATAAATAAAGTTGTGCGATGTACTCTTAAATTTAAGTATATTCAAATGACAATTAGATAAGTTTAACCTATCTGTGCCTTGCTCGCACTCATTTAACTTGGTTAGACTAGTCATAACTTTAACTTCAAACATATTTTCCTAGGATTTATTATGTTTAACTTAGTTTGTTTGAATTTTTTCTCAGTGTAAGCATTCAGAAGCTGAATTATAGATCTACCTCTTGGCTTGGTATGCGCATTTGTATAATCGCGGACGTCAATGTGTTTGGCCGTAAGAAACGGAACGGAAATTTCATAATCAAACCACACAGAACAACTCCATTTCAATCTTTTAGATACATACATATATACTTTTGAGTGGTTTCGGACAACCGTTTGACTTTGTGTTTCTTTTTTGTTTGTTTTCTATTTGAGTCATTAATGACTCGACTTTGACTTCGAACTGGAAACTGCAAAACTCAAGCTTAACTTGGCTCCAAAGACCGAGCAATTCTGCTTAGCGGTGCCATAAAAGAAACAGTTTAATAGGTTCTTTCGGGCTCTGGCAAGAAAAGAAATGCTTCTTAAGCTTTTAATGATGTCTCGCTTGGAGTGTTTCGGGGACAAAGATGCTTTTGTGCCGGTTCTAAAGCAGGGGTGTGGCAAATGGCCAAGATCTTTCAAATGTAAATGAACTTTTAAGTAATAGTTTGTTAGTTAAAGGTTCTAGCATTTTTGAGATTTAAAGGAGATTTATTTTGAAGCTTATGATCTATTGTTGGAAGATATAGAGAGTTATACTTAATTTACAATTAAAAAGCTGAGACATTTTCTTAATTTTTCCTTCGTTTTTATATTCTCTTGCAAGGTATTATATTTTTAGTCAGAAGTTTGCAACTAAGTGTAGGAATATTTTCCGAGCCTAAATGATCAACTTCAACCTTGACCCCTAATCCAATTGTAATCTGAAAGGGTATACAAATTTTATCGTGTCGAAGTTAGCTTCCTTTTATGTTAACTTAATAAATACCTACAAGCAAAGTTTCGCTTATTATTATTTTGATTTCCCAACCATACTTAGGTAAATCTTCCAATTTAAAAGAGAAAACGCTCGAGTTCATCAATCTATAGGAGATATAATCACTCTTCTCAAGTTCCCCAGTTCGGACTTCCCGTTGTATTTTAACACAAAAAAGTGTTTATGCAAAGTGCATTGCGCTAAAGTCACGCAAAATGTTGGAAAAAGGAAACAACAACAGCAGATTCCTGGCTCGCCCACACACACTCACAAGCACTCACACCTCAAGATGGCTCAAAAGGAGGTGGGGGACCAGAGACCCAGTTAACAAAAAACATTCAGCATTCATTGCAACACTTGCAATACAACATAAGTAGATGTATGCAAATTAGCTCAGCTTGCATTGCATTGCTTTGCTTTGGTTTTGGCCCCGGCTTTGCCTTTGCAGTTTGTGTTTTGTATTTTGTTTTTAACGTTGCATTCTGTTGGTATGACTAATCGGCGTCTGCATATGCAAAACAACACCAAGTACGTAAAAAACGGGTGTTGTGCCGTCACACACTCGCGGTCAGCATAAAAGTAATATAATTGCCGCTTCTCGCCCTTAAAAAAACATGGATATTATATATATTGAAGCAAAATGTACTCCATGAAATTCTAACAAAAAAAAAAAATAATAATAATAATAATAAATAAATAATAAAGAATATGCTTACTAAGAATGTTTTATTTCTCAAAATAATAATATTTACCCATTTGATAAGATAAACTAATACAAACAAAATACACTTTTAAGATAGTGGGAAACGTTTCTATCTTGCTTAAATATTTTGTTAATAAAGAACAAGAATTTTGGTATTCGACATTGTAAGTTAATATAAGGATAAGATTGATTTGCTTTTTCTTAAAACTATAACGGCATTTGTATGTCTAGGTTTCTAATTGTATTTCTAATTATGGCTTGGTTTATTGTCATTTAAAATAGGGAGTAATATTTTACCCCAAAACCCTAATTTATATCCCCTTTCGTAACTCATCTTTATATTAATTGTGAAATTACTTAAATGTTTTTAAGTCATATTACAACGATGACAGCTGTCTACATATTTAGTATAGTTAACACATTTCTAGCTTTTAAATTAAATGCAGTCTCGATGATTGATCTGTTGTTGTCCCAATACGGTTTTTGTTTGGTGTCCCGCTCCCATCCAAACTTTCTAAGCGCTGTTGTTTCGCTGCTGGCACTCTGGAAATTGCAGCTGAGTATTAGCTTCCCTGGAAAACGTTGCAGCTTCTCCTCCCCCCCTCCATGTGAGTCCAACCCTTAGCCCAAGTCCGATGTTTGGCCACAACAAAGCACGTTGCACGTTGCTAACTGGGCTAACTTGGACGGTTGCCCGGGATTGTTTACTGCTTCATCTTTCCCCTTTTCTCCGTGCACAAAAAATAATAGTTTTTATACTTTAAATTTATATTGAAAAGATTTAAAAAAGAGTTTAATTAAATTTTTAAATATATATATTTTTAAATGTATTTATTCATATAATCAAAACGGGAAGAAAGGTATCATTGTCATCTTTTCTGACATGATTAATGCATTCAGAATATAAATCTACTATCTTAACTATGCTCCTTAAAATTATATTACAAAATTAAATTATATAATTGAGATTGGAAAAGTATAAAATGTTTATTACAAGGGCTTAAAAACATTATATATATAGTTAAAAAAGGAAAATACTTAAAAAAAAAATTAGGGTATGGGGAAACATTTTCAATGAAAAATTATAGCAAGTCATTATAAACTTTGGGTATTAAAATAGTTTCCCACTAATTTTTTTCACTGTACTTGTTCTTCTTCTTTCTCGTGCGGATAACTCTCTGCATTTGGTCATACTTCAATTGTTTTACCT